GCATGTTGAATGATGAAGTTTCGAATTTAAAGAGATGGAAGGAATACTTTGAAAGCGTATTTAAGAGTGAAGAGTCGTCTGAAATAAGTGAAATAGAAATTCCGGAAGAAGTGGAGAGAGGTAGGGAGATAAGTGTAGATGAAATAATGAAAGCAATGAAAAGCATGAAAGCAGGTAAGGCAGCCGGATATGATAGAGTATCACTCGAAATGCTAAGGGCTGGTGAGGGTGTGGTTGCAGGCCTGCTGTACACCTTATTTAATTTGTGTTGGGAACTGAAGCGGGTACCGGAAGACTGGTGCAAAGCCGTAATAGTCCCAATATATAAGGGAAAGGGGTCGCAGCAGGACTGTAAAAACTACCGTGGTATCAGCTTGCTTAGCATTGTGGGTAAACTGTATGCTAAGGTGTTAATTGAAAGAGTTATGGAAGAAACTGATGGAAAAATTTGGGATGTGCAAGCTGGATTTAGAAAGGGGATGGGGTGTACGAATCAAGTCTTTTCCATGCACATGATAGCGGTGAAGTTTTTGGCCAAAAACCAGAAAGTTTTTTGTGCGTCAATGGACTTGGAAAAGGCTTATGACAGAGTGGACAGGTATGTGTTATGGCAAACACTGAACTTATTTGGGTTGAGCGCTGGCTTGATACAGGCATTAAGGTCTCTTTATAGGGACTCTAGTGCTTGTGTCAGGATCAACGGGGTCTACTCGGACTGGTTTGGCATTCATAAAGGTGTCAGACAGGGATGTGTAGCTTCCCCGTGGCTGTTTAACCTATTTATGGACAGTTGTTTGCAAACTTTGAAAGTTGAAGAATGTGGGTTGAGAATGGGTGAGTCAACCGTCAAATGCCTTTTGTACGCCGATGATCAAGTCATATTTGCATCGTCGGCGGCCGAGTTGCAAATGATGGTTAATTTAATGAATTGGTCATTGAAAGAAAGGGGTATGAAAGTGAACGCAAGTAAGACGAAAGTGATGGATTTTGAAAGAGAAGAAAGTAAAACTTTTTGTGAAATAAGAATAGAAGGGGAGTTGATTGAGCAAGTGGATGAGTTTTTATATTTGGGATGTTTATTTAGCAGGGATGGTAGATATGACAAGGATATAGAACGACGAGTGAACACAGGAAATAGAGTGAATGGGATGAACACGCTATTATGAGGAGTCAGAATGTGTCAAATAAGACACGTATGGTAATTCATAATGCTGTGTTAGTCCCTAATTTAATGTATGGTAGTGAAAGTTGGGTCTGGCAGAAAAAGCATGAGAGTAGAATAAATGCTGTAGAAATGCGGTCCTTAAGGAGGGCTGAATCTGAATGATAGGGTGAGAAATAGTGTGATAAGACAAAAGTGTGGTTTGCAAGATGACGTTGTGACAAGGATTAAGAAAGGAATGCTTCGGTGGTTTGGTCATGTAGAAAGAATGAACGAGGAAAGAGTGACAAAGCAAATTTATGTTGCAGAAGTGAACGGCAGGGTCCGGAAGGGACGCCCTAGACGAAGGTTTATCGACCAAATCGGCGATACATTAAAAATGGGCCAGATTAGGAGTACGCTTAACCGACGAGCGTGTATGCGTAGATATATGGATGTAAAAGAGGCGAGAGAGGTGTGTCAGGATCGCGCCAAATGGAAGTCCGTAGTCTCTGCCTACCCCTCTGGGTGACAGGCGTGAGTGTTTATGTATGTATGTATGTAATATAAAATATAGGTAATAGCGCAGTAAGAAACATTAACATTTACATTTTCCGAACAAATTAACTTTCCCGCTATGAAAACTGTCAAATATTACCTTACTTTTAAGTGGCGCCGTCCTTGGTGGCAAAAAAAGTCGTGGATGCCCTCATTATCAATACAGAGCGCTGTGTCCGTGTCATAAAATGAATATTTTTATGTTTGAGGCCATAAAAATAAAACTACAAACAAAACGAATACGATTATTATTATCCAACAAAAATAATTATATTATTGTAAAAATGTCGTAAGCTCTACTTAGAGGTATTTTGCAATTTTGCTTCATACTTCAATCTAATAATCAAATAAGTTGCGATTACTTATTTAATAATTAAGTGTTTATGTTTTGATATTGCTGGCGAATCAACCATATGTATGTCAAGTATGTTAAATTTTTTTTACAATTTTTCCTTTCATATGATTCTGTAAAACTCGTTCAGAATGAATACCTATGTCATAAACGTCTTTAGAGTCGTTCTGGTCTGCAGTATATAGAGAGTGTATAATTATAAGCTGTAGGCATTTCTTTGTTTGAAGCCGACTGTGTAGGTGACCATGTATTGCAGTAATTTAAAATGTAAAAAAGTTTAAAATGTAATGGAGAATACATTGAAAAGCAGTAAATATCTTGATTTACTCATAATTTGTTTTATGAATAAGTTACGCAAAACTTTTAGGGTACCCCAAGGTTTTTGGGATTTCTCTATACATTTTGGTAATGTATGCATAGAGAAAGCCACAGATTAATAAATATGTAGCAAGCTAGGGGAAGCCCAAGTTCAGCTGTGGACTTCATACGTGGTAGAGCCATGCTGCAGATATATTATGATTGTAGCATGTATGGGTCGGCTCGACCGGGGAAGGACCACGCTCTCACAGAATACCAGCGTAAAATAGCAGCTTAACGCTGCTTTGTTTCGTATGGTGAGTGTAGAGAACCGGAGACCCTTTTTACTGGAAATGAGGCATTCCATCTTAGTCCTCACGGGTGACAACGCATTTTGATTCGTAATCGAAGATAGATGTAGATGTCTATGGGCCGCAGCAACCACTTACCATCAGGTGGACTGTGTGCTCGTTTGTCACCCTTATCCTATAAAAAAAAAACTTGTCATGGACATGTAATAAAAATAATAATGATAATAATGATAGGTTTAATAATCGATATTCAATCCAAGAAAAAAGTCGAATCATATTTAATAATAAACGCTGATCATTTTGCTTCAACACATACCTACTGTTTCCTTTATTACGCTTTTCTATTCAATAGTCAGTGGTATTTTATTCGAGATGTATTCATTGACACCCCAAATTAATTAGTAAAATAAAACTTTTTATTACCAAAAATCGTTTCCATTCTACGCCTAAGCATAGTATCGCGCAATCAATGTACACTAATCAACATTCCATAAATGTAAATGTATGACCATTGACAAAAACTGTTTTACTGGTTATGAAAATTTTAATCGTAAACTTTTCGATTACTGTATATACTTACTCTTTGAATGACTTAAAACGGAATGACAGATTGAGTGCTGCCATATAATAAAACAATATTCGTATCAAAATTTAATGTATGGCAATTAAAACTTCGAGTTTTCACTGTATCTTATTTACTGTAATTTAAACACGCCGCAATAATATTACTTCCCTAAATTGTTTAAAATACAGAATACTTTTACATGATGTCCGTGGTTATTAGGTGATAGAAGTGTGACAATTCTTATTGCATAATCATCATCAGATTTGATGAATCATCATCATAGCCTATAAAGTCCTCTGCTGAACTTTGGGCAATAGATCCGCAAATACATTGTCTCAACGGCAGAATATTTCACAAGCGTTTGATAAACGGGATGGCGAATGCTGTTTTATTGTCATTTTGTGTTGTTATTATGTTATCATATGAAGATGCCTGTATGGTTACACCACACAATGCCACTGCCTATTTCTTGTTTAATTTCCCTTCGTCGCTTCTTACGACACTTGCGGGATGACATTTTTGGTTTTCTAAGACTGTTAACACAACGGACTCGCCTTTGCAGTAATGTCTATTACAAACGAAGGTAGTTATGGAAAATAAAATTAGTTCGAATTAGAAATACCAGTTTATTAAATTAGTTAAAAATAGTCACGTCAGGAAAATAATATTTACCTTCGAAAGAAGTTTTGTTTCTTCTACAAAATTACATAACATTTTAATGTAATTTATACAAAATATCCGTTTATGTATGCAAAAAAGAATTTGTACTAAATCTTGTCATAACAGCAAATACATTATGCTTTTAAACACTTAGCTTTATAACAAGAAGTGCAAAACTGTTAGATTCGAAAATTTTGATATGGCTTGTATGCATTGTTTAGATGCAGTATTTAGATATCTAAATCGGGATATGAGAAAAACATAATTTCTACAAATAAACTTTACTTTTCTTCCCTACTTGCTACAATATTTCGATGTAACAAATAGTTTATTATTGTATTAAAATAATTGTACTATTTCTTATAAAAACGTAAACAAACATTGTTTTACCTTTAACTTTAGATTATATTTTAGTAATCATTTATTCCCACGAAAATAATGAACGCAAATTGAAATATTCATTAGGTCGTCAAACGTTGCCATACTCAGGTATAATTATTAATAAACTAAAAAAAATTCTAAAACGGACATAGTGCCAAAATTACAAGTAACAGTCGTCTATGCAAAATAGATTCATAACAGATGTTTATTTTACGCTTATATCATTTAATAAGTGTGTCATGTTTAACATGTTTATTAAGGTCAAAAATGTATTAAAAGAATATTAAATTTGATAAGATTTTCATTTTTATATTATGCATGATGAACTATGTTACAATGAGAGCTCTAAAAGTAATCAGGAACTTTAATGTTCTCAAAACATATCCTTAAATAAAACCTCACTCACCATCAATTATAGTCGCGTAATACATAATAATTATTTACATTATACATTTACAAAATGTACACATTACTGATAACATTTTATCATTATCTCAGAAAATGAAATAATTTTGTGATTATTTCATCACATCAACAGTAAGTTCACTGCTGTATTTTAGGCTTTCCCAAGAATGCGCAAGTTGGAAAGCATTACTAGGAAAATCCCATGCTCACCATGCTGGGCAGGTAAATCAGTGAGAGAATGTCATTAATTTAACTATATTTTCCTGAATGGTATTTATTATTTACGTTGGCAACATGGTGAGTTAAATTTCAAAAATATAACATTATATTCTAATCCATTTCGAAAGGTAAATTGGCTGCAATTCTTGGTTTCTTCTTTCTTTGTGGCTTACTTCTTGAGTTCTGAGGTTGTTGGAGGACCTATTTGGGAAAAAGAATAGTTTGTGCATATTATTCTGAGAAAAGCAATATCGTTAGAAATATTGAAATCATTAAGTTTACAACTTACAAATGTTGAAGTTTATAATCCGCGTTGGCGGATATTATCGTCATCAACTGTTACTAAGCTAGCAAGATTAAGCTGTCAAAATTCCCCAAAAACTTCACATTGTGACAGACATTACATCAGATTAGGCTGTATAGTCGAAGACCTTTGCCCTGCTTTAGTCGACAAATCGTACAAAACCTGTATCATCGCCACGATATCGGCGCTATGTCTAATAAAAAATAAAAAAAAACCCGAAACAAAAGAGCTGATGCTCTTTAAACAGCTGAACAGGTTTTCTTGAAACATAGCTAAGAACACTTTCGAATAAGACATCTTTCAAATGACAATGTACAGATACACACTACAAACTTATAACATCCCAATGTTTTCGTCGGGGGTTAAAAAAGCTAAATAATATCTGTGTCAGGAATGTATGTCAGTGACGACATATTGTTATCGGAATCGGAGAATGTAAATACGATCTACGAATGATGAATTAACAGATTTGTAGAGTTTGCTTCAATTAATGTGCGATTATACTTACTGGTTCAGTGTAAGGTTGGGGTTGTGGTATGATTGACTTTGGTGCCGGCAGTCCGTCCAAATCCTTTCTACTATGTGATGGGCCACTATGATTTTGTACGCGTCTAGAAAAGAGAAAAAAATACATTAAATTAACAACTCGTCTGTCACACTCGCCCCTCCCTTTTTTTTCATAAGCAGTGGTCTTTTGATAGGCTGTAATTATTGTACAATTAATTTAAAAAAAACCGCTATAATATAGACAACTATATCCTTTTTTTATTCCATAAACTAAAGGGGCATTGAAGTACTGCTGCTTTTCGTCATACTTTAACTTTTATGAACAGTAATCGAAATAAATCGTATAATCACATTATTATAGTTAGTTCAAAAAACCTTTTTGAAAAAATATCAACATGGTTGGCCAGGTGAAGTCTATAGAAGAAAAGATGCAAGGTTTTTACATGTACACATGAATTTTAAAGTATTACTTATGTAATAGTTTTATACAGTATATTATATATTTGGAAAGGTGTTTTAAATTTAAAAAAAATATTCCTAATTAGCACATATTAAAAAACAATCGTATGTACGGTATAAGTCCATTTAAAAGCTAGTCTTACCTCTGACTGGTTTGAACTTGTAGCGGGACAAACGGGTTGTGCACTTTATCCGCATTTGGTGCTATGTTGGCATACTGCTGGGTATTCGATGCATGCGGCTTGCCTTGATTTGGCATAAATGGAAGATTCTACAAAGGAAAAATAAAAAATATAGCAATACACTGCAGTGATAAAAAGAAATACATCTTAATTCGGTACCCTTCCTTCCCTTTCTCCTCATCAGCTTGCTAAAGTCCACTGCTGGACTTGGGTTTCTCACGTTGTAAGAAGGATTTGCCTTAGTGGCCACGCTTGGCAGGTGACAATCGCAGTACCACAAGTGAGCACCTTGAACTTTGCTCCTTGTCGCTATTTGTATATTTTACGCCTGGCGTAAAAGAGAAGGTCATACCCCCTTTATTTATTTATCCTTTATTGCAAACACCTACTAGGAGTTACAAAGGGCGGACTTAATGCAATATGCAATTCTCTACCAAGTAACTTAGGGAAAGATGGAATCAACTAAAATGTTGGTAGGTGCAAATCAAAGACAAAATTTTACGAGTAAAAAGAAAAACCGTTAAATCATATAGAAAGAATGAATTTGGAAAGAGTGACAAAGCAAATTTATGTTGCAGAGGTGAACGGCAGAGTAGGAAGGGACGCCCTAGACGAAGGTTTATCGACCAAATTGGCGATATATTGAAAATGGGCTAAATCAAGAGTACCTTTAACCGACGAGCGTGTATGCGTAGGTATATGGATGTGGAGGAAGCGAGAGAGGTGTGTCAGGATCGTGCCAAATGGAAGTCCATAGTCTCTGCCTGCCCCATTGGGTGACAGGCGTGTTTATATATAAAAACCGTTAAAGTAATTAATTCCTATATTATACAAAATATAAGAACATAAAACAAAATATAAGAACCCGCCCGGCTTCGCCTGGGTGGGACGCTATTTACTTTAGTCATTTTCAAACTTAAAAAAAAACCTTCAAGTTTTCGTATAAATATAGTCTAGATCTCACTACCTGTTCGTAAAGTTCGGCGTTGTCGTTGATCGTCAGCCATTTCGAAGATTAGCACGGACAAACAAATTTAAAAACAGTTACTATTTCACTAACTTAGCCAGTTATTTTGATATTACAGACAGACACTTTAATTGTATTAATATAACTATAAAGCTGTTCCCCGTGACTTCGCCCGCGTGTAATTTGGGGTTTTAATTTTTTTGCGCGGAACCCTAATTTTTTTACTTAAATAAAAGTAGCCTAAGTTACTCCTTGTGATATCAGCTATCGTCCAGTGAAAATCCCGTCAAAATCGGTCCAGCAGTTTCGAAGATTAGCCGGAACAAACAGACAGACAGACGGATAGACCGACGGACAAACAGACGGACAGACAGACAGACAGACAAAAACTTTAAATATTGTATTTTTGTTATTAGTACCGTAAATACTTTCATATGCATTTAGTAAAAAGCCGTAATTTTGACATTACAAACAGACACTCCAATTTTATTTATTTGTATAGATTATAGATGTATAGATGCGTACCGCTCGGTTGTGGCAAGTGGGCGCGAGCGTGACGCTGGGCAGGTGCGGCGGGAACGCGGGCGCGCGCTGCGGGACGGGCGCGGGCGCGGGGGGCGCGGCGCCCGGGAACACCACCGGCGCGGGCCCCTGCGTCATCACACTCACGACTTTACATACATTTACATTACACCCTATCAAAAGCCCACAGCTGAACATTGCCTTGTCATAGATGTCCCCAATAGACTGAAAGCCTCGATGGTCTACTGGTCGAAAACGCAGTTGCTGTTCATGAAGTCCCGAGTTCTAATCCCGAGTCGGGTCAAAATCAGTTATCAGGTTTTTCTATCAAGAAATTCTCAGCCAGAAAGTTGGCGGTGTTTTACCCCCGTGCCTCGGAAAGCACGTAAAGTCGTTAGTCCTGCGTCTGATTCTTCTCCGGTCGTATCACATAATATACACATCAAATTATTAGAGTGTGGGAATATAGTGCACTTGTGACTGCGCCTACACTCGGGCACTATAATCCTGTCCTACGCAGATGACTAGTCGTCGTTGACACTGGCCGCCGTGACTGAAACTCGGTCTGGAGGACATTATATTATTAGCATTACATTACAATTTTTACAGATTTTATTGCGTTCAATATAATTTTTGTTTTTATGTGGTTTTTTTTTATAGAATAAGGGCCACAAACAAGCACATAGTCTATGGTATATGCTATGATCGGTAGCAATCTATCATCGTTTAGAAATCAAAATGCAGATGCGTTATCAGTTGTCACTCCTGAGGACTAAAATGAAATGCCTCATTGTCAGTAAAAAGGCTGTCGAGTTTTTTACTGACTGAAGTTTTTTACTGACTGAAGCTCGTTATACAAAACATAGCAGCATTATGCTGCTATTTCACGCTAATATTCTGTGACAGTGTGGTCCTACTCCGGGCGAGATTACCTATATTTATATGCTATGTATATAGACACGGGGAACTAAGAAGAACAGATCGATAAAATCCGTAAAATTAACTTTATTCAATATGTACAAAATTTTCGTTATTTAAATCATTATGCTTCCTTATTATTATATTTTGATATTTGCCATAATTGCCACTGGCGAAAGAGGCAAAATTTTACATTTGGTATTAAGCTAGAATGATCATATCTGTTATTTATCAGCGGCAACAAGTTCTTCCACACAATTCCCAAATCGTCATTTACGATAACTATAATAGTGGTGGTGTAAGAATATCCACTGTCACATATCGTGCTATGGGTGTCGTAAGAGGCGACAGAGGGAAATAAACCAAGAGATAGGCTAATAACAACCGAAAATAAACATTGCGGAAAATATCCTATGTTTAGTTGTAGACTTTTAATAGGCTGTAACAATACGCTGTAAACATAGACTATTATATTCTTTACAGTAAATATTATATTATTATTTTCAGTAAAAATTGTATTCCTTACAAAATGTTAAAATGTAACAAATTGAATCCACTCAATTTTGTCTCGGAACAGTTTAACCTCAAGCCGGTGGTGAAAAAAGGGTACTTACCTTAAAGTTGGTCCAATCAGGGAACGCCTGCGGCGGCCTAATACCACTAAACGATGGGTTACTCTCTTTGCGCCAGTTTTGTTGGCGTGTACTCCTGCCAAAATTAATAATGATTTCATTTTATTTTATTCTATTATTACATACTGTTCCATTTGTATCTATACATGGTCTAGTAAAAAAAAGCGAATGAAACCTATGATTTTACTTCTTTCCCTATATAAAGATTTGGGATTTGCAGATTTGGAAATTGATGAAAAGCATGTTAATAAACGAGCATTGTAAAATCCTTTATTTTGTTAAGTGTTGTGACATTTAGAGTGCTAAATAAATCTGAATTGAATATTTTAATACTCAACAATAAAGTAAGCAAGATGTAATCAGGAAAAGCTAGCTAAATTCTATAAATTACAAAAAAACATTAAGGAGTCTAAAAGGAAATAAAGTTGGTGTAGTGTAAACATTTATATTACAATATAGCGTCAATAAAATAGGATTAAAGGAGATGATAATATTTGATGAGTAGAATCTATTACTATTAAAAGCATTGGTATTTCGGGATACCCAAAAAAATTAATCTGAAAGTCGATGCAGAAAATTCGAGATAGATATGCTATGCACGAGAAGCTTTTTTCACATTCTTACTAATATAATTTATATGAAAAATATATACGGGTGTTTGTTACTCAATCAAGCGGCTAAATGGATTTGCTTGAAATTAGGCAATATGTTAATGTCATTTTATTCGGAAAATATTAAAAAATTATAAAAAAGAAACTTATAAATAAGATCTATCTCTTTTTTGTTAACTCAAGTAAAATATTGTTCATCCTACTTAATCTCGTTATTAAATTACCTAAGTTTACAAAATTATAATTAATTTAGATTTAAAATTGTTTGCAACACAATATAATATTAGTTTTTTTTTCTTAACTAAAACCACATGGAAATATGATATGAACGACGTACATGATATCACTATTTACAAACCTTTGTGGTTCATGGATGCTATTTTACTCGTACTTAAGTATTCAACTTTATAAATGTTAAAAAAATTGATATTATCACTGCCCACATGAAGAAAAAGCCATCAAGAAAAATTAAAACAATTATTTTATTAAAAATCTTATTACGATATTTAACTTACATACAAAATTAATTTTATAGCCGACCAGATAGTTCAAAGAACCGGAATCTTAATTTGTCTTAAAAGTGAATAACATGGTTAGGTTGGGTTAGATTAGGTTAGGTTCACTTCCCCCCGAACGGGTTCCCGCCTTGTCGTGGCTTAGTAACCGTGGCTTGGTCACCCACGGTGAACAAAGAGGAACCCCTTGGCTGGCCCGTGGTGTAGGGCCGGCCCGAGGTAGCCACTCCGAGTGGGCGTGACGAGCCCACTTCGGATGTGTGTCGATGGGCTGCGGTGAGAGGGGTGTCCGCCCCCTCTGCCGCTGCAGCCGAGGTGGAGTCGCGGGGGAAGAGGAGTGTTGGTATGGCGATGCGCCACTCGCCCTATCCTCCGCGACTCTGACGGGGCTGCACCGTTGATGTGGTAGTGGTGGGGCCGCGGGGGTAGAGGAGTGTCGGTATCGCGAGGCGCTGCTCTCAGTCCGCCGCGGCCGAAACTTAGTTGGCGGCGGAGCCAGAGACCAGATCCACCGCTGGGGTCGGGAAAGCGCGGGTGCTACTAAGCGCTCGATTTTCCCGGCCCCATGGTCTCCGCGTATCGGACTCAGGGGGGTCCGATACGCAGGTGGAGTTAGAGGCCGTGGAGGGGGGCGTACCTTGTGTTCCTGGTGCGCCTTGCCTGAGAAGGAGAATGGGGAGGAGTGGTCCTCCCCCGAGAAGGGGCTGCCGGCGCTGGTGGGGCTGCGGATGTGTGTGAAAGCGTTCCCGTGGCCATGTCAATATGCGGCGCAGGTGGAACACCACGGGGTTTTAGTCGGTGCGAGTCCGACATAACCCGTCCTAGCCCCCGCGAGGCGGGTATGGGTTGGCATTTCCCCATGTAAAAAAGGTTAGGTTAGGTTATATAAAATCGCCCCATTAAAATGCGCCACGTCGGATTGAGGGACCTTGACGACGCTGTCAGCCTTAGTGAGATAACAGCCACGATCACCGAGTCGGGTGGTTGTTCGGTAAACGATATCAAAGTTGGAGACGTTCGCCGAACTCCCACTAGCATAGGGACGTGCTAGATACGGTGCCCAGTAACAGCGGTCCGAAAAATAATGGCTGAAGGACGCGTACGCATAGGCTGGGGTTCCAGTCTAGTGGAACTGCTGAGGCCTATGCACTGCTATAGATGCCTCGAGAAGGGACACGTGGGCAGTAAGTGCCCTAACGAGGCAGACAGGAACACCCGCTGCTACGCCTGCGGCGAACCCGGTCATAGAGCAAACCAGTGCACTGCATCGGCACTGAAATGTCCCGTTTGCTCCGATTTCGGGCGCCCTTTCAACCATAGGTTGGGGAAAAAATGCACTCAACCTGCAAAGAGGAGAGTTAGCAAGAGTAAGTCCTCTCCCACTCCCTCCAAGGAGACGGTCACAGCAGCACCTGTTGCGACACCGAGCTCCGTCCAACTCGGCAATGGAAGTTACTGAGACGTAAAATTCATGGCCCTCAAGTCCTCCAGGGTAACCTGAATCTGCCGCATTGCGCAACATCTGCTTATGCAGACCATTGTGGAGTGGCCTTGCAGTAGTAGTGGAACCCCATACCGTCCCCGACCATCCTCGCTGGTTCGGCGACGAATCGGGCTCCGTAGCCATCTACTAGAGGGGTGGTGATGGTGCTCCAACCTGCGTCCTCTTGAAAAGGGGCATGTTATGGACGTGCTATGTTCCAGTGCAGTGTGGCACCCTGGCTATAATGGGCTGCTATGTCTCTCCCAATAAGACCCTCGCCGACTACGAGGATTACCTGGAAGAGGTGGCGGATTACGTGCGCGGGTGCTTACCTCGTCTGTTGATAGTCTTAGGAGAATTTAACCCCCATACTAAAGCCTGGCTCCACTCCAAGGACGATCCGAAGGGAGAGACAGTGATGGAGTGGGCGGCTGGTCTGGACCTACGACTATTAAATCGGGGGTCTGAGAGTAGATATGTGCGATGGCAGGGTGAGTCCATTGTACGCATGTACTCTCCATGGGCAACTCCTGCAATGCGAATGCTGTCGGACTGGCGAGTTGCGACGGAGGTGTTTACATTGTCAGACCACCGCCACATCGTGTTCGATGTCGCACTTCGCCACTTCGACAGTAATCCCAGTCGTCGAGAAGGCGACCTCTCGGTCGAGCCGCTTGAGACCCACAGCGACGTTGGAGTCTCAAGCGGCTCGACCGAGACAAACTCGAAGCCGCCGCCATCGTCGCGGCCTGGCCGGAAAAAGCCGAAGAGGTTCAACTAGATCCGGAAGGGCAAGCGAACTGGTTTCGGGCTATGATAGCGCAAATATGCGATGTATCGATGCCAGTCGTCCCAAGCGCAGGGCGGTGTACTGGTGGTCGGTAGAAATCGTACACCTTCGCACAATCTGTTTGCGGAGTCAGTGCCAGTACAAAAGAGCCCGAAGGAGAAGGCGAGCTCCAGCCGAGAAGATAGCCAGACTCTATGGGGCATACCAAGCGGCTACAAAAGCGTTACAAATGGCCATATCTAACGCCAGGTCTCGGTCCTGGAAAGATCTCTTAGAGGGACTGAACGAAAATCCCTGGGGGCGACCGTGCAGGATGGTGCTTGGAAAACTACGGCCCTGGTCGCCCCTCTTGACGGAGACTCTCGATCCAGATTTGCTGAGAAGAGTGATCAGCACACTTTTCCCAGAGGACCGGTCAAGACTTTCAGGTCACCTGCCATCGTCATGGGAGTGGCAGGATGAGATGATGGTGACTGTGGAGGAGCTGGACCGAGCCCGAGAAAAGTTCCCCACAGTTTGGAAAGAGGTAAGGTTGGTCCTTTTGAAGAAGGAAGGCAGAGCCGTCGATTCTCTCTCTGCATACCGTCCCAAATGCCTGTTGGACGAGATCGGCAAATTGTTCGAAAGGATAGTTGCCACTCGACTCAACAGACATGTGTCGCGCGTCGGTCCCGATTGAGCTGATAGCCAATTTGGATTCCGACGGGAGCGTTCCACTGTAGATGCAATTATGCGCATTCGCTCCCTGTCGGAACAAGCAGTATCCCAGGGTGGTGTGGTGTTGGCGATACATCTCGATATCATCAACGCCTTTAACCTTCTACCCTGGGATGCAATCAGGAGGGCACTAGCACATCATCAGGTGCCTGCCTACCTACAAGGCGTAATCGGGGACTACTTGCGCGACAGGTACATTACCACATGTATGCGGATGATGTCCAGATTTACACACAGTCAACTCTTGAGAATTTGCCGAATGCAATCCCTACATTGAAAAACGATCTAAATATTATTCATGATTGGAGTAAATCATATGGCCTAAATGTGAATCCTAAAAAGTCTCAGGCTATCATTATTGGTAGCCAGAGTTTTATCTCAAGAGTTGATTGGTTCACCGCATCACCTATAGTATTCGATGGAGTTGTAATCCCTTACTTTGACAATGTCAAAAACCTTGGTATTTATATTGATAATTCCTTAAATTGGATACGCCAACTGAATGAGGTAAGTAAGAGAACCTTTATCGCTCTTTGTTCACTGCGTCGCCTTCGATCATTTCTTCCCATTCCTACAAAAATTATGCTCGCACAGTCTCTTCTCCTTCCGATCCTCGACTATGCTGACGCAAGCTATGTAGACATAACTGAGGACCAGCTAAATAAGCTTGAGAGACTTCAAAATACTAGTATTCGGTTCATATTTGGATTGCGCAAATATGACCATATTTCCCAATTTCGCTCACGTCTCAAGTGGTTACCTATCCGACTTCGCCGGAACATGCATATTCTTTCTATTCTCTACTGTGTATTATTTCATCCTTCTGCTCCTCCCTAACTAAAAGAGAAGTTCAATTTTGTGGGGCTTCCGGGAGAACCTCTACGCTCTTCTAGAAAATTAGTTTTAAGGGTACCAACTCACAAAACATCGTTTTTTAATAAATCGTTCACTGTCGAGTCTATTAAGCTTTGGAATGCCCTACCTTTGCACATACGTGAAGCACAATCTATTGTAATCTTTAAGAGACTACTTAAAGAACATTACTTGTCTCAATCGTCCGGAGACCGTTAGGATAATTATGTGATTATGTATTTATTGTATTTATCAGCTTTATATTATTGTTTGAGGTAATTTGTAATTTATTTATGTATTTTTGGGTAGATATGTAAGTTCGTTTATATACTCTTATATATGTATGTTTATGTATGTATTATATGCTTTACTTTATCTTTTATTATGTATTAGTAATTTATATCATTTCATGTGTTAGTTATTTATATGTTATTTTATTGCATTTATTGTCTATATATCGCATTTATTGATATTATATTTTGTATAATTATATTGCACCACCTGCCCAGTATTCATTGTTTATTCCTTTATACCATTGGTTGCCTGGAAGAGATCGCTATGTAGCGATAAGGCCGCCAAATTGTACATTTAACCTGTCTATTGTTATGTAATTTGTTTATTAGTTTGTGGTGTACAATAAAGTATTTTCATTCATTCATTTCATTCATTCATACATTCTGTAAATGGGGCAAGATGGAAGGGAGATCCGGAGGGAGATCAAACGTGGGGTTCCGCAGTTCTCGGTGCTGGGTCCGCTACTATGAAATCTCGCGTAAGATGCGGTTCTGCGAGTCGACCTTCCTGCTGGCGTAAATATCGTGTGCTATGCCGACGACACACTGGTGGTCGCCAGCGGGGTACCTTCGAGGGGACCAAGGAGCTCGTAGAGCTTGGGACGGAAGTCGTCGTCGCCAAAATCCAGGAGTTGGGTCTAGAAATAGCGCCTCATAAGACCGAGGCCTTATGGTTTCACAGATTACCTCGGAGCAGGGAAGGGACCCGACTCGTGCATCTACGTGGATAAGTCTGAAATCAGAGTGGGGCGGTACATAAAGCACCTAGGGCTCCACCTGGACAGTCGCTGGGGCTTCGAAGAGCACTTTGAGCGCCTAGTCCCCCGGATTGAGAGGGTGGCGGGTGCTATGCACAGACTGCTACCCTATCTAGGGGGACCGAGGGAGGAAGTGCACCGCCTCTATGCTGGGGTAGTGCGGTCCGTAGCATTATATAGGACGTCTGTATGGGCGAAAAAGCTAGCCATCCGACGCTGTAGAACTAAAATCTACAGGGTCCAGCGACGGGTGGCTATACAGATGCGAGGTTATCGCACGATATCCTTTCAGGCGGCAACAGTCCTGGCTCGTTTTCCACCCCTAGATATACTGGCGGAAATGGATGCGAGGATGTACAACTGAATCCGCATTCTCCGTCAGGGAGGTGGCGGTGAGCCAGATGAGGCGCTCGAGTCAATAAAACGGCAGGAGCGACAGAACGCTTTGGCGACATGGCGCACTCGACTCAACGAGGAGCGTTATGCGCGCAAATGCTTGTTGAAGCAATCCTGCCGGTCTTCGAAGTCTGGATGCAGCGACGAGTAGGAAGACTCACATACAGACTTACACAGATAATTACCGGGTACGGCTGCTTCGGTGATTATCTGTGTAAGATCGGACGCGAGGCGGCGGCGAACTGCTTTCACTGTGGTGGACGGGACCAGGACTCCGCTTCCCATACACTTGCGGTATGTCCAGCGTGGGAACAGGAGCGGATGATCCTGGTGAACCGGATCGGATGGAACCTCTCCCTGCCAACAGTCGTGGAGGGCCGTAGCCACGTTCTGTGAATCCGTTATGATTCAGAAGGAGGCTGCTGAACGGGATCGGGAGAGGGCGGATCCCGCTCGGAGACGACGTCGCCAAGGCGTTCGTCACAGCCCTCCTTTTGAAAACGGTGTTCCCCTACCAGAAACGGGGCCTCTGAGGTTATAGGCGCTCGGAGCGGGGACCCCGAAAGTCTAGCAATGTAATATCCGAGGAGGACGGTGACTCGAAAGTGGCCCCGAGCACTGTGATAGCACTGCGAGGATGCTGGGGGCAGTAAGAACTGCCCTCGGGACGTGCTTCAATAAAGCAAAGCGAGAAACGGTTGCGTTCCGAACGGAGATCCCAGGATCCCTCGTATACGCTGATGGTGACCACCGCGGGGTTTTAGCCGGTAGGAGTCCGGCATAAACTTATCGTTGCCCCCACAGCAAAAGGTATCCATGAGGATTACCCCACGAAAAAAAAAGGTTATATCAAATTACCCAACAGTTACGTAGCAATATTCATAATGACCAGACAATGTGATAAATAATGAAGTTTAAAGCAGTACTAATTACATAGCCCGATTTGACTTGTCATTATTCATATTGCCCGGACATTATAAATAGTGCCCTGATTAATCACTTCGTCCATAACATACATAATCGCTGTATCTTGGAGATAGTTTTGGAGCTTGAAAGAATTCTAAAAAAATCAGAAACCTCAGTTTGTTTAATATTAGTCTTTAAAATGACTATTTTACCATGCGTAACTTATGGTAGTCTAAAATAGGCGTAGCTAGCTAGTAATAGACAAGCGGCAAGATTAGCAATAAATATCCGAGAAAAAAATCTAAAATAACAAATGTAATAGAGAGTTCATAGCTTAAAATGGAAATGAGCAGAGCATATAAGCAGAATGTAAATACAAAGATAGGTGTTAAAACGTACCGAGACGAAAAAAACCAGAAAGTGGGAGGTCCAAAAAAAGATGGTTGTAAAATTCTAATGGAAAGTGCGAGAAAGCATTAGTTGAAGAATGCATAAAACGCTGCGACTTCATCAGCGTAGAACTAAACAAAAAAAAAAACTGGCAGATCTATAAAAGTGGTCTTTGAGCCTTCAATAATAAAAAAAACAAACACTTTAAACTACAAAAATTAAAACAAAACAAAAAAAAAACAGTTTTTTTGCTGTTATCTCGAAAACTGCATTCGTTATGGGAAAATACTTGAAATAAAAACTGCAAATCTAATTTTACGCAAAAAGGTACTTATCACCTTATCTTGCGGCAGTGTATGTATTAATGTTGCACTAACACTGCCGTCAGCTCCGTACAAAGTGACTAACACGGCAGCTAACGCATTATAACTCACAGTTTTGTTGTAAAATGTTGTTGAAGTAAAAAAAAAAAAATGTTGAGATTCGATTTTGCATCAAAACTACATAAATAGAATAGAGGATAAAGTGTAAGGACCCATTTTCTGCCGACTTCCAAAAAGGAGACGGTACTCAATTGGACTGTGTTTTTTTTATGTGTGTTACCTCATAACTTTTTAGTGGGTGAACCGATTTCGATGATTCTTTTTTTATTTGAGAGCTGGTACTTCTCTTGAATTTATCAAGGTCAGACCAATAGTTTTTGAGTTATTCTTAATAACTTATACTGAAGTCGGCTGTACAAAATTTTTAATTTTAAATTATTGTATAATTATAATTGCAAACTAAAAAAAGCTTAATCACAACCATATTTATTTTATCAGTTTTAGAATTCTCTAGTGGCAACCTCCGTGTTGGGCACCTCCCACACATACATACCACCATGGAGTGACGATCTGATAAAACAAACACGCAGATAATCGATGCATACAGGTGGCTTAGGGCCATACTTTGTGGCAATGTATGGGGGAGGCCTGTTCTCAGCAGTGGACTGCATTAAGTGTGATAATTAAATAAGCATTGTATATAAAATGTTTTTACACGTTTCAGATTACAATATATTTCTTACCCAGCAAACAATTTCCAGAACGGATGCAACGGGCTGCTTGTAAAATTAAATGTAATTTAGATTAGGCTGTTTATTTTTTATTGAATTCCCTTTAACAAAAAAAGACTATTTTATTCTATTTATATATAAGATTATTTCACTATTTTCTACTAATCATCTTACCCATGGACTAATGAAAATTGACCTAGGTGTAATAATAAAGAAAAAACTGACTAATGAAAAATACCATTTTAAAGTTAAATATTTCGCAAACGGACCCTTGAATCGAAAAGATGTTTGTTCCACATTCCAATGTTTTTGAAAGACCTATCCAACGATACCCCACATGATGAAATAGACGGGTAAAAAAAATCATCCTCCATTTACTTGTATGGGAAGTATCCAAAATAAAAAAGTAAATAGTGACACTGTGTTCGAGACCCAGAAATCACCCGTGCAAAGTCGGGGCGCTAGTAATATCACAGAATAGATAATAGTTAAAGTAGTAATATATGTAATATATATAATGTTTAAAACTACATAATACAATACATTACATTTGCTATTCGGAAAATGCTTTTTTCATGAGACCCAGGCTATAGATAGAGTTTGATTCAGTGAGTCTCAGAGATCAGTCAATGAGGTTTTCGCGTCATGATTTACTTTTACTGTATAAAAAATGTTTTAAAGTTAAAATATACGTAGTAGAGCCACGCTGCGGCTATATTATGGTTGTAGCGGGAATGGGTTAGCTCGACCGGGTTAGTACCACGCTTTCACAAAATACCAGCGTAAAATAGCAGCTTAATGCTGCTGTGCATGGTATCATAAGTGTAGAGAAACGGAGACCTTTTTTACTGGAAACAAAACATTCCATCTTGGTCCTTAGGGTTGACTACTACGCATCTGCATTTTTATTCTTAATCGAGGATAATGGTACAAATAGTCGTAGAGAGCATGTCACGAGCAGAGTTAGCAAAAGTAGTAGCAAAAAGTTTAAAACATTATTTGTACTTTTTTTTTGGAAAAGGGCGCGTGGCGCGCGTGCCAGGCGCGTGGCTTCCGCCTAACTGTGGCAAACGACCCTACATGCACGGAATGCCTAATTTCCAGTAATAAGGGTCTCCGGTTCTCTACAGTTACCATACGAAACTCAGCAGTATTAAGCTGTTATTTTACGCTTTTCTACCGACTTTAAAAAGGAGACGGTACTCAACTTGACTGCATGTTTTTTTTTTTTGGAGCGTGTTCCTTCACCGGCCGAATCGACCCATTCGCGGTACAACCATAATATACGAGTAGCTGCAGCGTGGCTCAACCACGTATATAAAATTATGTAAATAGGACGATGAATTCATTTACGTAGCCACTTACGTTACACTTACACTTACGTACGCACATATTCAATTGTTTATTTAAATGTGAATTATACTTGTACTACACACACTTTACAATTCATTTAATTATTAACCTGATTGATTTCACTTTATAAGGACATTTTCAATGGTTATAATAATCGTACATAATACCTATAGATTGTAAAAATGTAAGTTACATGTGTAATGAAAAAAATCTAAGACATGTGAAGTTCGCCGTGTTGGGCAACATTGGGACAGCGCGGCGGCAATGGGACGTATATAGGCCATTTAACTTTAACATGTGTAATGTAACTGATAAACTGTTATTACTGGCCGTGATTAAAAAAAAAACTCTTACCTTTGCGGCGAAGACGACGTCTTATTGTCTGAATTTCGCCAATTGCTTTGTTCGTTAGCATTCTGAAATTATTCAAGAGTATTAATTATTATTTTTTATAATGATCGTACGTGCACAATGTGTAGTGGCGGTTAAGAATATCCACTACCCCATATCTTCCCGTGGGTGTCGTAAAAGGCGACAAAGGGAAACAGGCAGGAGATTGGCAGCAGCATCTTCCTGATAACAGCAAAAATACAATAAAAAAACTGCAGTTGCCAACCCGCTCGCCAAGCGTGGCAACTATGGCAAATACCCCCCAAATGGATAAAGTTACTAAGAGACGGCCCCCAGTCCCCGACGGCCCCGCTATTCCTGGCTACGGTGGCGACCATGGTAACGGCGGGGCAGGGGGTGCTAAGAATCTCCGGTGGAGGTTCGGTTGCCACCTACGACGACTTGACCTGGTAACATACAACGCACGCACCCTGAGGACTCACGAGAAGATTGTGGAGCTGGAAGAAGAGATTGACAAGTTACGCTGGCATATTATAGGATTATCCGAAGTCCGAAGAGAGGAGGAGGAAACGGTAATGAAACAAACAACTTGCTCTATTACCGGGAGGGCGACCATCTGTCCCAAGGAGGTGTCGGATTTATCGTCCACAAGTCTCTCGTTAACAACGTTGTAAAGATTGAGAGTGTGTCGACGAGGGTTGCGTACCTTATACTCAGAATCACCAAACGGTATTCGCTGAAGGTCATACAGGTTTACGCACCAACCTCGGCACACCCCGATGAGGAGGTGGAGGAAATGTATGAGGATATCTCTAGAGCCATGCATTCCTCCAAAACCCAATATACGGTGTTAATGGGAGACTTCAATGCAAAACTAGGCACAAGAGAGAACTGTTCAGTGATGTCTCAGTGATCGAGAGGATGAAAATCGGCAGCGATCACCGAATGGTTAGAGGCACACTGAACCTAAACGTTAAGTTGGAGAGGTCTCGTCTAATGAAGTCAACGCTCCGTCCCCCTCGTGCTCTAAGTCCCGAAACCTTTCAGCCCGAGTTACAAAACAGTTTTCAGTGCCTAGAAGACTGCAATGAAGTGGACGATATGAATGACAAGCTCGTGGAAACTGTCCATGCGGTCGGAGCTAAGTTCTGCACGACCCGCCGCAGAAGAACACAAAAACTCTCCGATCACACTCTTAATCTCATGGCTGTTAGACGGGAGATGAAGCTACATTCTTCAACAGATTTGACAGCATACAGGCAACTGAACAGACAGATCTCCAAATGCATGCGACGGGACTTACGCAACTTCAATACAGCTCATATTGAAGAAGCGATCGAGTGGAACCAAGGCTGCAAAGTCTTTGCCAGAGATCTGTCTGGCAGAAAGATCCAACTGTCAAAGCTGAAGACAGAATGTGGCAGCATCGTTTCCGGGGCACCTGAGATTTTGAGTGAGATTGAGAGGTTCTATGGGCAGCTGTACACGTCATCGTTGGAGCCACACGCGAGAGTGTGTAACGATCCAAGAGCGAGGCTTATCCGACACTATTCCGAAGCTATCCCGGACGTCAGTCTGAGCGAGATTAGAATGGCTCTCCAGCACCTTAAAAACGGCAAGGCCCCAGGCGAGGATGGAATTACAGCGGAGCTTCTGAAAGCGGGTGGAAAACCGGTACTTGAAGTCCTTCAGAAGCTCTTTAATTCCGTCCTCCATGGTGGCATTACACCGGAGGCGTGGAGCAGAAGTGCGGTGGTCTTGTTCTTCAAGAAAGGCGATAACGCTCTCTTGAAGAACTACTGACCGATTTGCCTTCTGAGCCGCGTCTACGTGCTGTTTTCGAGTCATTACGAATCGTCTCGACTTCCAGCTTCCCGAACAAGCCGGTTTCCGAAAAGGCTTTAGCACCATAGACCACATACATACCCTTCGGCAAATTGTACAAAAGTCAGAGGAGTACAATTTGCCACTATGTCTGGCGTATGTGGACTATGAGAAAGCCTTTGATTCCGTCGAAATTTGGGCGGTGCTGTAGTCCCTTCAGCGGTGCCAAGTAGACTGTCGGTATATCGAAGTGCTGAAATGCTTGTACAGTAGGGCTACGATAGCTATCAGAGTACAGAACCAGACTACGAAATACCAATTGCAGAGAGGTGTAAGACAGGGTGACGTCATATCCCCGAAACTCTTCACCGCTGCATTGGAAGACGTTTTCAAGCTTCTGGACTGGAAAGAATACGGTATCAACATCAATGGCGAGTACATCACTCATCTTCGATTTGCCGACGGTATAGTTCTTATGGCAGAATCGCTGGAGGACCTAAGCACTATGCTCAATGACCTCAATAGTGCTTCCCAACGGATAGGTCTTAAGATGAACATGGACAAAACAAAGATCATTTTTAATGTCCATGTCACACCTATGCCGGTAGTTGTTGGGAACACTAAGCTCGAAGTTGTTGACGAGTATGTTTACCTGGGACAAATAGTCCGACTAGGTAAGTCCAACTTCGACCGAGAGGTCAATCGACGGATTCAACCCGGTTGGGCAGCGTTCGGGAAATTACGGCACATCTTCTCATCACGTATACCTTAAAACTTGAAAACGAGACTGTACAACCAGTGCGTGTTGCCAGTGATGACATACGGAACTGAGACGTGGTCCTTCACTGCTGGCCGGATGAGGAAGTTCAAGGTCGCTCAGCGAGCTATGGAGAGGGCTATGCTCGGAGTTTCTCTGCGTGATAAACTCAGAAATGAGGATATCCGCAGTAGAACCAGAGTGACCGACATTGCCCAACGGACTAGTAAGCTGAAGTGGCAGTGGGCCGGCCATATAGCTTGGAAGAACCGACAACCGATGGGGAAGAAAGGTTCATGAGTGGCAGCCTCGTACCGGTAGGCGAAGTGTAGGGCGACCCCCCACGAGATGGAGTGACGACCTGGTAAGACATGCAGAAAGTCGATGGATGCAGGTGACTCAGGACCGTGCTTTGTGGCATTCCTTGGGGGAGGCCTATGTTCAGCAGTGGACTTGTGAAGGGCTGTAATGATGATGATGATGACGTGCACAATAAGTGCTAATAAATTATTATTATTATTATTATAGACTAGCTTTTTATTTAAAAAAAACATGTAGTTTTATAATAGAGGTCTTTGGGCAAGTAGTTCAATTGTCGAAAAACCATTTTAAGTGCAAGTAAGAAAATTACATACGATATTTATCTTGGCTAAACGTGGTCCGATCCGAATAGCTCGCTGCTCTTTGAACTCTGCCTATCCCCTCGGGTATTACATGCGTCACGCCATGAGCGTATAAAAATTAAATAACTATAAATTATACATAAAAAGGTCTTACAGCCTTGCCCTTTTGCACTTTAGTATTAAATTAGAAAAAATGTAAAAATCTATTTTGCATCAAAACTTTAAAAAATAGAAGATTAAGTGTGATGATCTATTTTCAAAAACATTTAAAAAAGTTTAATTCTAAACTTTTTTAAATGTCCTATAGCAAATCAGATTATGATCATCATCATTACAGCCCTCCACAAGTCCACTGCTGAACATCACCCAAGGAATGCCATAAAGCACGGTCCCGAGCCATCTGCAAATCAGATAATCATCGAAAAATCATATATTTTATCAGTTTTTTATTTTCACAAAAAAGTCTTGAATGTTTTTCAAATAAAATATAGACTAGATCACTCCTGAGATTGATGTTCGTGAAACTTCATCAAAATTTATTCAACCAATCTAAAAATTAGTCCGAACACACAGACAGACAAACAAACAAACATTTTAAAAATGGTTATTCATGTGTTAACAGCATGCACATAGCATAGAAGTCAGTTATTTTGATACTACAGACATACACTTCAATTTTATTTATATCTTTAGGTGTACAAATTAGTAAAACAAAGCAGAAAGTGAACCGCGGTAGCGCAGATTTCGATCCCCGATATTTGTTCAAACGAAATTGCTAATTCTAATTTTAAGTGTTGTAGTTTTCAGATATATAGTAGTTCGAAATGAAATCGAATAAAGCTCTATTAAACAATTCGATAAATGATATTAATTAATCACACAAACTGAACAAATTGCACTTGAATTGTATTGACCCAATATTAAACGACTACAATTAATAATGAGATATACATTACAATATGAGTAAACATGAAGATAGAGACACAAGTATAAAGAATTCTGTGCAACGTGGAAGAGATTTACATAATTTAATTTATTGCCCATAGACAAAAACCAACATATATTTTAGTTCGTCTCTAAAGACCCAGTTACTTACTCGACTCCAAAGATTCAATAATACCTTCATGTGACATAGTTTATACTTTTACGACATAGTCCCAGATAATACAATCTACTAAATAACGTAAAAAAACTAAGTAAAAATTGTTTAATAAGGGTTATTATATTACTAAAGAGTACATGATTGATAATAACCATTGGGAATGAGGTGATAGCCACCGTGCTGTTTCTAAATGTTTTTACATTTAAATGTTTGAAAAAAGTCCCGCTGGGTTTCTAGCTGGTTCTTCCCAGGAACAAAGGTTTTTTTCCAAATCAGTGGTAAAAGCATAACTGATTTTCAATTTGTATTCTTGTAATCGATATTGAATAAAAATTATACTATTCTATTTGTACTCGTAAAAGGAAAGTCAGCTTTACCTTGACCTTGTAAGGCCGACTTTTCTTTTAGTTAGAAAGAGCTAAAATCACTATATAATAAACATCGAACCTTCAGATTCGAATATTTATTCTAAAAAACAGTAGACAAGTGAAAGACCTACTTAACACTTTATATATGAAGCAATAAAGATAAAAGTACCTTGTTGTCCCTTTTACTTGAATCCGAGTCTTCACTTATCTTGAGAAGATTTCGTAACAGATGTGTTGCACTGTCCTGTAGGCAATACAATAATCATGTTGCATGTTTGATTATATAACATATCAGTGCAAAAGAGTGTGTTTTGAAAAAGCCTGTCTGGCAGCAGTCGATTTATAAATTAAACATTGAAAATTAAAGTAAAAGTTGATTTCAAAGAACTAAAAGAGGTAAAATAATTTCCACACGACTGCTTCAGAAGATGGGCCTTTAATTATTCTATACTCTATGTCTTAGCACCGTTATGAATAGACGAAGGAATATCACAACCTCAAAACAACGACATTCCATGTCGTCTTAATTGTTATACCCCATTTGCTCCACTCTTAAGGATGGATTTTTTTTTCCACATTTATATGGATCAACTCCTGTAGTATAACCCATTTTATAACAACAGAATCGTTAAAATCGGTTCACATTAGACGAATATATCGCATAGCATACATACAAAAAAGAACATACAATCAAATTAATCCCATGATTAAGCTGCATTGTCAGTCACTTTGTACAGAGTATTGCATATAAAACATGACTGACGGCAGTGTAAGTGTAACCTCCTCCTTCTAAGGTAATTAAGAAAGTGCACGCGATTCGCAACGACAACTTCATTCATTTTAGGGTTTTACTGCCGACTTCCAAAAAGGAGACGGTACTCAATTCGACGCGTATGTTTTTTTTATATGTGTGTTACCTCATAACTTTTTACTGGGTAAACCGATTTCGATTATTCTTTTTTTATATGAAAGCTGATACTTCTCGTGTGGTCCCATATGAATTTGATCAAGGTCAGACCAATGGTTTTTGAGTTATTTGAGTTATTCTTAATAACTTATATTGAAGTCTGCTGTACAACATTTTTAATTTTAAATTATTCAAGGTCGATATCATAACAATGTGAGCAGATTATTTGCAGAAAATTACGGTTTTAGAAAGAAGTCTTTATTGAGTGTACTACAGAGCAAAATAATATTTTTTTATTACTATTTTTTAGAGATAACACAGTGTTTCCATAGCGTTTTACGAAAATGTGCGTCAGAGTTATCATCTTTCAGGTCGAATACAATCATAGAATACTTTAATACATACACAATAGAACGGAGTGGGCGGTGCCCGTGTAGCCACTAACATGTCAATTCACACCTATAAATGTCAACACATCTATTTTGACGTCACATTCTCAGTCGCTGCCCAATTTTTGTGTCAAGCGTTGCTGGGTGCAATTTATTGCAAAAATGCCGAACTGCGATAATTACGTGTCGGAAAAATAGCCGAATGAGGAATTTTAATTAATGTGGTATATCCTTTCACCAGTAAGTCAAAACTATTTTATTTTGTGAATATTAGAAACAAATATAAAGAAATATTGATATGTAAAAACAACAACAAACACTAACAAAATTTTATTGATACCAATTAACCGAGAAATATTGTCGCTTTAGAAATTGTACTTGGTATACTTATTTATATTATATATACTTTTTCTTCCGATTTTGCACTCGCCCGTTGTTCCCTTACCAATACTGTACTAATTATTACTATTGGTACTTTTTTAGATATCTTTTTATTTACATAAAGCATTTTTCCGGTTTTCCTAGAGATCCGAACATAAAAAATATGGATGGAAGCTAAGGGAGGATTAATAATATTACTGACTTCTTATCCATACATCACAAAAGAAATTTAAAGGACAGTGAAATTCCACGTAAAAAAATTGTATGCATAATTTTAGCACCGGTAAGTGTGATCCTGTGAAAAGGATTAATTCAACATCTGAGAATGTGATGTCTTGAAAAAACGAAGCTATAGATGACAGCAGTGAAGAAAAAAAAGATATAAGCTCGAAACGTGGTAATCACTCATAGGGTGTAATAACTGTTTCCTGGGATTATATTTAACCAAATTGATATAATCCTATAAGAAATCGTATTATGTAAAATATATACTTGAAAAATATATCAACATTCGATATCACTTCTTGTCGATAATCTGAGTTGCTAATAATACCAACGGCATTTGTTAAACAAATATATATTTTTCCAAGGTTAATGAAACCACTTTTTTTAAATTAATCTAAAGAAAATATCAAAAACGTGCTTCAAAAATTTTCGTCAAACACGAAAGTCAGCAAATGTCTATTAGATCGTTTAATGATTACAGATTAGATAACAGCCAAGTGTCTAAGAAATAAAACTTAGAAAACCTAATTGAAATCTATCTAGTATTTTTTCCGTGATGCGCGCACAACTGCCAACCTCTATCATTTTATTTTTATAGACAAAGTAAGTACGAGGGTGACATTGAAAGTTCTTAGAAAACAAACTAGCAAGTTATTAGTTTTATTATATCTTTTCAAAATAGTATCCATTTACATCAATACATCGCTGCATGAACCACTTAGAAAAACACTTTGCCTACTCGTCCTTAGAGGTCTCTTCGACGGCATTTTGAAACGCAGTCACTGCTTCCTCGGCGTCCATAAAACGTTTTCCTGGAAGTTTTTCTTTTATTTTCGGAAATAAATAAAAATCACAAGGTGCTAGGTCGGGGCTATAGGGCGGGTGACCCAGTAATTCCACGTTTGACTTCGCCAAGTAGTCGATTGTTTGCTTGGCGGTGTGCAACGAGGCGTTGTCGTGGTGAAGGAGGATCCTACTGCGAGGTCGTTTCTCCCGAACTTTATCAAAGACAAGTGGCAAACAATTGTTAGTGTACCACTACAATTACTCTCTACTCACAGTTACTCTGCAGGAACTGTTTTTCGATCCTCTAAAACAATTGTTGCGTAATGACCTGTCCTTCGGAAGAACGAGGCGATCTTTTTTCCCATGCTTCGACCTCTCTTCACTTTAATTAGCAACTCCTCGGAAGGAAACACCCAGACAGCAAACTGGCTCTTAGTTACAGGATCATAATAATAAATCCAGCTTCCGTCACCCGTAAATATATCGAACACAGCATTTGAGTCAACTCCGTTAAATCTTTGAACCATTTCACGACACCAATCAACACGAACGGAATTTTTGGGTCTCTGTCAAATTATGAGGTATCCACCGGGCACAAAGTTTCCTGACCGTTAAATGTTCATTGAGGATTTTGTGCACTTGACTTATTATACCAATGCCTAAACTTGTCCGAATCTGCTGATACGTCACTCTTTTGTCAGTCTCTATCATATGCCGCACAACACTGATGTTATCTTCAGTCGTCGAGATAGAAGGCCGTCCCTCACGCAGATCATCGGTGAGATTAGTGCGACCACGTTTAAACTCATTAAACCAGTTGTAAACAGTGGCACGAGATGGGGCTTCATCGTGAAAGGCCAATCGGAGTCTATCATAACTTTCTTGTTGACATAAATTACTTGTGGATGTTAAACAACGTAGGCAAACAGGTCAATTCCTTTTTAAGGCAACCAATAATAAAGAAATACTAATTTAAAGAATTATATGAATACTAGCTTACGTCCGCGTGGAAGTCGGCCATACCGCGTTCACTATACGAAATTTTGAGGATGAAAGGTAACCTAGCCTTTTTAATGTTTCCAGCTATTTGAATACCACATATCGTCAAAATCACTTGGAGTGACTTAGCATTTCCTTTCATAGGGTTTTCCCCAAATTCGCAGTTTAACGGCTAATAACGACCAAATTTGTGAAGCCTACTTAGCTGTAATAGTTTACGTTTTTTACATCAAACTATGTCAATTTTATCAAAAACAGGTCAGCAATTTAAAAATGTATGGATTTTCTTTCTGCAATACAATTTGGCAGCGGATTATGTTTTTGTCTTATATTTTCTGAAGTAAAATTTATAATTGACAACATTAAACAATAGATAAATAGATAAAATGTTTAGTGATTATATATATATATATATATATATATATATATATATATATATATATATATATATATTATTTCATTTTGAATCTATTTTTGAATTTTAATCGAAAAATTTAATAAATATACCCAAGTTTTACCGATGGTTACCGGTTGCCGGTAAATCACTAAACAAAACTGCATTCCTAGCTGTGATACCATTTTATACTACAGTTTGCTAAAATGCGCAGACTAATATGATGCTATGCATCTTACGTGTTCAACAACTTTTTATTTACAATAAAAAAAATACTTACTGCGATTGTATTTGCAATTAGTTTGCACACTATTTACAAATAAATATGTATTAAAATTTAATCGATTTCTTTTTTTATGATGATCATGAACATCAATTAAGTCTAAAATGTGTAAATTCGCTCAGTCTGTCAACACTGTTATTCCTTCTCTTTCTTTTCAGAAAGAGACCGGTCTATAAAGATTCGTTGCGAATCCGTTGTTCTTGCCTTGGAATAGTCTAATTGTATGTAATATTAAAATGCGTTTGTAACATTTATTTATTGAAATTTGTATGGCCAATGAGCAAATTGGGTTTCTAGTAGTGATAATACGACGTAACCGCTTGTATGTGTGCTCACGGCGACACCGGTTCTCGTACAAAATAAGGTTGACAGCCATTCTATTGTGTATTATAGTATTCTATGAATAGAACTATTATAATGAGCTAAAATTCTTTATTTTAAGCGTTATTAAAACGGAATATATAGTCTCAAAGTGTAACACAGAGCCTAAATTACGAATAATTGCAATTTAATATTAATAAACAATACTATAAAATCACTAAACCTGCCCACTTCAATGTCATTTTTTTCCGTGTGTCCGTAACCTATATACGTAATATAAACGTAACTATTATAATCATTTTAACAAAATACAGGCAATGCTAAGTATTCTACTTTTTTAGCTCTTTTTTTTACTCAAGTATTTTATACGATAATTTAAAAAATACTATAAATCACCGCGCGCAAACGTCGTCCGATCAGTCTATTCCGGGTTCTCCCAACGGTAGAACACATCACATTTTCCGGCCGCCGCGCGCGTTCGCTTCGATGCACATCACTTGTGTAAGCGAACGAAAGCGCGACCCCGCACAATAAATGATACTTTCTAATAATAATTTTCATTTATTTAATTAATAAGTTTATATGGTAGTAAGTCATTTTTTAAACAATAACTAATTTATCATATAATATATATAAAAGATATAAGAGCCGTGGTAACTTATATAAACTTATATGTACTTATATGGTAAGAGTTACCACGGCTCTTCAAAATTTTCTCTTCAAAATTATGTAATTCCTGGGCATAAGATTGGTTTTAACCAAATTCAGGTCACCAATAAGCCTCTTAGCACGCCTTTCCATTGAGTCCAGAGCTGCTAGGTGGCATTTTGCAGCACTAGCATATATATGGCAGCAATACTCCATGTACGACCGGACTTGCGCTTTATATAAAGTAAGCAGATGTCCCGGCGTGAAGCATCGCCGCACCTTTGCAAGGACTCCCAGCTTCCTTGCAGCTGCTTTGGCCTTGGACTCAATGAACCGCCCGAAGTTCAAATTGGAGGATATTTCAAACCCTAACAACTGAAGGCGGTCGGTATATTTCAGTGATACATTTCGGAAAGGAGGAGCCAAGGTGATCTGGCTCCTTTTTGCAGTGAAGAGGACACGCTTGTGTTTTGGAGGCGTTGAACTTCACAAGATTGGCATCGCCCCAATCGGAGACTGCCTGTAATGTGAGATTCACACGCTCTACCATAGCTTTTCTTTCGGACTGGATTTGATCCCGACTAGCCCGAGGACTTGGTTGGTATCTCTTAACAACTGTGCTATCGTCTGCATACCCATAGATACCCGGCATAAGCAGATCATTAATATACAGCAGGAAGAGAGTTGCGGAGAGAACGGACACCTGAGGAACACCGGCGTTAGTCGCCATAGGATCGGATGAGCAGCCATCGACGATGACCCGGAGAGACCGTTCACTCAGAAAGTCCTTAACCCATTCAATCAGACCAGGGGATAAGCCGTACGCTGGAAGCTTAGCCAAAAGGCTAGTGTGCCAAACTCTGTTAAAGGCCTTCGAGACATCAAGGGAAACAGCAAGTTCTTCCCCACTGTTCTCGAGTGCCTCGCCCCATACGTGTGTGGCATACGCTAGAAGGTCCCTAGCTGACCGATTTCGGCGAAACCCATATTGCCGGTCACTAAGGTCATTCTGTTCTAGGTATGCCATTAAGCGGGCATTCAATATACGCTTCATAATCTTGCAGAGTATGGAGGTAATTGAGATTGGCCGATAATTGGCAGGGTCGGCGCGGCTGCCTTTTTTTGGAAAAGGCTGCACGTTGGCCAGCTTCCAGGATTTTGGCACTATTCCAGTACTAAATGAGAGGCGAAACAAGCCTGCCAACACAGGAGATAACTCAGGTGCAAAAGCCTTTAGGACTATAGCTATACCATCTGGTCCACTAGCTTTATTCACTTCTAGACACCGCAAGATTTTAAGAACCTTATTCATTATACGAATCTCCGACATAGAGGTCCCGCAGTGAGGTAATATTGGTGGAACGTTGTTGCCACTGTCCAGACGTGAATTATAGGCAAAAGAGACGCAAACAAGTCCGCTTTCTCCTTAACCGTATGCGCCAGTGTGCCATCCGGTTTAACCAGCGGATGCAGTGTAGGCCGACAGAAGTATGTCTCGACCGCTTTGGCGAGAGACCAAAAAGCTCTAGTGCCGGATATTCTGGCAGAGAGTTTTGCGCCGATATGTTTAATGCGATCGAGACTAGCTTTCCGTAATGCTTTTTTGTAGGACTTGTCGGTCTGGTTGAAAGTTCTCTACTTGGAGCTAATATCCGAAGCTAATATCCGGTGCTTTGCGGTTTCGAGCGTCAATCCAGGATAGGTAAGCTAAATGCTTGCGCTTTTCAGCTTGGGCGCATTCAGCGTTAAACCATGGGCGAGCATTGCTACCGGTGGGAGCGTCAGAGAAAGGGATAAAGTACTCCATAGCTTGACGCAACACATCCGTTATCGCAACCGCGCAGCTCGACGGATCCGCAGAAGAGAAACAGATCTCCCGCCAAGGATAAGATGCAAAAAAGAGTCGCATCTCATCCCAATCAGCTGACTTATACCGCCATATTCGTCGAACACCTTGGGACTCGTAATCAGGTGGAGAATATGACGATACAGATTTCATCAGACAGTGGTCAGATGTACCCAAAGAAGAAGTAACCTGTACTTCATATCTGTCTGGTTCGGTAGTCAGCAGAAGGTCCAAGCAATTTGCTGTGTGACCGTCTACATCGGGTACCCTAGTCGCCACCTTTACCATCTGAGAAAGACCTAGCGTTAAAACGAAATTCCACGCTTCTCTTCCAGCATGGTCGGTCTTTTGGTATGGGAACAGCCAGTCTTGGTGACAAAGTTTAAGGTCCCCCAGAAAGACCAACTGTGCAGTATGATACCGATTTAGGGCCACGTTAGCAGCCTCACTAAGGTGATCTAATAATCGTGTTGTAATGTAAATGATTCTTAATAAAAGATAGATAGTGTCTATGAACATAGCATCTACTTAACATCAGGTGGACTGTATTTTGTTCGTCAACCATACTTTTTGCTAGTAGAACTCCTTTTCCAGCCCGGGGGTCCGTCTGAATAGGTAACATCCTCTGACCTGTTTTTGCCACCAAATAGCAGTGCTTGGACTGCTGTGTTCCGATCTGAAGAGTATAGAGAGTTGGAGAGCCAGTATAATAATGTGAGGCACTCCACACATCTACTAACCATCTGGTGGATTGTGTCTTGTTTTTCAGCCATACTAGTATGTAGCAATTATGTATTACTAGCTGTTCCCCGCGACTTCGTCCGTGTAGAATTTATTATGTGGATGTTATGAGTTTTAATTTTTTTGCGCGGAACCCTATCCTTTTCTAAAATAAAAGTAGCCTAAGTTACTCCTTATAACATTAGCTATCTGCCTGTGAAAGTCCCGTCAAAATCGGTCCAGCCATTTCAGAGATTAGCCGGAACAATAGACTGACAATTTTTTAAAAAAAATTGTGTTTTTGTTATAAACACCATATATATTTTCATATGTATTTAGTAAAAAGCTGTTATTTCGACATTACAAACAGACACTTCAATTTTATTTATTTCTTTAGATTATAATTTGTTATCAAAATGACAATTTACATAAAAATACTTACGGGTGCGCCACTATTGTTAACTGCATTGTGGAATGAGTTGGTGCGTACTTCGGCTACCGGCGACTTACTATCAGCCGGTGGACTGACAAACAAACATTAGTTATTTCTTCTGGAATATAATATGAGTATTTTTTTTGTGTTTACGGAAACCCGTAAAAAATATATTTTAATCATTCGAGTAAATATAAGAAATTATAATTTCCTTATTTCTTTATCAAAACATAACAGTCTTCTGTTAAACTGCCTCTGTTATTTTGTGCATTGGATTTGGCATAGTTACCGTACTTAATCTAAATCGCCAATCCGCTTGTGACTGATGATCGCAGTACCAGAAATACCACCATTTGCCGATAGATAGATAGACAGGTAAGATCTTTCCGGCATTGGTCTGGTTGGTGGTTCTTTTTTATTTGCTTTTTCTGTCAAGAAATTCTCAGTAGCAGCTCGGAGTGGGGAAGTTGGCGGTGTTTCACCCACATGCCTCAGAAAGCATGTAAAACCACTGGTCCTGCGCTTGATCTTTTCGGGTCGTGTCGGTTTACCGTCTCATCGGACTTTGAGAATGAGGGAATAGAGAATGCGCATAAACTCGGGACACTGTAATCCTGTCCCGCCCACATGTCTGGAAGATGTTATGTACGTTCTACCGAATAAAGAGCAGAAATGTTTTTAAATATTTTTTTACATTTTCCAGTTGAGTGAGGATTTTGTTAGATTTGTTACAGATACTTTTAAGTTATAATAAAATATTAATGATTAAAAACTTGTGAAAGCTGTATAAAATGAATATTGTACCTATAGCTAGCGAAGGCAGAATGGTGCTGATCACGACGTAACAATGTTGGTGGTGTGTTCACGCCCAACCATTCCTGTTGCTCGTTTATTTTCATATTACGGAGCTTGCGGCCGTACGAGATATTTAACATGTTTGTTCCCAGCATCCTGTGGATAATGGAAATTATTACAAAAATAATTTAAAGAAAAAAACAGACTTTAAAAGTTGAACAGAATATTTTGAATATTCCAGTCCAGCCTTTATATATCGTATTATAAGATGTATAATAAACATTGAATAAATAAATATTTTATCAATACAACTGTTTTGACTGATCTAAATAAACAGTAAAAAATAAGACAGAATAGAATAGAATATTTTTTTATTCAATATAGATCACATGTGTAATTCTTATTGAAAGTCATTTTTTACTTTACCACTGGTTCGAAAAAAAAATCTGTCCTGGGAAGAACCAGCAAGAAACCCAGTGGGACTTTTTTTTAAAAGCATATTTTACATTAATGGTTGGTACAAAATTTATTTTAGAAACAGCTTGGAAGCGGACACCTCATTCCCAGGGGTTATTATCAACCATGTATTCATTTATACTATAATAACCCTTTTTATACAGTTTCAACTTAACAAAACATTTAAACTTGATAATAGAGAGAGCCTGTACACTTTTCGGGACCTTGTTGTAATAGCGTATACATTGCCCCAAGAATGAATTGCTGACTACATGGAGTCGAGAAACTGGTATCACTAAGCTTGTGTTTGTTTCTAGTGTTTACAGAATGTACATCACTTTTTTTACTAAAACTATCTTTGTTTTTGTGAACATATATTAAATTTTCGTAAATATACTGAGAGACCAAAGTTAATATCTGGGGGCACGGTAGTGCCCCGCCAAGTCGAGCAAAAAAGCGGCACCGCCGTACCATCCTTTTCTCGAAGCAGTTCAGGCCATTTTCTACCCCCTATAACTTCGTTGTGGATAAAACTAGAAGCCTGAATTTTCAGTAACCAAGCATGCATTGTATATACATGGTATATTTCAAATTTCTTTTAATTTGAACCAGTACTTTAAGAATTATAACTAGTCAAAGTTTCTTAATTTTGTCCCTCACTGACTGACCGATCATCAAAACTTTAAGGCACTTCTAGTGTTTAGTGTAAATTAAGGGAAAATTAAAATATTTTGTTATTTCGGTCCAGTTCTCTAGATACACCCACTGCATAAATAACTTTGTAATCCTATATAAATATATATGATTTGCAGTGAATGAATCAGTGTACCTGTATATGTATAATATAATGGGATAATAGATGTAGATAGGTACCTAGATATAATTATGTTCAAAGGTAACTTGTAAAGTGGTCAACGAATGAAAAAGCGAGAATGGGACATGTCTTATGAAGTATCAAAATCCCGCAAAGTATGAAGTAAACTAAATTACCCGAAAATCTGTAGTTGGTATTCAAGAAGTAAATGGTACCGGAAAGGAAAAAAGAGTAGGACTGGAGGACGCCATGAAATAATAACTTGTAAAAAAAAAACAAGTCTCGTAACTCAGTTCTTCTACCGTAGAGTTGTGAGATCCCTGTAATACCAAGTCGGTTAATTTATTCAGTCCCTACTTAAGGGTCCTTCTGTTTCAAGTTATTACGTAATTAGCTAACCTAACAACATCTTATAGTGACCATATCAATATTAAAAACATTTTATGTTTTAAATACATAGATTGACTTGGCCATCGCATGAAAACAATGTATCTCACAAGTAATACATATTACATTAAATTAGATTGTTTAGTGCGATTGCCAAGTCAATTTATTTAAAACATAAGAGATTTTTAATATTGATATGGTCACTATAAGACAGGGATTGAATAACCGAAAAAAATATCGTTAAAACGGTTAGCGGTATGACGTCATACCTTTAAATTTCGATACCTTTAAATAAAGGTACCTTTAAATTACTATACCTTAAAGTAACTGTACCTGTATAATTTCGATATTGTTATATTGCGGTATCATTACTTTTTCAAGTACCTAAATTATAAAATAAAGGTTTTCTTTGTACCCTGCCGCCCGCACCGAGGCGTCACGCGGCATGTCGGCCGTAATGGCAGGCCTCTGTCACTCTTGCCAATGGTAAGAGAGTTTTTAGAATAGAATAGAATAGAATATTTTTTATTCAATATACATTACATGTGTAATTCTTATTGAAAGTCATTTTTTACTTTACCACTGGTTCGAAAAAAAACCCTCTGTCCTGGGAAGAACCAGCAAGAAACCCAGCGGGACTTTTTTTTTTTAGGAGTAGGTACTTGATCGAATATTTACTGATATTCGTCATTCTCGGCAGCAAGACCAAGCATAAGTGTAAAAAGTACATTTTCCAAGAGACCGAAAAACCTAGTTATTTCTTAATATCTTTTTATTGAAGAATCTGGCAATTTCTTAAATTAATGAAAATATTAGTCAAAAATACTCTTTTCATTAATTAAATAAGCTAAAAATATAAGTAAATATTTAATTAGTTAGTAACTTTTATTTAAATTACGCTACTCTTTATTAGCCTCTTTTTTTAAAAGAGAAATGTATAAATAGATACACCAATGTTCTTTACAAAATTAATAATTTTAGAAAAAATATTCGTGAATACATTACCATGGAATGGAATCAGTCTGAAAAGCAAGTAATTTTTTCACTGAATAATTTGTTGAATAATAAAAATAAGTACACTTTATGCCTTTTTTCTATTTGAAAAATATGGGAAGTACTACGTGTTCATTTCATGAATGCCGTTACCTCCCGTCGCGCTCCCTCATACCGCGCCTCAAGCGCCGCCCATCTAGTACCGATAGCAATGCTGAAATGTATCTATTAAGTCCGTTGTTTGTGGTCCCGTGCGATATTTTCCCGTTTGTTACTGTTTTTGTTACTGTTGATTTTTTTTTTGTTTCTGTTTACTTTTTACGTTCGTTAATACATGATAAACACAGAATGTAATTATGGCAGTGATACAGGGACGAACGATTTTGATAAAAATATCTTCCTACCAGTTTTGTTCGCACCTTCATTTAAAATGTATAATAAAACTATAATAAAAATATTTTATTTTATGGGACATTATTTTACTATACTAATTAAATAATTGATTCAATAATATGCAATTCATCTACTTGCTTGCCCTCCATTTCTCATTACAGGGCACAAACTAAAAATCGAACTTCTTACAATAATTAAAACACTTACAGTAATAGTTTTGTCTACGGTACCGTCAGCTGTGACGTAATAACGGTCGACGACGGCAAACTCGAAATGAACCCGTAGTATAGTGGTTAAAAACTTCTTATGACGGAAGTATACTTTGATATGTAAAAATTACTTAATTATTTAATGAAATAATAAAAAGCATATTATTTTTCAAATTAAATGAGATGTATTGAAATAAAAAGCAGATCATGCTGCAAACAGTCATAAAAAAATCTCTCACCTAAAATTTAATTAAAACATGACAAGTTGTTACGTTAGCTAATTACGTAATAACTTGAAACAGAAGGACCCTTAAGTAGGGACTGAATAAATTAACCGACTTCGTATTACAGGGATCTCACAACTTTTTACGGTAGAAGAACTGAGTTGCGAGACTTCGTTTTTTTTACAAGTTATGTTTTTCATGGCATATTTATTTCTTTAAATTATTAACTAAGAGACTCTCTCGGTTTTACGTTGTAAATAAAACTGTTCTGTAAAACAAAAATAGTTTCTGAATCAGCCGCATTTCTCCATAGCAAAATCCCATAAGATATTATCCTATGGAAATAACTGAAATAAACTAATCTAGCTGTCTCGACACTAGTGAGACTTCTAATCTTTTTTACAGCATAGGCTGCAGAACTTAGTCTGCTTGCTAGTTTGGACATATGGGGGCCCCACTGAAGCTTTGCGTCCAGAGTAATGCCCAGAAAAACAGTGGATTCAACAGGGCTCAGTTCTTTCCCATTTAAAAACACATTGGTACTCAGATTTTTATCATTCATTATTGTAAATTTAATACATTTAGTTTTATTTCCGTTTAAATGTAGATTATTAACGTTAAACCAATGCACTAATTTTGATATAGCATTATGCACTTCGTCACATTTAAATGATTGACGTTTAAGTTTAAAAATCAAGGAAGTATCATCAGCAAATAATACTATATCATGATTATCCCCTACAAGAGAAGGTAAGTCATTAATATACACTGGAAATAGGAATGGGTCGAGAATGTAGCCCTGAGGGACATTAGTACAGGTGACGTGGAAGAACTTTTACCATTGATAATAACTTTCTCCATTCTATTACTTAAATATGAAATAATAAGTTTAAACGCTGTGTTGACACCATAGTACTGTAGCTTCCTGATTAATGTCTCATGGTGAACGCAGTCGAGGGCCTTGGAAAGATCACAAAATATACCCAAAGCATCCTCTGAATCCTCCCATCCACAAAAAATATGTTTAATAAGGTCAACTCTAGCGTCAGTTGTCGAGCGACCCCTTGTAAAACCGAATTGATTTTTATGTAGCAATTTATTAATATTAAAGAAACTTAACATCTGATCTAAAATTATTTTTTCAAATATTTTACTAATCGTTGGTACTACCAAAGTACAGAAAGTACAGAAATTGATCTAAAATTGGCGGGGTCTAATGTACTACCAGATTTAAACAAAGGTATGACTTTACTATGTTTCATTAAATTAGGAAACACACCAGATTCGACGCTTGTATTAAATATAGTGGCTAGATAAGGTGCTATTATATTTATTATAGATAAAATATCTTTAACGGTAATCCCCCATAAGTCTGCCGTTTTCTTAACATCAATAGTTTTAAAATATTTAACGATATCTTTTGGCAGTACTCTATGGAATTTAAAGGTATTTGAACAAGCCTTTACATTTTATTTAAGCAATGATTCGGCGACGGTAGGAGAATTTAATGATTTAGTTGTCAAAAAAGGATCATCAGTAAAATGTTTCTCAAAAGCCATAGCAACTTCTTGATCAGATCGAGTTAAATTATTATTAATATTCAATTGAAAACCCGAGTTGTGCGGTTTGAGTTTCATTATTTATAATTTTCCAGGACAAGTCTCGTGACTCCTTCTCTCTCTCAAGAGAGAGAGAGAGAGAGAGAGAGAGAGAGAGAGAGAGAGAGAAGTTATATTTATTAATTTGGTGCTGGATTTGAAGATTAAAAGAAAATAATTATAAATTTTTATACGCGGTAGAGCCCTGTTGCAGCTATATTAGTAGTATAGTTGTAGCACGAATGGGTCGACTCGACCGGGGAAGGGACCACGCTCTCACAGAATACCGGCGTAAAATAGTAGCTTAACATTACTGTTTCGCGTATGGTGAGTGTAGAGAACCGGAGACCCTTTTTACTGGAAAAGAGGCATTCCATCTTAGTCTTCACGGGTGCCAACGTATCTGCATTTTGATTCTTTATTGAGGATAGATGTTGATGTCTATGGGCCACAGCAACCACTTACCATTAGGTGTACTGTGTGCTCGTTTGTCACCCTATCGTATAAAAAAGAAATAGTAAATTCAATAAGTGATTATGGCTTCAAGGAATATCTGTACCTGTAGAATCTGGTTTCCTCGAAGAGTTCCTCCAGCATGCCGCCGGGGAAGGGTTCGTCGAACATGACCTGGTAGGTGGGTTCGGTGTTGAGCTTGTCGGCCAGGCGCACGGTGTTGGTGGGCGCGGCGCGGTACACGGCCGTGACGGTGCCGCGCGCGCCCAGCGGCACCGTCATGTTGCGCGCCACGCACACCACACGGTCCAGCAGCTTGAAGTCCGCCGTTGGGTCCGGCGAGATGTTACCCTCGTGTAACTCTGGCTGTTGGGGTACAATAGGCGGTTTTAATTTTACTTACATTCATTTTTTTTTGATTGGCGTGTATACAAAAGTTATACTGTGACCAAAAAAAAAACATCACGTATTAAAACACACCCGCAATAAAACAAAGCACTATGACGTTTAACAAGTGCAGTATAAATTATGCAATATGCGTTTAGTATTTAAAATATTCTATTTAATATAGAACGTAATTTGGCAAAACAACGTCGTATGAGGCAATAGCAAAGCTATCCCTCCTACGAAGAAGGTTTAAGATCGATCAACGATTGATGTCTTAAATGACACTAGTTCAACTTGCTGAGTAACTATGTATACACATTAAAAACAGTAACTGCTTAGATATCTGCATATTTATGCAAACTTCTTCAGACATTCAAGTTTCTCCATACGTTAAACTTAAACCTATTAAGCTAAACATTGTTGACTAAGAGAAAATGCGAAGATGTTGCGGTTTTTCAAATCATCTTTTATATAGTCGGGATTTAAGAAATTGTTAATTGTAATTCTAAATACTTATTGTTTATTTACTATGTAATAAACGAAGGAAAGGAAGACTCGGTCAATGTCATTGAAAAATTATTGCTTGTGATATTTCACTGCTGAAATAACTGTGACAAAATATTATAATTTCTCTCTAATGGAAGTAAAATACAAAAAAAAAACTAGGCGTGGCTGTGTATTGTATTATTATTTATTCTGTGATAAATAATAATACAAGAAGAGAAGAATCACTCTCTGATAGCAAATGTGCGAGTTTAAACGTAGCTACAATGTGGCTAATGTTCATAATACTTTGCATTCTTAGGATACGACCTTCGTTAAAATAGCCTACTGAATGTGGCGGCGCACGTAGTAAATCAAGATGGACCTTAAGTCCCCATGCAAGAGTCTGTACTGTCTCTTAACCGGTTACGCGCCTTTGTTGTGTAGTAGAATATACCGAGATGTTATGCAATGTATTAAGTAATTTGCTGATAATAAGAACATTATTGTTCAAAATTGAAAAAGATTAATATGCAACATCGAAAAAATTAAGATTATAATAACGTGAACGTCTTTGAAACTCAGATAATTTACCTACTTACCATTTTAACCGACTTCAAAAAAGAAAGAGGTACTGAATTCGATTATTTTTTTTTTTGTGTTACCTCAGAACTTTTTTCTAGGTGGACCGACTTTGATGATTATTTTTTTATTTGAAAGCTGGTGCTTATAATTTATACACCCCATATAAATTTGATCAAGATCTAATAAGTAGTTTTGGAGTTATCCTTAATAATGCATATTTAATTGACTTAGACTACATTGATGATGTTCTGATTTTATTAGGGTTCCGTAGCCAAATGGAAAAAAATGAAACCCTTATGGATTCGTCATGTCTATTTATCTGTCCGTCCGTATATCACAGCCACTTTTTTCCGAAACCATAAAATGTATGCTCTTGAAACTTGGTATGTAGATGTATTCTATGAACCGCATTAAGATTTTCATACTAAAATAGAAAAAAAAACAATAAATTTTGGGGGTTCTCCTTATTTAGAATTGAAAATTAAAATTTTTTTTTTCATCAAAACCATACGTTTGGGGTATATATGGATAGGTCTTCAAAAATGATATCGAGGTTTATAATAACATTTCTAAACAGAATAGTTTGCGCGAGAGACACTTCCAAAGTGGTAAAATCTGTGTCCCCTCCTGTAACTTTTAAAATAAGAGAATGATAAAACTTAAAAAAGTATATGATGTACATTACCATGTAAACTTCCACCGAAAATTGGTTTCAACGAGATCTAGTAAGTAGTTTTTTTTTAATGCGTCATAAATCGTAAACCGCAATTTACCTTTCATTCAATCAACTCAAATATAAAATTAAAAAAATACACTATTATTAAAACATCGATCAAAGTTACAACGAACTACAAGAACTTTTATATTATGTTACTTGCTGCTACGGAACCCTTCATGAGCGAGTCCGACTCGCACTTGACCGCTTTTTTATATTGAAGTCAGTTGTACAAATTTTTTATTTTATTACTTGTATGTTTCACACAAACATGCAACATGCGACGGTATTATTAATGAAAGAGTAGCAATGCGAATTACTGCTATTTTCAATCTCTTTCTTTTATCGACCACGTGTTAAACTAATAATCAGTATATGCTGATCTTTCATTAGTAGGCGGTCACTAGTACTGGGAGGTCTACTTACACTGAATGTTTTTAAGATTATTGGCACTATACGCGAAAAAATTGAAAACTGCGAAGCTGTGGTGGGGTCGCTAATCAAATAATAAATCTGTAACTATGGCGTCAGTAACTAAGTACCTAAGTACTAGATATACCTATAAGCAATAATATCTTACTTTTCGGTATCCTTAGAACAGTAAGGAATGAAAAGACGATATTCTTATTGTTATTTAAGCACTCGCATGCTATGTAGTACCTTATGGCTTTTTGAGAGTCTATACGTGAATAAAACTCAACAATATTATATCAAGAGTGCCTAGATATTCACAAGAGAAAAATATTTTTTTGTTAACGTAAGGCGTGTGTTCAAGGGCGTGTGTGATAACCTCACGGAATTAACCCCTTGTAGACAATCGCGCAGCGTAGGTATATTTTCATGCCTAAAGCGCGCTGTGAGACAGACCTGTTGTATTGTGGACAAAGCTGTGGATTTTACGTAATAATTATGGAGTGTAGAGTACAAGGAGAACCATCTTATAAGGGGCGAAAGTTGAAAAAGTGTCCTACTATTTACTGAAAATAGAGGTTCCAAAACCTACCACAATAGCGCTGGCGTCTGTAAAACTACGATATGAAGATAGCTGTTGTGAACGGAGTGAAGTCAGCTGAATTCAAATATTTAAAAAATTTAATTACACAACAAAATCTCAACTATTTATCTAGTACAAAACCAAGCGGATTGGTCGGTCTTTGTTTATTTCTTCATGTTATTCTAATTACTTTTGGCGCTTTTTTTTTAATTTATTATATGCTACTGCAGCGCCACCCTTATTGGATACGTTTTTAGGGACACTTTTCATATATCGAGATGGTCCTCCTTCTACTCTACACTCCATAGTAATAATAAATAAAATGTATTTTTTTATTAAGATTTTTGGCTTGGATGCTTTTCTTTTAAGCCATATGTTCATTTTATTCGGGATCTTCGTTTTTATAGGTTTTCAGTTTCAAGTGATAATAATCTTTTATAGTACACATTGCGTCACATTGCGTACTTTTTGGGAGACTTTAGTCAATAGACAGACACCTTAAACAGTGGTAGAGCCAAGCGGCGGCTTTTGCTGTCGCACGGATAGGCCGGTTCGAACCGGGGTGGTACCATGACCTCACAGAATACATTTTATAAAAAAAAACCTTATCTTGATATTTACATCACCAACGGAGCACTTGATTTACTGTTTCCATTAACAGTTCACACGCGCAGACATTTAATACATAAAATTACGCCACTTTTGCATATCAAAATCCACGTCAGATCGTTATTTAAACAATAATACAGGGACAGCAGTTAGCCGGCGGTCATGTTCCCGGCGAGACTGCAAATGGTAAGAACAAAAGAGCACCTTGTAGAGCAGGTTCCACTTGACGTGCAGGTTGAGCGTGCGTTGCGCGTGGCGCTGCTGCGCGGCCAGGTGCGCGGCCAGCGCGCGCAGTTCGGCCGCCTCCAGCGCTTGCGAGCCGCACGCGCGCCGCGTCGCCTTATTGTGCGCCTGAGCGCGCAGCCACGCCACCACCTCCTGCGGCTTGTTCGCGCTGCGCACACCCAACAACCAAACACTACCATAGTTTTAAGCCACCTAGTGGATCAACAAGGAATGGGAAACCACGCCACTACCTCCTGGGACTTATTGGAACTACGCAAATCACTTCATGCTACAAGTACCGCCAAATGGACCAAACTTTGTGCCTAGTAGACGCCTAGCATTATACCCCATCTTCATTAGTATATAAGGAACGTACGCCGCCACCTTCTGTCAGATTGTTCGTGCAACATGTTCGACAAATCAAACTTTGTGCCTAGTGGACGCCTTACATTACCTCATTTTTACTGCTAGATAGGGAACTTACGCCGCCACCTCCTACAAGACGCAGGAGGTGGTAGCGTAGGTCCACACTCACGAACAAACTAACCAAACATTTTCATAGTTTTAGCCTGCCATTATACATATAACATTATAACTCATCTTCATCAGTAATTAAGAAACCCTCGCAGCTGCTTCACGCTACGCACACCAAACAACCAAACACTTCCATCAACGATCGATTTTATAATAAAGCACACTAACCCCTGATCTAGAGCATCACCGCAAAAAGGACATCAGTTAATAAACTTCTAATATTTTAAATACAATTCTCAAAAATGTTATCGATTCTTCCCATTATCACTTCTTTACATTGAAAGTGATTTGCTACGTGAAATCAAACATACGGCATAGCATTACGGTTTAACAACCTGAAGTCGGGTAGTGGGCGGTGTTTCACCACCGTATATCGCGCGAATCTACTTACGTGATAGAGTCATGCTATATTAATAGTATAGTTGTAGCTCGAATGGGTCGGCTAAACCGGGGAAGAACCACACTCTCACAGAATACCAGCGAAAAATAGCAGCTTAACTCTGCTGTGTTTTGTATGGTGTGTGTAGAAAACCAGAAACCCATTTTACTGCAAAAGAGGCATTCCATCTTAGTCCTCACGGGTCACAACGCATCTGCATTTTGACTCTTTATTGAGGATAGATGTAGATGTCTATGGGTTACAGCATCCACTTACCATCAGGTGGACTGTTTACTCGTTTGTCACCCTATCCTATAAAAAAAGCGTGCCTCGAAAAGCTAGCTGGTCTCCAATTTTCATCAAAACGAAAAACACTATTTTAAATAAAAACTTATTAAATTTACAATTTTATGCTTTAAATTGTCAAATATACAAATTAACAAATTTTTATTTTTTTTAATAAAATAATTATATTCAAACTCAACCTTGTGATTTTACTCTTTATTTATTCATTTCGTACGATATATTTTCCCATATGTTGGAACATTGTTTTTACTTCATCAAGATAAAAAGCTGGACATAGGCTTAAGCTGATCTTGGCAAATTCTACAATACTTTTTATAAAACAAGTCAACTTACCCAACTTCTCCCGGCCACAGCTCTTCTTCGAAAATCATGTTTTTGTCGAAATAATGAGGCAAACTGTCGAACAAGTCAGGGAACTGTTGAGCGTATGACTTCACTAGCTCTATGCAACGCTCTGAGTAAAGCCAAGCGTTGCTTACGTTACACCGACGCGTGTAGCCTGAAACCTCCTCGTTCTGGATAATGCAGACATAAAATATATTTTTTATATAGAAATGTTGCTTGTTTGTATGGATATTATGACTTGTAGAACCTCAGTATCTAGGAAAAGAGTACTGTAGTGTCGTGTAACCCCCACGACAAAATATACAGGGTTATTTTTCAAAGAGTAGTCAAATTTTAAACTTAAGTTCAAATATATACATAATGATATACCGTTATTGCATTTCGAAAATGAAAATACGAATAAATAAGGCTTACTTTTATTTGAAACTATCCCATACACAGAGTTTATTTTGCAATAACCGGCCAAATTTGAAGGGAAGGTTCAAAATAAGTAATACTAAGCAAATGGTGAATGAAAATGAATGAATCAAAAATTTCAATACAGTGGAGCGTCGATTATCCGAACATCGGTTAACCGAACGACCGCTTATCCGAACTACTACGCACGCCCGACCCGCGCGTGCTTCTCTCCCGCCTCCCATGCTACAGTGCTTGTGCACTTGTCGCGACTTGTTAATTGTACTCGTATATCACTTCCAAGTAACTGCTAGTCGATAAACGAAATTTTGCCGCATGAAAGTAAAATCTCGATTTAAAATGTCTAAACGTAAACGTGTTGTCCTTTCTATGAAAGATAAATACGAAATAAATAAACGGTTAGAGGAAGGCGAATCTGCAACCAAGTTATCCCATGAATACCAAGTTGGTAAGTCTACCATTACAGATATAAAAAAACAAAAGACGAACATAAGTAATTTTATATCCCCCCAGCTTGATTCTTCTGACGGATCCACGAGTCGTAAAACGATGAAACTTGCCTCAAACACGAATTTAGATGATGCTGTATATAAGTGGTTTACTTAAAAAAGATCCCAGGGAGAACCAATTTCTGGTCCAATTCTGTGTGAAAAAGCAGTTCAATTTAACGAAAAAATTGGAGGACCGTCAAATTTTCAAGCAAACACAGGCTGGTTAAAACGATTTAAGTCAAGACATGGCATTCGTGAGCTTCAAATACAAGGAGAAAAACTATCTGCTGATTCATTCAAAATCAAACTAAGGGATATGCTGAAGGAAGAAAATTACGCTCTCGAAAACGTTTATAATGCAGACGAAACCGGGCTCAATTGGAAAGCTTTGCCACGAAAAACTCTTCCTTCACTTCGTGAATTAGTAGCACCTGGTCCTAAAATAAGCAAGGATCGTGCTACTGGCAGCCACCGATTGCCCATGCTTGTAATTGGTAAAAGCAAGAAATCACGTTGTTTCAAAAACGTTAATATGTCTGCGATGCCTATTGTTTACACTTCGCAAAAAAATGCTTGGATGGATAGTACAATTTTCATGAAATGGTTTACAGAAACTTTTGTACCCTCTGTAAAAACCCATCAATTAAAAAATGTTAAAAATGCCCCAACTCACCCATCATTGGATATCATAAATGAAAAAGACGAGTTTATAAAAATCATGTTTTTTCCACCTAACGTGACAATTACGGTATTATAAAAAATAATTGTAGTGTAATTACGTAAGTTACTTTTGGAAAAAGAAGAGGAGGGAGAAGAAAGCCTGATAAGTAATCATAAATAGATTGATTTAAAAGATGCGTCCTACATGATCAGAGCAGCATGGGACAGTGTAAAAGAGCAGAACTTGAAAAAAGCGTGGAATAAAGTTTTGTGTATGGGGAAAAATCCTCGAAGTGAATGTGTAAATGAGAGACAGGAAGATATGTCTAATATGATAGATATGCTAAAAAAGCTCGATTGCCACGAATGTGATGAAGAAGAAGTTCAACAATGGATGGATATCGACGATGAAGATCCCGGGTACCAAATTATGCAGGATAGCGATATTTTAGACCTCATGACTAATAGGGCTGACACCACCACGAGCACCTCATCAACTACAAGTTCAGATAATGAAGATGAAAACATAATTAGTGCTTCTGAAGCGTTTACTTGTTTAGATATTTCCTTGCGTTGGTTTGAAACACAGGCCGAAAGCGACCAGTATCAAATATCTGTCCTTAAAAAAGTACGTGACTTAGCCGCTCGTAAGCGGGCTTCGGCAGACGAAGATGGAAGATTTTTTTAAACGTTAATTGTACCTAGTACAAACATGTTTTACCACAAAATTGTCTGCACTTTTTTGTTTAATTCCTATTTGTCATTAAATATGTAAATATAAATATAAATATGGTTATCATTTACCTGTACGTAAATATGTATAGCTGAATCAATATATGTACATAGAGGAAGTTCGATTATCCGAAAATACCGGTTTTCCGAACACCCATGTCCCCCAATTAGTTCGGATAATCGACGCTCTACATTCTATCATTTTTATCTTTTAAATTTAAAATGCATGGTAATGCAATATTTTAACTGATTTTACTGCGCACGCACACAATTGTAAGAATCGATTGGTAGACAAAAACGTTATCGCCCATAAATCACATTCGATTTGGGATAATTTCAAATAAAAGTAGAAACCTTATTTACTCGTATTTTCAAAAACTGCAATAACGGTATATCATTATTTATATATTTTTACTTAAGTTTAAAAGGGTACTTTTTTAAAAATAACCCCGTATATTATCTGGCATTACCATCCAAATCAAACAATGTCTCGTTTTTAGTCACACCAATAGTTTATAGTTATACTGCTTACTAGACAAGTAGTGTACAAATTTCACTCAATTATTCACATAAAAATAATTTACCTTTTTATTAAATTTCAGATTGAGGCCTATATTCAATTTGTTCTGATTTTCGAAGGGTAGATTGTTCTTCTGTCCAAGTATCACAAACACCGTTCCAGTTATACGGGACAGCAATTGAGCGGATATACCTGTAATGAATACGAAATACATATTTATGTATGGTAATGTAAATTTATTGACATAGGTTATGTATTGATGATTCACCAAATTTCCGAAGAATCTAAATTCACAAGGAAAATAATATATATAAAGTAATTGCCTATACTCGTCTAACAGCTGGGCACAGGTTGCCTCTTATTTCTGAGAAGAATTTGGAGCAAAAGCCTACCGCACATTTTCAGTACCTTGGCTTTTCAGGTTTTGGCGTATTGCGTCTCCTAAGTTTTTTTTTTTTTTATAGTACAAGGGTGACACACGATCACACAGTCCACCTGATGGTAAGTGGTTGCTGCGGCCCATAGACATCTACATCTATCCTCTATAACAAATCAAAATGCAGATGCGTTGTCACCCGTGAGGACTAAGATGGAATGCCTCATTTCCAGTAAAAAGGGCCTCCGGCCACCTGCACTCACCAAGCAAAACGCAGAAGTAAACCTCTACTTCACGCTGGTTTTCTGTGAGGTCGCGGTACCACCCCGGTTCGAGCCGGCCCATCCGTGCGACAGCAAAAGCTGCCGCGTGGCTCTACCACTGTTAAAGACTTGGGATAGTTTATATATGTATATGTGTTAATTTTTGTTGTATTTTTTATTTGTTATCTTTGTAATTTGTGCTCGTACCGCGTCGTAATTTGTATTTAGTAGTGATGTCATCGCCCAAGCTACTGATCCGTTGTCTGCGGACTGAGTTGCGCTGGGCCACAAGCGCCCATGCTTTGATAGGTCGACCGGATAGGGTCCATAACTTGAAGCGGTTCGAGCAGGTGGATGCTCGAAGGGCCGCAGTGGAGGAGGCTTACGCTGAGCTTGAGGATTCGGATGTGGAGAAGGGAGTCCTGGACTCCTGCTTCGCGGACTATGAGCAGTTCTTGTGGCTCACGGACGAGTTGATCGAGGCTGAAGGCAGGTGTGCCGAGGAGGCGCGTGAATCTCGGATGAGTGACCTGTCCGAGTCCTCTCTGAAGCAGCTTCAGCTGGAGCTGTTGGGACGACTCCCAACTCTGGACCTGCCAAAGTTCTCCGGGGTCCTTTCCGAATGGCTGACCTTCGTTGGTCATTTCGACAGCCTAGTGGACGCCTGGAGTGACTTGACCCCGAGCCAAAAGATGGCGTACCTCCTGGCCTCACTGGAGGGGGAGGCCCTGGGCGTCGTCGGCCACTTGAGATTGTCGGACGACGCCTACAAGACTGCTCGGGACCTCCTAGCCAGAAGATACGCCAACGTCCGGCGAATTGCGGACGAACATGTTAAGCAGCTTCTAAGCCTTCCGCTGCTTAGTGACCGGGCCAGACTACGTCCGGACCTGTTGGATCCAGTCTTAGTGGCCTGTAATACGTTGAGGCGGCTGGATTTACCAGTGGGCGAATGGGCTTTTTGTTGCTCCGCATCGTGCTGTCCCGTCTACCTCTCGACCTTCGAATCCATTTTGAGGAGAGGTACGGCGGGGACGAGGCCTCCTATATTCCGCCCTTCTATGACCTTTTGCGGTTTTTGGAGGAGCAGTGCCGGCAGATAGAGAACGCGGCGGGCACCGTTGACGACTTTCGAGCCGTGCCCAGTGAGAGGCTGAATCCTCCAGGCAAGTCGTCGTCAACCCCCCCCCCCCCCCTGCTCCTATTGTCGATCGTCTGATCACCGGGTAACGTCGTGCCCGAAATTATTAGGTAAGCCGGTTTCGGCGAGACGAACTATCGCCAAGGAGCGCCGCTGGTGCTGTTCATGTCTGGGAGGGCACCTCCAGCGAGACTGTCCGCATCGACGGCCCTATCTGCATTGCCAGGGCAATCACCATGCAGTTTTGTGCCTGGGTGCGAGCGGCGTGTCCCCTCGGGGCTCTGCCAGGCCCTCGACCCCCACGGGTGGGGGCGCTCAGCCACGCCCTCTGCCGGGCTACTCTCGGCGCCCGCCGGCCAGCCACCGGGCCCCTAGGTTTGGAAGTGGTCCCTCCCCCGACCAGTCGGGGGGTAATTCCCCCAGGGGCGGGGGTGTCATCACCCCCCTCAGCGTGTGGAGAGGAACTTCACGGCCACTCATCGGTCCGCTGGACCCTTCTCACTCCCGTTAGCTGAGTGGCCGCGACTGGTGTACCACTGTTCCCCATTTGATGGAGGCGGCCCTGGCTAGCTGCCGCCTTAGCTCCCACCACGGCCACCTCCACTGAGCCTTAAGCCGTCAACAGTCCACTAGTCAAAATGTTCTGTTGCCGACGGCCTCAGTGAAGGCGTACAACCCGAGTGGCGACTGTTAGCGGTTGTGCTCTATTGATCTCGGGTTCACGCCATGTGGCGTCCCCTTGGTGGTGGGAAGATTAGGGCCCCTCTGGAGCGTTGAATCACGCTGTCAAGGGGTATTAGATTTGGTTTGGTCGAGCACTTAGTCAAAAAAAATACTTGAATTAAAATTAAAAAATGCTTTGGGCTTTCCGCGAAATTTTCCTATTTGTAGCGGTTTAAATTAAAAGAATTGAATTTAATCTACTCCTTTAAATGCTACTGCATGTGTTTTGTACATATATTTAATCACTGTATTTGATTGTTGCGTCTGTTTGCTGAAAGGAAATTGAATGGCGCGCTATTTGAAAAATTATGTATATGTTTATGATAGTGTTTAATCATTTTGCTTTGCGAAGAAGTAGGGCTGTCCCTTACATTATTATTTTGTTTAATTTGCAAGTTGACCTATGCGCATCGGTGATTAATTTGGTTGAATTGATTCTGTAGTTGAACATTGATGCTTTTGAAAAATTAGTTGAAATATGAGCATAGGACTACTTGTCTAACAGGCTAGCTAGTTTTGGAGATTATCAGATTGAAATCAGCTGCCGCACTATTTAGTAAATGATAATATGGTCGGTGGCCTGGCTAGGCCTACTTGTTGAAAATTCATACTAGGGACTATCTGTGCGTTTCGTCCGGCTCTCCACAGACGACGTTCATGTGGAATTTGTGGGTGCGCTCTGCACTGAAGCAACTGCTGGCACAAAATTTGTCTGGGCAGCTTCGTGTAGCGCCGCTGGTTGCAGAGCTGATCCGGTCGGATTGCGGAACTAATCATAGGGGCACAGATAGGTGTTTGAAAGAGGTCGTCGGACTTCTGTCCAGTACAGGACTTGTTAAAGTGCTGCGATGCCCAGGAGGGACATCCAGTGGAGGCTGACCCTCCGGCTTGCCCACGTTGGGGCGGTAATTTTGAGGCGTTGGTTAGGGTTGCAAGATCTGCTGGGGTGCCTAAGGTGGCCTATTTTGGCTGTAGATTCGGTCTTGCAACTTGCCGTCGCGACCTTGTCCCGCTGACCGGTTTGCTCGCGGACCTAAATCCTTATGTCCGGGACGGGGGTTTGTTCGCGCCAAGCACTAGTTTCAAGGATTGACGCGAGAGGGCGCTCGGCGCGTTGCATTCATACCGGTTTGACTTTCGGTCGTGCGAAAAACGCACAAGGGCAGGCAGTCGTCTGCCAGGTGTGCTTGGAACAGCACGCTGTCATTTTTGTGCGGGAACCGCGGAATAGTTAGGGCGTCTAGTAAATATCCCGTCTAGCATTTATAACGCGCATTCCCTGTTTGAATAGCCTTTCCCGGGACTTATTGGGTCCGACTTAGAATCTGTATAAGTGCATTCGACAATATTAGTTAGTGCGGCCTCTGATATTCTAGAACTAACTGTTGCAACGCGAAACGGTAGTGACCTTTGATCCAGAAACTCCGTGTGCGTTTTGTGCTTTAACCTTATAACCAGCGATAGTTAGTGGCTTCTGTAAGTTAGTAAATCGTACGATAGAGTTAATCGACTGTCATCGTGACGAACGAGGAAAGTGACTGTGGTCCAGCGCCGAAGCAGTCTTAAGCGGTGCAGCATTTGGACAACGCCTCGGAAGGCCCCCTCAAGTTGGAGCGGTGCCGACGCTCGGGCTGCTGCCGACGGCCAAGGTCTAGGTTCAATCACCCGCAGTCACACCCAGATACACATCACATCACCTTCTTTCCCTTTCACTACACAACCACATGTGACCTGACCGACTCCGGAGCGACCAGTCGCCTTAGATATAGGTAAGTAAGCTTCGCCTAATTCCTCTGCCGGTTGACTGGCCGTAGTATAGAACGCTCCCCCGTTTATTTAGTGTAATTAGAGAGATTCCACGTGGCCATATTGAGGCCCGACCTACGTCTGCTCGGGAAGTCTTCAGCTCATGGGCCCCTGAGGATTTGACCCTTTAAGGGAGCAGCCGTAGGCCGTAACAATAGATGTAGATGTCTATGGGCCACAGCAACCACTTACCATCAGATGGACTGTGAGCTCGTTTGTGACCCTTATGCTATAAAAAAAATGTGATTTATGGGCAACAACTACGCGTACGCGCGCACCTCTGTGAGCGATTCAATTCACACCATTTTGCCGACTGATCGCCCCTTACGAACGTGTGCGTGCGTATGTGCCCATGTTCAGCTGTGCGCTGTTTACGGGCTGATAATGATAAGGAAAATGATGATGCCAAAGTAAAATGAATAATTTACTCTCACTAATGATTTAATTGTAATGTAATGTTAGAAGGTGTTAAAGAGAAGGAGACGTGTTGTTCCGTCTAGGTCTTTAATTAGACTATTACTTTTATTCTACACTTAACACAATAATATATACAGAGTTTATTTTGCAATAACCACTGTTAAAATATACCATATTTCGTAGACAGTGCATGGTATACGACGCGAAGCAAATACAGTTCACTTGAAACTGTGGTTCATACACCTACACATATCCTCGATTACGAATCAAGATGCGGTTGTCACTGCTGACGATTAAAATGGAATGCCCGTTACTAGTAAAAAGGATCACCGGTTCTCTACACTCACCATATAAATTACAGCGACGTTATGCTGTTATTATATTCGGATTCTGTGAGAGTGTGGTTTGTTTCGTTCAACTACAGTACTACAGCTATAAAACATTGCGGCGTAGCTCTATCACGTATGAACCATAATGTAAAAAAATAAATTGGTTAGATGGTGGAAGGACTTTTCTTTACTTTTTATTTTTATAAAAAAAGTCACTCCGACACTAGAAGTTTTTTCTGTATATTGGAAAGTACAAACATCCAGATCCGGAACAATTATTTGTAGGCCATGCAAATAATTATTCCGTGTGGGATTCGACCTCGCAGTCCTCAGCGCCACTTTTCTTTACTATGTATAGAGAATTATAGATAGCCAGTATTATTACAAGCCGTGAGACATTCTACTACCTTATTCCTTAGATTTGTCAATGTGCCTTCTTTGTTTTAAGTTAGTTTCACATGTCTATTGGTTGCAGTAGCCACTGTACCATCAGATAGACTTTTATAATGGAGTAATGATTGTCGATTATAATTTAAAATAGCCAATTTTGAGCTACATTTATGCCTATCATGAGTATATGGTTATTAAAGTTACAAGTGTAATACGTCGGAAAGTTAGTTTAAGATAGATTGCAGTTTGCAGCGGTAAACAAATAGAGAGGAAGATGAGTGGTGTCGCGCAGTAGATTACCGCAGGCGGCGGCCGCGTGGTTGGCGGAGCGGTAGGGGCTGGCGGCGGCCAGCTCGCACGCCGCGTCGGGCTCGTCGCGCTCCCGCACGCACACCTTGATGCGCCCGCTGCGGATCGTGTCCGACTCCACCACCTGCCGCACGCAGTAAAACGCAATCATACAACATCATCATCATCAGCAGAAACTGGGTACGTCAAGCCGAAGATCGAGCTAAGTGGCGCGCTTTGGAAGAGGCCTATGTTCAGAATAGTATACAAAATAGAATAATTTTTATTCTATATAGATTATAAATAATACTTATTGAAACTCACGAGTGACTTGTTTCATTTACCACTGGTTATCAAAAACATACCCAGTAGAACTCTTTTACAATCATTAAAGTTACACAAAAATTGACAACACAAAAAATTGAAATAGCAGTATAGCGATCACTTCATCATTCTTAAATTCCTTAATATCATAATAACCCTCTTTTACAATCTTGGTTTAATAAAGTTTTTAAACTTGACGGAAAACATATTTCGTATATTTTCTGGGATTTTGTAGTATAAGCGTATACATCGCCCCCAAAATGAATTACTGACTCTGTGGAGTCGAGTAACTGGTAAAATAGAATCATCATCATCTCATCATTATCATTAGTTGCATGCGTCAACAAGAAGACGGTGTCGCCGGGCGGGTAGGCCTGCTACGGCGACAGGAACTTGCCGGGCGCCTCGTGCACGTAGGCCGGTAGAATAGAGAAGTTGAGCGCGCACTGACCGTGGCCATGCAGCCGTAGTACTGTCCGTGCGTCAACAAGAAGACGGTGTCGCCGGGCGGGTAGGCCTGCTGCGGCGACAGGAACTTGCCGGGCGCCTCGTGCACGTAGGCCGGTAGAATAGAGAAGTTGAGCGCGCACTGACCGTGGCCATGCAGCCGTAGTACTGTCCGTGCGTCAACAAGAAGACGGTGTCGCCGGGCGGGTAGGCCTGCTGCGGCGACAGGAACTTGCCGGGCGCCTCGTGCACCTAGGCCGGTAGAATAGAGAAGTTGAGCGCGCACTGACCGTGGCCATGCAGCCGTAGTACTGTCCGTGCGTCAACAAGAAGACGGTGTCGCCGGGCGGGTAGGCCTGCTGCAGCGACAGGAACTTGCCGGGCGCCTCGTGCACGTAGGCCGGTAGAATAGAGAAGTTGAGCGCGCACTGACCGTGGCCATGCAGCCGTAGTACTGTCCGTGCGTCAACAAGAAGACGGTGTCGCCGGGCGGGTAGGCCTGCTGCGGCGACAGGAACTTGCCGGGCGCCTCGTGCACGTAGGCCGGTAGAATAGAGAAGTTGAGCGCGCACTGACCGTGGCCATGCAGCCGTAGTACTGTCCGTGCGTCAACAAGAAGACGGTGTCGCCGGGCGGGTAGGCCTGCTGCGGCGACAGGAACTTGCCGGGCGCCTCGTGCACGTAGGCCGGTAGAATAGAGAAGTTGAGCGCGCACTGACCGTGGCCATGCAGCCGTAGTACTGTCCGTGCGTCAACAAGAAGACGGTGTCGCCGGGCGGGTAGGCCTGCTGCGGCGACAGGAACTTGCCGGGCGCCTCGTGCACGTAGGCCGGTAGAATAGAGAAGTTGAGCGCGCACTGACCGTGGCCATGCAGCCGTAGTACTGTCCGTGCGTCAACAAGAAGACGGTGTCGCCGGGCGGGTAGGCCTGCTGCGGCGACAGGAACTTGCCGGGCGCCTCGTGCACCTAGGCCGGTAGAATAGAGAAGTTGAGCGCGCACTGACCGTGGCCATGCAGCCGTAGTACTGTCCGTGCGTCAACAAGAAGACGGTGTCGCCGGGCGGGTAGGCCTGCTGCAGCGACAGGAACTTGCCGGGCGCCTCGTGCACGTAGGCCGGTAGAATAGAGAAGTTGAGCGCGCACTGACCGTGGCCATGCAGCCGTAGTACTGTCCGTGCGTCAACAAGAAGACGGTGTCGCCGGGCGGGTAGGCCTGCTGCGGCGACAGGAACTTGCCGGGCGCCTCGTGCACGTAGGCCGGTAGAATAGAGAAGTTGAGCGCGCACTGACCGTGGCCATGCAGCCGTAGTACTGTCCGTGCGTCAACAAGAAGACGGTGTCGCCGGGCGGGTAGGCCTGCTGCGGCGACAGGAACTTGCCGGGCGCCTCGTGCACGTAGGCCGGTAGAATAGAGAAGTTGAGCGCGCACTGACCGTGGCCATGCAGCCGTAGTACTGTCCGTGCGTCAACAAGAAGACGGTGTCGCCGGGCGGGTAGGCCTGCTGCGGCGACAGGAACTTGCCGGGCGCCTCGTGCACGTAGGCCGGTAGAATAGAGAAGTTGAGCGCGCACTGACCGTGGCCATGCAGCCGTAGTACTGTCCGTGCGTCAACAAGAAGACGGTGTCGCCGGGCGGGTAGGCCTGCAGCGGCGACAGGAACTTGCCGGGCGCCTCGTGCACGTAGGCCGGTAGAATAGAGAAGTTGAGCGCGCACTGACCGTGGCCATGCAGCCGTAGTACTGTCCGTGCGTCAACAAGAAGACGGTGTCGCCGGGCGGGTAGGCCTGCTGCGGCGACAGGAACTTGCCGGGCGCCTCGTGCACGTAGGCCGGTAGAATAGAGAAGTTGAGCGCGCACTGACCGTGGCCATGCAGCCGTAGTACTGTCCGTGCGTCAACAAGAAGACGGTGTCGCCGGGCGGGTAGGCCTGCTGCGGCGACAGGAACTTGCCGGGCGCCTCGTGCACGTAGGCCGGTAGAATAGAGAAGTTGAGCGCGCACTGACCGTGGCCATGCAGCCGTAGTACTGTCCGTGCGTCAACAAGAAGACGGTGTCGCCGGGCGGGTAGGCCTGCTGCGGCGACAGGAACTTGCCGGGCGCCTCGTGCACGTAGGCCGGTAGAATAGAGAAGTTGAGCGCGCACTGACCGTGGCCATGCAGCCGTAGTACTGTCCGTGCGTCAACAAGAAGACGGTGTCGCCGGGCGGGTAGGCCTGCTGCGGCGACAGGAACTTGCCGGGCGCCTCGTGCACGTAGGCCGGTAGAATAGAGAAGTTGAGCGCGCACTGACCGTGGCCATGCAGCCGTAGTACTGTCCGTGCGTCAACAAGAAGACGGTGTCGCCGGGCGGGTAGGCCTGCTGCGGCGACAGGAACTTGCCAGGCGCCTCGTGCACGTAGGCCGGTAGAATAGAGAAGTTGAGCGCGCACTGACCGTGGCCATGCAGCCGTAGTACTAACCGTGCGTCAACAAGAAGACGGTGTCGCCGGGCGGGTAGGCCTGCTGCGGCGACAGGAACTTGCCGGGCGCCTCGTGCACGTAGGCCGGTAGAATAGAGAAGTTGAGCGCGCACTGACCGTGGCCATGCAGCCGTAGTACTGTCCGTGCGTCAACAAGAAGACGGTGTCGCCGGGCGGGTAGGCCTGCTGCGGCGACAGGAACTTGCCGGGCGCCTCGTGCACGTAGGCCGGTAGAATAGAGAAGTTGAGCGCGCACTGACCGTGGCCATGCAGCCGTAGTACTGTCCGTGCGTCAACAAGAAGACGGTGTCGCCGGGCGGGTAGGCCTGCTGCGGCGACAGGAACTTGCCGGGCGCCTCGTGCACGTAGGCCGGTAGAATAGAGAAGTTGAGCGCGCACTGACCGTGGCCATGCAGCCGTAGTACTGTCCGTGCGTCAACAAGAAGACGGTGTCGCCGGGCGGGTAGGCCTGCTGCGGCGACAGGAACTTGCCGGGCGCCTCGTGCACGTAGGCCGGTAGAATAGAGAAGTTGAGCGCGCACTGACCGTGGCCATGCAGCCGTAGTACTGTCCGTGCGTCAACAAGAAGACGGTGTCGCCGGGCGGGTAGGCCTGCTGCGGCGACAGGAACTTGCCGGGCGCCTCGTGCACGTAGGCCGGTAGAATAGAGAAGTTGAGCGCGCACTGACCGTGGCCATGCAGCCGTAGTACTGTCCGTGCGTCAACAAGAAGACGGTGTCGCCGGGCGGGTAGGCCTGCTGCGGCGACAGGAACTTGCCGGGCGCCTCGTGCACGTAGGCCGGTAGAATAGAGAAGTTGAGCGCGCACTGACCGTGGCCATGCAGCCGTAGTACTGTCCGTGCGTCAACAAGAAGACGGTGTCGCCGGGCGGGTAGGCCTGCTGCGGCGACAGGAACTTGCCGGGCGCCTCGTGCACGTAGGCCGGTAGAATAGAGAAGTTGAGCGCGCACTGACCGTGGCCATGCAGCCGTAGTACTGTCCGTGCGTCAACAAGAAGACGGTGTCGCCGGGCGGGTAGGCCTGCTGCGGCGACAGGAACTTGCCGGGCGCCTCGTGCACCTAGGCCGGTAGAATAGAGAAGTTGAGCGCGCACTGACCGTGGCCATGCAGCCGTAGTACTGTCCGTGCGTCAACAAGAAGACGGTGTCGCCGGGCGGGTAGGCCTGCTGCAGCGACAGGAACTTGCCGGGCGCCTCGTGCACGTAGGCCGGTAGAATAGAGAAGTTGAGCGCGCACTGACCGTGGCCATGCAGCCGTAGTACTGTCCGTGCGTCAACAAGAAGACGGTGTCGCCGGGCGGGTAGGCCTGCTGCGGCGACAGGAACTTGCCGAGCGCCTCGTGCACGTAGGCCGGTAGAATAGAGAAGTTGAGCGCGCACTGACCGTGGCCATGCAGCCGTAGTACTGTCCGTGCGTCAACAAGAAGACGGTGTCGCCGGGCGGGTAGGCCTGCTGCGGCGACAGGAACTTGCCGGGCGCCTCGTGCACGTAGGCCGGTAGAATAGAGAAGTTGAGCGCGCACTGACCGTGGCCATGCAGCCGTAGTACTGTCCGTGCGTCAACAAGAAGACGGTGTCGCCGGGCGGGTAGGCCTGCTGCGGCGACAGGAACTTGCCGGGCGCCTCGTGCACGTAGGCCGGTAGAATAGAGAAGTTGAGCGCGCACTGACCGTGGCCATGCAGCCGTAGTACTGTCCGTGCGTCAACAAGAAGACGGTGTCGCCGGGCGGGTAGGCCTGCTGCGGCGACAGGAACTTGCCGGGCGCCTCGTGCACGTAGGCCGGTAGAATAGAGAAGTTGAGCGCGCACTGACCGTGGCCATGCAGCCGTAGTACTGTCCGTGCGTCAACAAGAAGACGGTGTCGCCGGGCGGGTAGGCCTGCTGCGGCGACAGGAACTTGCCGGGCGCCTCGTGCACGTAGGCCGGTAGAATAGAGAAGTTGAGCGCGCACTGACCGTGGCCATGCAGCCGTAGTACTGTCCGTGCGTCAACAAGAAGACGGTGTCGCCGGGCGGGTAGGCCTGCTGCGGCGACAGGAACTTGCCGGGCGCCTCGTGCACGTAGGCCGGTAGAATAGAGAAGTTGAGCGCGCACTGACCGTGGCCATGCAGCCGTAGTACTGTCCGTGCGTCAACAAGAAGACGGTGTCGCCGGGCGGGTAGGCCTGCTGCGGCGACAGGAACTTGCCGGGCGCCTCGTGCACGTAGGCCGGTAGAATAGAGAAGTTGAGCGCGCACTGACCGTGGCCATGCAGCCGTAGTACTGTCCGTGCGTCAACAAGAAGACGGTGTCGCCGGGCGGGTAGGCCTGCTGCGGCGACAGGAACTTGCCGGGCGCCTCGTGCACCTAGGCCGGTAGAATAGAGAAGTTGAGCGCGCACTGACCGTGGCCATGCAGCCGTAGTACTGTCCGTGCGTCAACAAGAAGACGGTGTCGCCGGGCGGGTAGGCCTGCTGCGGCGACAGGAACTTGCCGGGCGCCTCGTGCACGTAGGCCGCGGCGCGCGCCACCACCGCCTGCAGCGCGTACCCGCACGCCACCTCGCACCACTCCGGATCTTGCACCATTTTTACGTTGTCCTGAATTATGTATTTGTAACCTGCAAATCAAATTCACATTGTTATACAGTGCTGGCTATGATGTTCAACTTTAAACTTATTAGATCCTAATTAAACAAGTAGTTGACTAAGCAACCAAGTGCAGTGCTAACTATTATAGTCTTTGCGTAGTAGCATGGTCCGAATGACAGGTAACCAGAACGTAACTTGCGTCTAGTTACGTCCCTAGTCCAGTCTGCCTTGGTTGGGGCAGCTCAGGGCGTGTACAATAATAATAGTAATAATTTTAAATAATGTCTTGTACATGGCAACCCTAGTTACCACCAGCGCCCTCTAGTATCGAGTAGAAGAACTAGGAGTCAAGATCCTTCTAGAAATTTCAGGCCCGATATGTACTCGAACATTCTAGATGTTTCTACAGTAGAAGGTTCTGGAAACTATCTGAGGCCCTATATAAGGCCAGTATAGACCACGACCGAGTCAGTATTGCATTGGCGATATAAGCGAACACTTCGAAACGATATAACTCCGAACTAAAGTGATCAGTAGTACAATTGTGTTTTATTATTAGTGTGATTTTAAGTTGTAATTAGTGTTTTGTAATTAAAGTATCAATTTTGGTAATTCAATCGGCAGTTTTTAACTGTCTCGAACCCCAAGCTTGTAACAATTGGTGTCAGAAGTGGGAACAAATCATTCCGATTTTACCAATTGACGACATGGATGGTATCCGTACCCGAAGTCAACGCCAGCTGGAGACGGACCAGCGACGATTTGGTAATGCAACGCCGCAAACGTCGGAGGTTCAGCTGCTGACAACGGAGGCCGGCCCGTCAGCAGCTCCTGTATCTGCAGCACCTGGCTTAGGTGCTTTGATGATGATGCTGCAGGAGCAGGCCCGCCAACAGGAGGAACAGGCCCGCCAACAGGAGGAACAGGCCCGCCAACAGGAGGAACAGGCCCGCCAACAGGAGGAACAGGCCCGCCAACAGGAGGAACAGGCCCGTCGATTGGAAGAGAAGCTGCAGCGCGGACAGGAGGAACAGACCAGCCAACAGGAGAAATAGGCCCGTCAGTTAGAAGAGCAGCTGCAGCGCGGGCAGGAGGAACATTCCCGTTGTTTGGAAGAGCAGCTCAACCAAGGAACTTAACACTACCTTCGGGAAAGAGATAAGGGAGGTGAAGGATAGGGTTGCTCAATATGACAACCGCCTGTCGGAAGCTGAAACCCGAATCAACCAAGTGTAAGATCGGGTTGACAATGTGATGGCTGACGTGAAGAAAACGCTGGACGACCTCAAGCTTGGGGATGGAGTTACTACTCCCGTGGTAGCTACAACACCTTCGCTACGCGGATTCAAAGTGTCAAGGATCATCGTTCCCATCGCGTCAGGGAGGTTGCAGCAGCTACAGTTCGCGACCGTAATAAAGGATACAGCCCTAGGTGCTACGGCTGTGGGGAAAGAGGCTATCTTCGATCCAGCTGCCCTAAGCGAACTGTAGAAAGGGAAGGTGATCGATCTCGAGAGAGTAGTGCGGCTAATAGCACCGCCCAGCAGCAGCAGGGAAACGAGTAAGAGCCAGGACTACGGGGCGGGTGCTGGCTGATGTCAAAAGAGCCCCAAGGATTTCGATCTCACAAGCCCATGATGGGAACAGCCGAATCATCAAGAGCGAGGTCAACGGAACGCCGTATAAACTGACCATAGACACTGGAGCCTCTCGCAACGGTTGTCAGTTCCCAACTTATAAGTCAGTTCCTTGGGGACTCCGCATACAACCGAAAACGCATTAATTTGGTGACAGCCACCGGTCAGCACATACATGTCCGTGGAGAGAAGGAGATGGAGTTAAAGGTAGGCAACATGATCTACCTGCATAATGTCATCGTGGCTGATATAATGGATGACTGCATCCTGGGCCTAGACTTTATGAGGAAGAATTGTTGTGAGATCGACGTTAAGCAAGGTGTTTTGAAATGTGGACAAGAGGAACTTTTTGTGGAAGGGGCGTTACCAGGGAATGTGTACAGTCTTAAGAAGATTGTTCTTCCGCCGAGATCAAAAACGATTACTATTGTGCCGGTTAGTCTTCCTCGGAATCCTGGGCAAGCTCATCGTTGTGTACTCGTGGAAAGGGTAGACAATGACCTTCCATGGAAAGTGGCTCAAACCTTGGTCAGAACCACCGACATCTCAGGAGTACGTGTGTTGAACCTGTGATCAGGAAGAAATTATAGAAAAAGGCATACTGGTTGGTACTAGTGAGGAAGTGGATTGGTTGCGTCGGTGCCAATATCTATCAACTGGGACCCCCAGCAAGGATGCAAAATCGAGAGTGACCACACTTTTAGAAGACTGTCGCAGCGTTCTCTCCCCGAATGAAATGGTCAAGGCGAAGAAGTTATTACTCAATTACGCCGATGTTTTCTCGTCAAACGATGCTGATATACGAAAGACTGGCTTAGTTCAATACAAAATAAACACAGGAGAAAAATTGCCTATCCGTCAGCGGCCAAGAATATTGCCTGTAGCACGTGAAAAGGAAGTGGAAACCATGATTGAAGGAATGGTGAAGGATGGTGTTATTGAACCTTCATCTAGTCCATGGTGTTCACCTGTGGTGCTGGCAAAGGAGAAGGACGGCAGCATGCGGTTTTGTGTTCACTACCGCCGTCTGAACGACGTTACGAAGAAGGACAGCTATCCCTTGCAAGAATTGATGACACGCTGGACATGTTTACAGGTGTAGTGATTTAGTACGCTGGACCTGTAAAGTGGCTACTGTCAGGTTGAAATTGACCCTAAGGACAAGGAGAAAACTGCATTCTCCACAGGAAAGGGTCTGTGGCAATTTGAAGTCATGCCGTTTGAATTGTGCAATGCTTCAGCAACGTTTGAAAGGTTGATGGAGCTTGTACTAACCGGGCTAATTGGCGATGCCTGTCTGGTCTACTTGGATGACATCATCATCGTAGGCCGTACGTTTGAGGAACACCTTCAAAACTCGGAACGCGTACTCATGAAGATCCAGAGTGCCAACCTCAAGATGAGTCCGAAGAAATGCTCACTATTCAAACGGCAAGTTAGCTTTTTGGGGTATGTAGTATCGGAAGAAGGTATCCGCACGGATCCAGAGAAAATTGCCGCTGTCAAGGATTGGCCGATTCCAAAAGACAAGACTCAGGTTAGAGCCTTTTTGGCTTCTTTGGTTTGTGCTTCTATTACCGGCGATTCGTGAAGAACATTGCATATATAGCCAAACCTATGCACAAGCTAACCGAGGAGAAGCGACATTTCTGCTGGGATGAAAGTTGCGATATCGCATTCCAGGAGCTCAAGGACCGTCTGTGCAAAACACCTATTTTGGGGTACCCTGATACGGGGAAGGAAGTTATAGTTGACACAGACGCAAGTGATATAGGACTTGGCGGTGTGTTGTCTCAACGGAATGGTGATCAAGAGGTTGTGATAGCGTACTTCAGCAAGTCGTTGTCAAAGCCGGAAAGGAACTATAGTGTCACAAGACGGGAATTGCAATTGTAAAATCCTTGCAGCATTTCAGCAAATATCTTCTGGGGCGGAAATTTCACTTACGAACTGACCATGCTGCACTGAAATTTTCTACGTAGTAGAGCCATGCTGCAGCTATATTATGGTTGCAGCACGAATGGGTCGGCTCGACCAGGGAAGGACCACGCTCTCACAGAAAACCAGCGTAAAATAGCAGCTTAACGCTGCTTTGTTTCGTATGGTGAGTGTAGAGACCCTTTTTACTGACAAAGATGCATTCCATTTTAGTCCTCACGGGTGACAACGCATCTGCATCTTGAGTCTTTATTGAGGATAGATGTAGATGTCTATGGGTCATAGTAAACACTTACCATAAGGTGGACTGTGAGCTCGTTTGTCACCCGATCCTATAAAAAAAAAGAAATGGCTTTTGCAGTTCAAAAATCCGGAAGGACAAGTTGCGAGATGGATTGAACTACTGCAGGAATACGACTTTGTGATCGAACATCGCAGCGGGAAATCTCATGGCAATGCAGATGCATTGTCAAGAAGACGTTGCCCTGAAGATTGCAAGCATTGTACTAGGCAAGAGGGTGGGGAAGTGGTATCTGTGAGGATGCTCAGGACAGACCAGCTCAGCAAAGACTGGAAAGACAGCCTACAACATGCACAGCAGGAAAATTCGGACACCAACCGATTCTAGAATGGATGAAGGCCAATGCTCCTAAGCCCAAGTGAAGCGACGTCTCAGCGATGAGTTCGAACACGAAAAGCTATTGGGCCTAATGGGACAGCTTGCTGATTCAGGATGGAGTCCTGTGCCGTAAATAGGAAAATGGTCGGGGAGACAGTAGTCATTTGCAAATGGTTGTCCCTAAGGCTAAAGTACCCGATGTTTTACAGCTATACCATAATGGTTGTTCAGGAGGCCACCTGGGAGTTAAACGAACTCTACTGAAGATCCGAGAACGGTTTTACTGGGTCAACTGTCGTGACGATGTCGAGGACTGGTTCCGCAAATGTACAAGTTGTGCGGCTGTAAAGGGACCTCAAACTCGTAGTAGAGGCGCATTGAAATTGTACAATCTTGGTGCACCATGGGAGAGGATACCCATTGACATTGAGGGGCCGTTTCCGGAAAGTGAAAGTGGTAACAAGTATTTCATGGTTGGGATGGATTACTTCACTAAGTGGCCAGAAGTCTTCGCCATTCTAAATCAAGAAGCTTCAACAGTTGCAGATAAACTAGTTCATGAAGTTTTCTGTCGTTTTGGAGTATCTTTAGAGATTCACAGCGATCAAGGAAGGAATTTTGAGTCTCAAATATTCCAGGTAACTTGCCGAGTTATGGGTACTCATAAAACAAGAACAACTTCTTACCACCCAAAATCTGATGGAATGGTAGAACGATTTAATCAGACATTGGAGAGGTACCTAGCAAAAGTTGTGGAAAAACGGCAACGAGACTGGGACAGGCAGATACAACCATTTTGTTGTCATATCGAAGCGCTGTTCACGAAAGTACATCAGTGACACCAGCTTTCGCAAACTTTGGGAGAGAATTGCGGCTGCCAGCAGACCTGATCACCGGAATACCACCTGATGCCCCACGCAGTATAACCGATTATGCAAATGACTTGCGGAACAAAATGAATGACATTTATGAGCATGTCAGACAGTCGGGCCAGCAAACGTCTGAGAAGATGAAAACACGGTATGACCGCAAAATGAATTACAAAGGGTTTGACGAAGGTTCACTAGTGTGGTTACACAATCCAGTTCGCAGCAAAGGGAAATCTCCTAAGCTTCAAGCTAAATGGGACGGACCGTACCGGATTGTGACAAGGATCAATGACGTAACCTACCGGATACAGAAAGGTGCCAGAATTACTCCTAAGATCGTCCATGTGGATCGACTGGCGCGTTATTATGGGGCCAATAATGCTCGGGACAAGCATGTCTTAGGAGGGGGCAGTGTTGCGCGCCACTGTTAATGTCTTGTTTGGCAACACTAGTTACCACTAGCGCCCTCTAGTATAGAGTAGCAGAACTAGGAGAGTCAAGATCCTTCTAGAAATTTCGGAACCGATATGTACTCGAACATTCTAGATGTTTTTACAGTATTAGGTTCTGGAAACTATCTGAGGCCCTATATAAGGCCGGTATAGACCACGACCGAGTCAGTATTGAATTGGCGATATAAGCGAATACTTCGAAGCGATATAACTGCGAACTAAAGTGATCAGTAGTACAATTGTGTTTTATTATTAGTGTGGTTTTAAGTTGTAATTAGTGTTCTGTAATTAAGGCGTCAATTTTGGTAATTCAATCGGCAGTTTTTAATTCTCTCGAACCCTAAGCTTGTAACAATATGTTCCGGTTTTAATTTTTTTTCTCGATAGCTAATCGATAATTTTTGATTTGCTTTGTGTATCGTTAATCGCCTTTTCTAAATCAATTTAACATTGTTTCATCTCAAGACACGCTAAACTGTAAGCCTTCACCCGCACAATTCTATAACGCAAAGACTATAATATGTATAAGATAAGAATAATTTGCACGATATAAATATATTTGGAATGTATTTGTTTTTAATTTTGTATTTTAATTTTGTGTTTTTCTGATGTAAATTTCATAGTACGCCAACTCCGATTCGATCCTCGCCGGCACCAGTGAAATTGTTGATTGCAATTTTAAGTGCTGATTAGCTATGGACTCGGCGGTGAGAAAACATCGTGAGGAAACCTACATGAACGAGAAATTGAAAAAAAAAATCAAAAACGTGCGAAGTTCGCCAACACAAATTAAGGCAGCACCACGGATATGTCCTTGCCCTAAAACCCTCTCGGAAATGACAGAAGGCCTGTGCCCAGCAGTGTGACGTACGGTCCGCGCGTTCTTTCTTGGCCGGGCTGAAGTTGGCTTTCCAACATTCGCGCATGTACAGACGCTAGTCGACAGAAATGTGCCACTTCATATTCGCTCCTCAGATTGCTTAGCGAAACAGTTTGTAATAAATTGAAAATATCTTTATGTATTTCAATAAAACAATAGTATTTAATAAAGAATTACGATAAACAGTGTGAATATATAGTAAATACACGATATTAAAAGAGACAACAAACTCTTTCAGTAACCCCAAAATAATATAACTTTAATTTTTTTAAAGAAAATCTTTAATGCACATCATCATAATCACTGTATTAAAATGACATGTTGCATTTACACACCAATGAAAAAAGAAACAATGCAATTAACCATAATAAATATGAAATAAAATCGAATCATAATCGATAATTACGAAAATCGAGTATTTACGTAATTGTAACAGCGCAATATGCGTATTCACATCTCTAGTCTTAATTACCGCCCGCACTACCCGCTTCTTGTCGCCTTTTTGGTTATTCTATTTCACGACGAAGGCTTCGCCTTGATTTTAGTAGTGACGTGTACCGACAGGCGCGTTTGTATGTGTTACGTTTTGTTTAACTTGTGATCATAACTGAGCGCTCCCGAGGCCTACGCACACTAACACAATGTGTATGTGCACGGCTAACAAAAACCAAAGTCAAACCTTCATCGTGAAATAGAATAACTATACTCAAAGCTATATCTGCGCAGCCACTCGCGGCTAACTTCAGCCCGGCACACACACGCAGACTTTACCTTTTCACCATACTCTCAAGACTCGAGTGTCCTTAAGTTGAGTCGAAATAATTTTTATGTTTATATTTCGTTTTTATGCAGCAAAGTGCATTCGATTGATTTGAATTTACATCAATACAGCAGTTACAGATTTATGTTAATGCAATACATTAAAATTGTATAATGGTAATAGTTAGAGTAACTTATCTAAAACATATAAAAACACGATTACGTTTTGTGTTTGACAATAAACTCTTGTCCCATGCATTTTTCTATGACCTATGTCAGTCACTGACATTTTGAAAATTGCTTTCTAGTCAAAACATAACCGAAGCTAATAAATGTGATTAATTTTTTGGTATTCAAGATTAGTGGTAAAATGTTTAGTAATTAATTATACTTCATCATATTGGAAAACAACAAATAGAGCTTACCTTTAAGATTAACTGCATGCACAATAACGTTCACATCTCCTAATTCGATGCCCAGTCGATTCATATTGCTGAAATATAAGTTATAACACAAAAGTAAGCTTAGTTCAAGTTCTTTATTTTTAACATATATAATATAATAAACTATATTCGGTCACATTTTTTTTATTACTTCATATTGATATTATAATTATCATTTATTTAAAAATAAATTGGGTGTAGTAACAGAGGCAAAGGGCAAATATAGTTCACAGCCTGTGTCGAAAACTAATAATCCGTTTTATCCAACAGTGATATACCCGACAGGCGTAACATGGCGGCATAAGAAAATATATCACCATAAAAGACAATACCTAAATAATACCACAAAGATGGTTCAAATAGTACTATTGGCACGGCGGTGTTTCGGAACTTTGGCTTCGGTGTTTCGCTTGTGGCGCGTACGACAGTGCCGCCATAGGCTGATAAAAAAGTAAGAAATGTGTGTGTTCAAGAAGTTGATCATAGTTTTGGCGTAACTTGAATTGTACGCAGCGCTCCGCCGCAGCAATATTTTTTTGTTCTTTATTAACCCGAATTACTAAACAAAATACCAAAGTTAAAGAATATCTCTATCTAGCTATGACAATTGACATAAAATTTTTTCTCTGTAAATATTCTGTAAATCGACAGTAGCCTAAAGTTTTTGTTTATGGACTGAGAAAATAAAAAACAGATTACTGTGTTAAGCCGTTCCTAGCAATTTCAGCAAGCAGTAATAAACATCTTTAGTACTAGCAGGCCTGTCTCACTCCGCGCTTTAGGCATGAAAATATACGTACACTGCGCGGCCCCGCGTGCGGGGCTAGTTCCGTGAGGTTGTCACGCGCCCGCTAGAGCTGACGCGCGCCCTACGTTAACATAAAAATTATTTTTCTCTAATAAGTATTTAGGCACTTTTGATATTTATTTTTGAGTTTTTATTCAAGTATGGCCTCTCAAAAATCCAAAAGCAGCCAACTGTCAACTTTTCATTGTTTACTGTTCCTAATGATACCGAAAAGTAATATATTATTATTTATAGGTAGATCTAGATAATTAGGTACTTAGTTACTGACGCCATAATTACAGATTTATTATTTGATTAGTGACTCGACTACATCTTCGCAGTTTTCGAATTTTTTTCGTGTATAATGCAAATGACCTTAAAAAGCGTTCAGTGTAAGTAGACCTCCCAGTACTAGTGACTGCCTACTAATGCAAGATCAGCATATACTGGTTTATGTTTAACAATTGTTCTGGGTCTGTTCTATGTATGTAAACTGTTCATGTGATACAGGAGAAAATCCTAGTGTGGAGGTAACGTTTTTTAAAAAGATAGGAAGAGAGACAACTAATGAAATTAAAAATGTTGTACAACCGACTTCAATATTAAAACACATTATTAAGGATAGCTCCAAAACTACCGGTCAGATTTTAATCAAATTCATATGGGATGTATAAATTATAAGCACCAGCTTTCAAATAAAAATAGAATCATCAACATCGATTCACCTAGAAAAAAGTTCTGAGGTAACACACTTAAAAAAAACAGTCGAATTGAGTACCTCCTCCTTTTTTGAAGTCGGTTAAAATGGAAAGTAGGTAAATTATCTGAGTTTCAAAGACGTTCACGTTGTAATAGACTTAATTTTCCTCGATGTTGCATATTAACCTTCCTCACATTGAACAATAAAGTTTTTATTATCAGAAAATTGATGGCTCCGTGGTGTAGTGGCTTAGCAATGAGTTGCAATGCTGGGGCCGCGGGTTCGAATCCCGCACGGAACAAGTATTTGTATGGCCTACAAATAATGTTTGTCAATGTTTGTTGTGTTGTCTCCTTACAGGAGAAAATCCTAGTGTGGGGGTAACGTTTTTTTTTAACAAAATAAAAATAAATAAAAGAAATACTAATACAATGCATAACACCTCGGTGTATTCTACCAACTAATATCAAAGGATTCAATTTGTTTTCTCACAACACCTACAAACCTTAACAAAGCGAGTAACGTGTTAAGTGATACAGACACTCTCACGCGCACGTAAGATGCATTTTGATTTAATACGCGTCCCGTATTATTTTTTTTTTCGTCGAAATAAACGGTAGGCTAATTTCACAAGGTCACTTCCGATGCGTGCAAAGTATTATGAACATTAGCGACGTAGCAACTAAGTTTAAACTCGCAAGTTTGCTATCAGAGAGTGAGTCTTCTGTTCTTTTAACTATTATTTATTCTGTGATACTAGTAATGTTTATAGTGTTGGTAGTACTCCTTTAAAATAAAGTTTTACTATACACGGTGAGTGGTATTAAATTGTGAAATTAAATTTTAACTTACTGTTCTATAATAGTAGAGCGTTCAGAGATCCATTGTTTGTGGAGGTTACCAAAGTTTTCCACCGTGGAGTAACTGGGCTGACCATTTACATTGTTGTTGTGTTTGTCTATATGATGTAGACGGGTATTTTCATTAGACACCGATATCACTCTGAAAATTTAAATATCCTGCTTTTGTACAGATTTAACGTGTATAATATATAATAACAATATTTAACTTATTGATTTAAATTTAAAGTGAACCATACTAAATGTTTATGCCAGTGATGACATACGGAACTGAGACGTGGTCCTTCACTGCTGGCCGGATGAGGAAGCTCAAGGTCGCTCAGCGAGCTATGGAGAGGGCTATGCTCGGAGTTTCTCTGCGTGATAAACTTAGGAATGAGGATATCCGCAGTAGAACCAGAGTAACCGACATAGCCCAACGGATTAGTAAGCTGAAGTGGCAATGGGCCGGCCATATAGCTCGAAGAACCGACAACCGATGGGGAAGAAAGGTTCTCGAGTGGCAGCCTCGTACCGGTAGGCGAAGTGTAGGGCGTCCCCCCACGAGATGGAGTGACGACCTGGTAAGACATGCAGGAAGTCGATGGATGCAGGTGGCTAAGGACCGTGCTTTGTGGCATTCTTTGGGGGAGTCCATGTTCAGCAGTGGACTTGTGAAGGGCTGTAATGATGATGATGATGATGATACTAAATGTACATTTTGTAAACATAAAAAGGATGGAAGTGCTTGTCTGACATTTTTTCCGATTTTTTTGACTGTTATTTTTTTCATTTAACTCGTAAGGGTGCGTACAGATTAAGTAACATGTTGTGTAACTTTTGTTTTATAACACGTCCACATTATGTAACATTGTTTTTCAACATTGTAACATATAACAATACTGTACACATTCGAATAACAATGCATTATGACAATGTTATATGACATTGTCGTTTGTAGTTTTGCCGTTCGAGTTATATAACATTTGTGTTACACGTTATATAACATGTTTTATAATATTCAGCCTAAACATTACTGAAACATGTTATATAACATCGTGTTATGTTATATAATGTGTACGCACCGTAACTTATGCTGACTTACTTTGCTTTAGTGAGATGTGGCCAACCGACCCATATCACTTTCCCCAACAGTTCCTGAGCGACTTGCTCAAGAGGCGGGTCATCTTTTTCGCGTATTATCTCAACTATCATATTCTCGTTACGGGAGGGCTGGTCGAAAACTTTCACTTGGCGCTTTTTCAAGCATGTCTAAAAAAGAATAAAATATTTATGTACTAACCCAAATAGAATAAGCGGATTTCTTGGATTTTGGATCGATTTAAATAGTTTGAATATGTGGCGGTTTTATTAATATTTTGTTTCTTCTAAGGTACCAAAATAGTGCTATCAGGCTTTTTGCCATCCAGAATCAAGAATAATTGAGGCCGACTAAAAAAAATAGAAGGATGTCCTCAATTCGCATGTTTTTTTTTGCATGTACATGTTATGCGTTTATTTATTCAAGCGTATATCCACATAGGGGATGAAATATTTAATGTAACAATTTAAACGACATTTAAATGTTTAACTTGAATTTTGTGATATTGTTTAGTCCACTCAAAAGGGTCAAATAATTAAACTCTTTAAAAATAGTAAAATCTGATATAAAAATTGCTTCTGAAGTTGTGCTAAGACATTGTGTATCGAAGAATCAAAGCCCCGACTTCAGAAGCTATTAAATTGTGTGGAAATTATTTTATCTTTTTAAGATATTTGAAGTAAGTTTTTACTTACTTGAGTAGATTAATTATTAAAGAATAGCTTCTCTTAGCACTTAGCCACTGCGCTAGCGAGCATTAGAGGTATTTTATAAATTTACAATTTACTTTTAGTTAAAATATTCTTACACGATATTTGAGATGTCGCATGGTAGGAAACCCGGGATAGAGCAGGTCTCGATTTGCATTAGGCAACATGCCTCGCTTCAGTTGATCTTCGGGCACGTCCAGCTCGCTCCGCCATACTTGTTTTTCCATCGCGTGATTCTCCGTGATCGGCGGGAAGTACGCTGGTGCAAATGCGACGCCTATGGCATAATATATAAATTTATATGAAGATCACTACAAAAACTAAGATCTATGTATATTTCGCTACTTGATGCAATAACGGGACGGATAGACCGTTAATTTGAAGCCGATGTTCAACTAAATAATGCCTTTTATTAAAATTATAATTGACAAAAAATTAAACATTTAATAAAAAGTTAATGTCAGTTGACTTTAACTTTTTATTCGTAATCTGTGTAGTAGTGGTGAAAGAATATCATCCCGTCCTAAGAGACGACAGGAGAAAACAAATAGGAAATGAGCAGCAAGATATTCCTAATAACTACTAAAAATAAAAAATTAACTGTGGTTGCCAACCCGCTTGCCAAGCATGACAAATATGGCAAATATCTCCCCAATGAGGCAATCTACGGGTGAAGATGTTCAGCAGTGGACTTTAATAGATAATGGTAAAAGTCAACTTCAATTAGCTAAAAAGGATACAATGATTTCTACATAATAGCTTCTGAAGTCTGGGGTTTCATTCTTTGATACTTATATCTTAGTATCAACTTCAAAAGCTATTATGTGGGAATTATTTTATTCTTTAAAGTTCTTTAAATTGGCTTTTATTTTCTTAAATGTTTTTTTACGTATAAGTATTTTCTTATAATTTATTCAACAGAAAACACTGATTTACCTGCTAATAATTTAATGGAATTATATTTTAAACATATTGTTATATGAGACTTTCACCATAAATATCATCCTTACATAATTAACAGGGTGGCTAAGGATTTACCAGCCCTTTTGTTAAAACTTATGTTAAATAAATTGGATAAGCTTTCTTTAGGCATTCAATTAAATGCCCGTGTTTGACTATTGCTGCTGTTTGAATAGCTAGTCGAACAATTACCTGGCTGATATCAGGCTGCCGCATATACACTTACTTTTAATTAATGAAGTATTAAAATTTGGGTTGTGTCTTTATGATATTAATTGATTTTTCTTTCAAGAATCATTATTTATATATACTATAACAAACCTAAATTAGTTGATGTCCAGTTGTAAACCAGCATGGGTCCATGGCTGTTTCTCTTTAGTTCCTCTTCAGTTAATCTTTGATAGCAAGGTGCCATAGCTGATAGAAGATTTGCCTGCAATATTAATAGTTCTTTAAAATTTTTGTTCATTAATTACGAACTAATAAAATATAATTAAACTAGCAATCCGCCCGGCGGGTGATTTGTGATCTCGAGAACAGCATCACCTTCCTCAGACACACATAAAAATTTCATCAAAATCGGTCCAGTCGTTCAGGAGTTCAGTCAAATACACATGAACAGAAACATTATATATAAGATAAAAAAACATGCGTGAGTGTCGTGGAGCACTTGGTTGGAACGAAGTTCCTTTCGTAGTATATTATTATTGATAAACGTATGATATTATCGATTAACAAAAATATATAAAAAAAAATACTAGCGTCAATTCAAAAATAATATTTCTTTTATGGCAAGATATGAAAGAGTGCGAGGGAGATGCATATTATTCCATCTCGCTTCCTTGCAGCCGCCAAGGCCGTCTACACTACGTCAGAAGGGGTCATGACGGAAAAATCTTACACTTTGTCTCGCTTAGCCCCCATGCGCCAAATTCGTACCATTCGATAAGGAACTTCGTTCTAAAAAAAATCATAAACTAAAAACAAGGAAATCAGGCAGCAGACATGCAGCAACATCTTTCTGATAATAAAACCAAAATAATAAAAAAATCTGCATCTGTGGTAACAGAAGGCCTGTCAAGGCAAGGCAAGTCAAGTGTGGCACATGAGGATCCTTTTTCAGCTGGGGGACTTTTGATGGGCTGTACAAACCAACTGTAGGAATACCAACTAAGAGGACATGAAAAGTTTTCCTAACTGCCCATTTTGAATTTTTACAAGCATAAAAAAGATTGACTTTATTTATTTTTAATCTGCAAGTTTTATTTATTATAATAATAGCATTTTTGGAGGTTGTCAATAAATTTAATAAGTACCCAGTGAATTTGCAGATTTTATTACAATTCAGGATTATTGCTACTGCATTTTTGAAGATTTTCAATATTTATTATTTTAATGTCCGTCTATATAATTATTTTAATGTCAGTTATATATATGATATTTTTTTATAGGATAAGGGTGACAAACAAGCACACGGCCACCTGATGGTAAGTGTATGCTGCGGCCCATAGACATCTACATCTACCCTCGATTACAAATCAAAATACTAATAAATGTATAATTATACTAGTAATATAGCTGCGACATGGCCTGATATCTACCACGTGATAATACTTTAATATACATAGATAATGCTTAGCACTTAATGCTCTCCTGCACACAAATCCTGAGTGCGACCTGTTTGCGGATGAATGGACGGTAATATTGTCTGAATGCCTGAAGTTTCAGAGCGAGAATATGTTGTCTTTAATTTTACCGTTTTTTTATTAAAGTAAAAATAAATAAATAATTACCTCGTCAATAAAAGGTATGAGCACGACGGCCTCCCAGTCGTTGCGCTTGCCGTTAAGGTCTGTGTCGAAGTGAAGCGGGTAGTAATGCACGATGGGTGAGTCCTCGTCCGTCATCAACTCGTGGAACGGAGTCGGCAGCAAATGTTTGCTGGCCGCGGGTAACACCGCCAGCAGCTGCCGAAAAATTATAAAATAAAACAACAACCTTTAAATGTTGCCGCTGCAGAGTCCACCATTACAGATATCACATATCATCTTAACAGTACCTTGAAAATCAACGCTTAAGTTTAATTCCATGTTAAAACTTTAAGTAATTATTATGTCAAGGGACTGTTTTAAACATTGTACTTGGTAAATTATTATAAAAATAAAAAGATCTTGCCAATCAGTCAGATATTTCAGCGATATTAAGAGGCATCATCAATTTCCAATATTTTATTTATCCATCCATATTTGAAAGGAACAATTTGCGGGGCCTAAATTAGCTACGCCAATTACAATGAGCAGTCCCTACAGTGACCTAATTTTTGGAATAACATACTGAAAATAACAATAACTTCTATTTTTTTTTGACAATCTGAATTGATACAGTCGGAGCAGTTTTAATGCAGTGTCACATACATGGGCTAGTCAACTTACAAGCTTACAAGCTTTTGCGCTTTTAAGTAATCAGGTAGGGGTGACATAGTCACTGTGTGACAAAACCCCTTTTTTGAAAATAAAGATTAAAAAAAAAGTAATCAGGTATTCCAAATAAGCGTGGAACAAGACTAATAAAAATTGTTAAAAATATATCACCTGCTCAAAAGGCCTGAAGGGCTCGCCGAGTTCAAATTCAATCTTCAGATCCTTGAAACCCTTTATATCAGATATATAGGGTGCATAATGATGTGGATAATACCAGCACCAGGACGGACAGCCTTTATAGTAGTACCACAAGTTCCACTGAATGGCTCGGACATATCCCTCCGCTTGGTCAGCAAGAACTTCACTGAAAAACATATATTGCTATAATTTTTTCTTAATACCTCATAAATGTACATTATGTGAAGCACACATAATTACCGTGTAGTGACGGTGTAAGAATATCCACTACCCCATATCATCCTGTGGGTGTCGTAAGAGGCGACAGAGGAAATTAAATCAGGGGATGGACAGTAGCATTTTTGTAATAACAACTAAAAATAAAAACTCGCTTGCCGAGCGTAGCAACTATGGCAAATATCCCTCCTATGAGACAATCTGTATGTGGGGGAGGCCTTTGTTCAGCAATGGACTTTAATATGCTGTAACGGTATACACTACGTATATTGGCCGCAGTATCAAGGCTAAAGCGCCGTCCTATTGCCATCGCTCGCGAGATCATGCGTACGTGCGACGAAAATTATTGTGCGACCGTGCGTTTACACATACTCATATCTGCGGAATGTCCTATTGAAGGTCGTGCGATCATGCGATGCGACCAAATTGTCTAATTTTCGTCGTGCGATTATCGACGCATCGTATAGATCCGACGATCGTCCAATCAAACATACTAATTAGTACTGAATGTCCTAATGGCCCTCGCGCGACCAAGGGGCGGAGACAAGGGAGGAGATTTCGTAAAAATCTTCTTCGTTTTGCCGTACGTCGTAATAGTGATTGTGAAATTTACCGCACTGATTTCTGTTTTTATACAGTATATTATGTGGTGTACGTTTTCTTTTTTAGTGCTATTCACTATTAAAGAAATATTGCTCGACAGCAAAAACTGTGCATTTCTGTAAGAGCCATTTGGAGAATGATCGCATCGCTCCAAAATAGGACACACGATTTCTAATCGTGCGAACGGATTCATCGGACGATGAAATCGCATCGCATCATCGCGCGACCGATGGCAATAGGACGGCGCCTAAGTATTCTTTATCTATAGAATGTCTAGAGGTACATAATATTATTTTTCTTTTGTTTTACTTACTCTGTGACTTTAGAGTAATCTAATTTGTTCATGTAATAGTCTTTCTTGTGAAGAATAAATTCCATTTCCATGTTTGCCTCCTCTGCAAAAACAAAATTTGTTTGTTTTTAAAAACAAAATTGAATAATGAGAAAGTGAGCTAATAAAAGGCGTGACAGAAGTTATTGATCACTAGCTGGTACCCGGTGCGTTGCTGCCGCAGAAGAAATAATTGAGGAAATATCGTATTAAATTTGGAAGAGTTATGTTGTTTAATTACGAATGATAGTGCATTCATTGAAGTTGAATGATATATAACTTTCAAATAAATTTTTCGGTACGATACGCGCACCACCGCAAGTTAATTGTACTATGCCTATAACCTTCGCGCAAGTGCAAGCAATAAGTTGATAAAGTTTTAGCGCAATTAATGAATGGTATGGCAGCCTATAAAATACGAACATTAGTAAAATATTATATCACGGCAGATTACTAAAAGAAAATATAAACAACTCTTTTTTTCTTCAATTTATCTGAGATTTTCTAACGACTTCAAAAAGGAGACGGTACTTAATTCGACTGTAGGTTTTTTTATGTATGTTACCTCATAACTTTTTACTGGGTGAACCGATTTCGATGATTCGTTTTTCATTCGAAAGCTGGTGCTTCACATGTGGTCCCATATAAATTTGATTAATGTCAGACCAATAGTGTTTGAGTTATTCTTGATAATTTATATTGAAGTCGGTTGTACAAAATTTTTAATTTTAAATTGTCCACTTTGCATGTGATTTATATATAAATAAAATGTAATCACTAAATTAATTTTCATTTTACTTTATTTTTTCTGAATTCTCGATATGTAAGTTTACGTACTGCTTATTTTGTAGTCTAACTTTTTTCTTTTGCTCAATGATTGTTTTAAAATAGACTTTATAGTTTTGACACTGGTTATATAAATTCACGTACCTGAGTCGTACAGTTAACAGATTGAAATGAAAATATAACATTTTAAAGACATATATAATTCGCCAACACGGATAGAGACAACGAGGTCGATCAGATCTAGAATCTTCGAAGAAATGAGAGGATGTTTGTGCCCAGCTATGGAATATTTTTACTTCTTTTATATAAATACTATTTTAACGGTGGTAGAGCCACGCAGCAGTTTTTGCTGTTGCATGTATGGGCCGGCTCGAGCCGGGTTGGTACCACGACCTCACAGAATACCGGCGTGAAGTAGAAGCTTTGCTTCTGCGTTTCGTCTGGTGAGTGCAGGTGGCCGGAGGCCCAATTCTCCCCCCCCCCCCCCCCCATCAACATGGTAGCGGAATTACACGAAGAACTACCCCAGGAGGGTACCAGCACCCCTGGAGAATCCCTCGCTGAGCATCCACGACCATGTTATTCCGATCCTGAGCGTGGGTGCTCAGGCTGCCCCGCGTATTCTGGGGGGGGGGGGGGCAAAATTCCGCTCAAAAGCATTACTGCTAGGGGCAAACTGAGCAAGAACACCAAGGCGACCCCTGCCACGCTATCCGTGAATTTCTGCAACATCAGGGGACTTCACTCTAACCTAAACGCCGTCCACTACCATCTCGAGACGGCGAAGCCGGCCTTGCTCTTTCTGACCGAGACGCAGGTTTCCTCTCCGGCTGATATTTCGTATCTCTCCTGCCCGGGGTACAAATTGGAGCATTCCTTTGTGCCTCGGGCTGGAGTTTGCGTGTATGTCAGAGAGGACATCTGTTCTCGACGCCTCGGCAGTCTTGAAGGTTCGGACCTGTCCATCCTTTGGCTACGCGTAGACAGCGACGACCATCCGCGCGTCTACGGGTGCCTCTAAAGGTCCCATAGCGGTAATGCCGAAACAGACCGACTCATCGACCACGTCCAAATGGCTACAGATTTCTTGCTACAACAGGTCCCATCCGCAGAGATCGTGATCCTTGGCGATTTTAACGCCCACCATGCCGAATGGCTCGGTTCACGTCTAACCGATCATGCGGGGAGATCTGTTTATGACTGCCTTGGCATATGGTCTGACACAACTGGTTACTTCGCCTACGCGGATTCCAGATGTGGAGGATCATACACCTTCCCTGTTGGACCTTCTGCTGACCTCTCATCCGGACGGATATCTGGTTTCCGTCGATGCCCCTCTCGGCTCTTCGGACCATTGTCTGATCCGGAGTGTGGTGCCACTCACGCCCCCTTCGCGGTTGCGTTCTGCAGGTTGCCGCCGTGTTTGGCATTACAGGTCGGCGGATTGGAACGGAATGCGGCTCTTCTTTGCATCCTACCCATGGGGGCGGGTTTGCTTCTCGCCGGATGATCCCAGCGCTGTTGCTGACTCTGTCACTGATGTGGTGCTACAGGGAATGGAACTATTTATTCCACCATCTGTGGTACCCATCGGAGGCAGATCTCAGCCTTGGTTTGGTCGCTCCTGTAAGACTGCATTACGCAGTAAGCAGGAGTGTTATCAAGCCTGGGCTGCGGCTTCGGCGACTCGGGATGTAAATACCAGCACACTTAAAAAGAAGTATAACTTCGCCTCCAGGTCCTTCAAAAGAGTTATTGCCAAGGCAAAGTCAGAGCACATAGGCAGAATTGGCGAGAAACTAGTTCGCCTTCCTTCGGGAACCCGTGCATTCTGGTCTCTCGCCAAGGCTGTCCAAGGGAATTTCTGTAAGCCATCACTACCATCTCTGCACAGGGAGGATGACTCACTGGCCCATGACGCAAAAGACAAAGCCGACCTTTTAGGCTCCCTTTTTGCGTCCAACTCGACTCTTGATGACGGGGGGAAAACACCGCCGACCATCCCGCGGTGTGAGTGCTCCATGCCGGATGTGCTGTTCTCACAGCGCTCGGTTCGCAAAGCACTGCTCTCCCTGGACATCCAGAAGTCGAGTGCGCCTGACGGAATCCCCCCAATTGTGCTGAGGACGTGTGCTCCGGAGTTGGCACCGGTCCTAACGCGTCTTTTCCGGTACTCCTACTCCCAAGGCGTAGTCCCGAATTCATGGAAGACAGCTTTTGTCCACCCGATCCCTAAAAAAGGCGACCGCTCAGACCCATCCAACTATAGGCCTATCGCGATCACCTCCTTGTTCTCCAAAATAATGGAATCCATTATTAACTGCCAGCTCATCCGGTACCTTGAGGATCACCAGCTGATTAGTGACCGCCAATACGGTTTTCGTCGGGGTCGATCAGCTGGTGATCTTCTGGTCTACCTGACCCATAGATGGGCGGAGGCAGTAGAGTCCAAGGGGGAGGCGTTGGCCGTTAGTCTGGACATTGCGAAGGCCTTCGATCGGGTTTGGCACAAAGCGCTTCTTTCGAAGCTCCCTTCCTATGGGCTTCCCGAGAAATTGTGCAATTGGATCACCAGCTTCCTTGTAGATCGGAGCATCAAGGTCGTTGTAGACGGTGCATGCTCTGACTACAAGCCTATTAACGCTGGTGTTCCACAAGGCTGTGTGCTATCACCAACGCTGTTTCTTCTGCATATCAATGATATGTTGCTAACTGGTAACATTCATTGCTATGCGGATGACAGCACTGGTGATGCTCTATACACCGGCCGTGCCAATATTTCTCGGGAAAACGTCGCTGAGTACCGGAACAAACTTGTGTCTGAAGTCGAGTCTTTGCTGAACAAAGTCTCGGATTGGGGGCGACTAAATTTAGTCCAATTTAATCCTCAGAAGACACAAGTTTGCGCGTTTACCGCTAAAAAGAACCCCTTTGTCGTATCTCCTCAGTTTCAAGGCACTCCCCTTCTTGCCTCAGTCAGTATCGGTATCCTCGGAGTCGACATATCGAGTGACGTGCAGTTTCGTGGTCACTTGGAAGGGAAGGCCAAATTGGCCTCTAAAAAGCTTGGCGTGCTCAGCAGAGCGGGACAGTATTTCATGCCGGCACACCGCCTGCTACTATACAAGGCGCAAGTTCGGCCTCACATGGAATACTGTTCCCATCTCTGGGCAGGGGCTCCCCAGTGCCAGCTCCTTCCACTTGACCGCATCCAACGCAGAGCGGCTCGAATTGTCGACGACCGAGCCCTTTCCGATCGGATCGATTCATTGGCACTGCGAAGAGATGTTGCATCCCTTTGCATTTTCTTTCGCATCTACCATGGGGAGTGCTCTGAGGAATTGTTCGGATTAATCCCAGCCGCCAACTTTCACGAACGCACATCGGGGTAGAACTCCCGATACCATCCACACCATCTGGATAATTGGCGGTCCACCACTGTGCGATTTAGAAGAAGTGTTTTCTTCCTCGCACGACCTCCTTGTGGAATCGATTACCATCAGCGATTTTTCCGGACCGATACGACTTAGGGACCTTCAAGAAAAGAGCGTACTCCTTTTTAAAAGGCCGGCAACGCATCTGCGATTCCCCTGGTGTTGCAGTTGTTCATGGGCGGCGGTAGTCACTTACCATCAGTTGAGCCGCATGCTCGTTTGCCCCTCTCCTATAAAAAAAAAAAATAATACTAGCTGTTCCCCGCGACTTCGCCTGCGTGTTATTTGGGGTTATAATTTTTTTGCGCGGAACCCTAATTATTTTTCTAAAATAAAAGTAGCCTAAGTCACTCCTTGTGACATCAGCTATATGCCAGTGAAAATCCCGTCAAAATCCGTCCAGCCGTTTCGGAGATTAGCCTCAACAAACGGACAGACAGACAGACAGACACAGACAAAAACTTTAAAAATTGTATTTTTGTTATTAGTACCGTATATACTTTCACATACATTTAGTAAAAAGCTGTAATTTTGACATTACAAACAGATACTTCAATTTTATTTATTTGTATAGATATACGGCGTAACGTGCTGTTCATCATTTAATAAAATAAATATATTCAACTTTTTTTAAATGAAAACTGAAGTGACAAACGAACTTGCAATCCACCTGATGGTAAGTGGCTGCTGCACTCCATGGACACCTGCAACCATCTTTATAATTTACTTATAAAGATGGTTGAAGACCACAAATGCGTTGTCACTACTGAGGACTAAGATGGAATGTCTCACAGCCTGTAATTTTACTGGCTCTCAATACCCTTCAAGCCGGAACACACCAGCTTAGAGCCGCAAATCGATAACGCACTCTAAGAGTTCGAACATTGGCGCGCGCCACAGCCGCGCTTTTTTTTTAATAACTGGCTTTACGGCTCTGGGTTCTAGCCCTTCTGAGCCTGAAGTTACAATGTATAATTATTATCCTACATAGTATAGTGCTTCACAATATGTAGATGCGACACATTGTGCAGACCTTGCGAGATTTTGACGGCAACTTGAGCCAGCAGACAGCTGAAAGTTGGCGATGGTATCTCAAAGCGCCTAAGCAGACAGACACCATATCTTGAGGATCACATCACCATCAGAGCACTTGTTTCACCGTTTCCATTAATAGTTCACATGCGCAGACATTTAATACACAAAATCGCACCACTTTTACATATTAAAATCCACTTCAAACCATTATTTAAACAATAATACAGGAGCAGCAATCCGTCGCCGGTCAAGTTCCCGCCAAAACTCCCACAGCCGTGCGAGATGGATACCGCCTTGGAGCGCGCGCCAAATGTGGAGGGGGCCGCTCCATCTGGTGTCGGTTTTTTACCGCGCATCAAAATAGTTTAAGTTTTGGCACGCGCGCCAGTGGGAACAGCTGCTCGTTCACGACCGACATCCATGTGGAACGGCCAAACACTGGAGCGCTAAGTTGATAACACTTGGAACATTTGGAGCGCTCTCGGTGGAGCGCACTGGTCGGAGAGGTCATTCGCACCAGGAGCGCGTAATCGATACGCGGCTTAAGCTCTACTATTTGTCGGCAGAAAAGGATCCCTACCACCTAGTACTTGAATGATAGATATTGTAACTACTAACCGTCACTGGTTTCTTCATACTCCTCATCATCGTCCACGTCGTCAACGTTGTCCACATACTAGAGCAAAATTTTAAGGTACATTTAATTTTAAATCTAGTAAAGTGAATCCTTTGTAGAGTATAAATAAATTTGGTATTTATGAAGAGGATATCCTGATTGGTGGATAATATTAACTATCCCGGCGTGGAGGAGGCGGAGCGAATTTACTATAATGCGGTAAATATGGTTTGTTGGTTTAAATGAGAATATACTATTTCACGATACTGCAAATGTCCCTAAGTTCGGGTGGCTGTGAAGGAAGGCATCTGCACTCACCTGCACTTCCGCTGAATCGCCTCATGTCTCCAAGGGTTTACGTTGCACGTTGGTTGGATTTCTTCACACATACAACCTTAGGAGATTTTCGCGAAATATAGCGTTATTGCAAATGTCTATACACTTGCCGTTTTCTTATATAGTAAATCACACAACGGCGCGAGACTATGAAGCGTGATATACGGGTGCGGTCGCTTCCGTGACTTGCGAACTTGTGCGAACTCCGTTTTAACACAGGAGTGCACATGCTGGGCATAAAAGGCGGTAGATAGGAAACCCGGCAATGGACATTACAGTACTCTTATTGGATAACAATTAAAGAATCTCACAAGTGTTAGGTTAGGTTAGGAACACAGACAATGATTAGTTTATACAAACGTATTCCCCTGTTTTCACGCTAAATAACAACACTAGAGCAATTTTTATTTTAATACTAGCTGGCCAGGCAGATGTTGTTTTGTCCTCTCCAACGACCCTTTGTCCCATAAAAAATACTGAAATTGGTAATAAAAATATTGAGGGTCACTTATGGGGATAAAAACTATCCTATCTCACAAGTTGGACCCAACTGCACATAGTGTGCATTTTCAATTTCGATGAAATCAGTTCAGTAGGTTAAGACAATTTTACAAGTAATTTTTCTATGTTACATGCCATGTTCCTATGTTATTTCATAAACTAATTACAATTTAAAAACTAGGAACCTTCCGAAATCATTAAAACTGCCCAAATATACCGCCGTTACTAAATATGCAGCCGTAACAAAATTTAATGAACATAAAAAATAAAAGAAAAACATACTGACATAGCAACCTTAATTATTGTTCTTGAAAAAAAAATAATTATGGGTCCAGTTTAGATAGATAGATTTAGTTAAGTAAATTCACAACTATAATCAGTCCGAGCGACAATCGCCTCTGTCTGTTGTCTAAAATGGTCCTTCGAGCACAGCGGTACAGCAATAGATCGATTAAAACCTTTCAAATTAATTAAATATCGGATATTCTCTTAAATATTTTTATGCTGTCATACTCAATTTAGTATAACATTTTTCTGTCAACTGAAACTGTCGACTATTAAATGTGTTAAGATACCTAGGCATAAAGGACCATGCCCATATTAGTATGGAGCTGAAAGTCACCGATGCCATGCAATGCCCAAATTGCAGCTCTATGTCATATGATAACTTTTTAACAGTATTTATATAATATCTAGATTTAATGTCATATAAAGCACCGGTTCAAAAGATATTGGACATTAAACATGATAACTTTCTACTGGTTTTTTATACAGTGAAAGAATGAGTGACAGTCATTTTAGTTTTTTGGAATGTTTTATTTATTAGAGCAATCTTGTAATATACTTTATCTGGGCATTTCTGGGGCACAGATGGGCATTGTCTTTTACATATTGTAAGAAATCAAAAGAGCGCCATGTTTTTAAAAATACTGTTACAACATTACCATTTCCTGGGTGGCGTTAATAAGCGCCTGTAATTCGTCATCAGGTTTGTTTGCCTTGATATCGTCTATGTTTACATTAAACGTCTCGTCGTTGTTCGGCTTATACTGAAAGTTTATAGAACAGTGAAAATTCACAAACCTGTACACACTAAACTAAAATTTAATTTTAATACATATGCAATACTACATAACTCATTTGTAAATAGGGTTCAATATTGCTTGACAATATGTAAAGGAAAGTAAAACGATTTTTTTTATTTGAAAACTATATTGACATAATATATAACTTCAATTTCAGGTGGCAACAGCAGTTGTACAAGTTAATTTTTCTATTTTAAAACTCACCTCCTTTCTCTCTTGAGCATTAGGTCTCCTTCCAGTTTTAGCCTCAAAGTATCTTAAATCTGTATAGGTATCCTGAAACTTCTCCTTATCGATTTTTGCTAGTTCCTGCATAAATATTTCAAACCTGCTTAGGTTTAAGTCACCTGCCTCATTTATATACCCTGAAAACATAGGCACTATATTATAAAACCTATTTCCGTATGTTAACTTATTATTTAACGTTATTAGATCTCTTGCTGAACCGTGGTAACTCAGGGGCCGTAATTTTCACAGCACGCGAGCAACCTGGGTTCAATCCTCACAGGTACCAATAAAATTAACTACGTGCTCGGCGGTGAAGGGAAAAGTCGTGATGAAACCTGTATATACGAGATAATAACTATAACGAGAACATATGTAGTCCAACATCAAAAACACTGAGTTAACGCGGCGGTAATACCACTTCATAACTCTCTCATAAATTATAGGAGACCCGTAACCAGCAGTGGGGGCATACATATGCTGTAATATTACAAACTTTGCTATATGATTTACCACTGTTAGATAATTATTCCCAGCCTTTTATTAAATGCTTGCGACAAATCTGATCAGTCTACTGTGGTGTATACAAACATAAAACATTCACCTGCCTCTTACCATTCAAAGGACTAGATAATAATATGCCAAAAGCATCGAATCTGATTTATCTTTAAATGTCAGATCCGCAAACCGAACCAAAAGCGGGAGCCTTTAATGGATATCTTTTAATATTAATATCTTCAGTTAGCGGGTATTTATGGTCGAATGTGGTGATTTAAAAAAATCTGATTATATCAATACAACTCACCATCGAGTGTCGGCAACACAGTCATGTATGTTTTATATAAAACAGGTAATGCATCATTACTAATATGCATGTTGGGTAAATTAGGAATAAAATCATTGCCCACCAGGAAACCCATCAATACCCAATCGTCGACAATTTTTTCTATGTCAAACTCGAAGGGTAATTTTTCTTTAATGTCTATAAACTCCTGGGTTAAGTATTCACGAAGTAGAGATAAATGAAGAAGGTAAAAGTTTGTTTCCTCTGGGCTGGTAGCACGTTGAGTCGTTTTGCCGAATTTCACCTGAATTATGGAAAACATTAAAAAGCCACAAATGTAAGGTTATATTCGCATAAATATGATTAATTACAGCCTATAAAAGGTCCTCTGGGAAACATAGGGAGTTTATAGTGGACCCCCGGTAATCTGGCCCCTGGCTAATAATAATACACACCTCTTGTAATCTGACATGCCTTTACCACATAGGTACAATCGAGTCCCGTTATGAATCCGCCACGGGAAAGGTGTCCTTCGCGAAGACATGGACAAACAGCTTGCAATTAGTTCTGCGCACCACGAATATAGCTTGACGCATAGTCTCAGTTTAAATGTCACTATGGTAGTAACATTTAAACTAGTTATAGTATTCTAATAGGCATTCATCATTTTGTTTAGGTATTCATTGTGAATAACATATATTTTTTTTACTATAAAATAGTAAGAAATAAAAAAAAATATATGTAATTTGTCAGATTATAAGGTACTCATTTCCAAAAAGTTCCGGATTACCAGGAGGTTGTGGTTGTCTATAGTCCGATAAATTTAATAATCCGATACCATCTTGCAAAAAGTGTGTGGTATTACCGCAGTTTTACTGTATTACTTCAATGCCATTTTACAACAAAACTATAGTGTTAAAGGATAAGGTGATAAGACCTTATGTGAAATTAATAGATCTATAAATTTCTATTTTAACCATTTTCCCAAATTATACATAATTTTGGAGATAATAGCAAACAAACTGAGTCTGCACCCTGCCATTAGGCAGGTGTCTTGTAGACCACAAACTCAAAAGTTCATGAGTTCGAATCTGCCATTCTACTACTGTCGTGAACACCTCCTAACACAAGCATTTTAAGCTTACGAGGAGTAGTTAAAGTGAATATTAATAATGTTTAATAGTATTACTAGTATTTTTTTAGTTATTAAAAAATTAAAATTAATAAACTAATTGCCCAAAGATTATTATAGATATATACTTATTAAAGATTTAAAAGTGTTCAACGTGGACGAGATCGTGGATTAATGCTAGTCAAAAGTAAATTATAAAAATAATTTAGTAAAGATAGATCTCACCTCTTCTCTCAGGAGCGCGAAATGTGGTTCGTGAGTGCACATTCCCAACATTATGAGATCAGCATCCAACCCATACAAGCAATGTCTAGTATTGGGATCGTAATCCGGTTGAGAACGGGCCCATCGAATGTAGTCCATTATCTTATGCTCTCCTTCACCGGGTGTCTAAAGAAATTATTAAAATAGCTTGAGGAGAAATCTCTACATAGTATGAAACAAAGTCAATTCCCGCCGTCTGTACACTTAGATCTTTTAAACTATGCAACGGATTTTGATGCGGTTTTCATCCATACACAAAATGATTGATGAAAGTTTATTTGTATAATACATGGATATTATACATTATATAATTCTTTTTTCCATGTGTATGTGAATGAACTCCTCTTAAATGGCTGGTCCGATTTTGATGAAATTTTGTGTCTATTTAAGTTGATTAGAGAATGGTTTAGACAAAGCCGCGACCGACCGCGCAAAGCCGGGGCGGATCGCTAGTATTGTTAGAAAACTATAAAATTATATTGTTACAGTATAGATTACTTATAAAGAAATCAATATGGACAAGAGGCAATATAATATATTTTGAAATCATAATCTGGTTCTATAACCAAAGAACGAAAGAAAACATCTGTGTGTTTGTTGCTATGCAAGTGCGAAGTTAATAGAAAATTGTAACATTTTTAATTCGAGTATTTATTTGCTTACCTCATGTCCTGACAATATAACTTTCACTTTAGCCCATAGGGGATCTGATGACATCTTTTGTTTGACAAAGTACTTTAGTTGTTCATGCAAACGCGCCATGAATACCGTTCCAGGTGTAATACAATTGCTGTCGAACCGTTTTTCACTTGGAAGAACTTCACCTGAATAGTTTTATATTGTTATTTTTTACTGCTGCCAAGGAAGGGTTATGTTTTTTTTAAAAGGAAAATAAAAGTGGCTAGGTTTTACCATCTGCTTGGGATTCCATAATTAACAAAATTAAATCCAAACCTAAGCATACTACTACAAGACTTCCAGATACTGTAAGCAAGTTCTGCGTAGATCGGACCAAAAAAATTATTAATATTTATAAGTTGAAGGTAACCTTCCTCAACTATGACATCTAGACCGTCAAACACTTGAGTTCACTACCGTGGCCTTGAGTGCTATAAAGTGCCCGAAACGCCGGGAATTAATTATAATTAAACGCAATAAAATCTGTAAATTTAGTTATATTCAATGCTCAGTGACAAAGGCAAGCAGTTTCAGAGGTCAAGACTCCCAGAATTGAGATCACCAAATCACCTTTCAAGGATTACAAGGTCAGTAACTCACTCACTCTTACTCTCTCACTATGCCTATCACAAGTCCACTGCTGAACATAGGCCTACCTCATAGAAGAACAAGAATAACTGACATAGTCCAAGAAATCTATACGCTGAAGTGGCAATGGGTACTTCATATAGCTCAAAGAATTGACAACCAATAGGGCAGAAAGGTTCTTGAGTGCCAACCTCATAGTGGAAAGTGCATTGTTAGGTGCACTAGGTGCACCCTCCTAGATAGAGCGACTACCTGATGTAACATGTCGATGTATGCAGGTTGTGGGAGGCAATTTATGGGAGAGTTCTATGTTCCGCAGTGGATTACAGTAACAGCTTTACTTTTTATTTTTTATAGAATAAGAGTGACAAATGAACATACTGTCCACCTGATGGTAAGTGGATACTGTGGCCCATAGACATCTACATTTATCCACAATTAAGAATCAAAATGCAAATGCATTGTCCTCATTCTTGATAACTAAGATCGAATGCCTCTTTTCGAGTAAAACGGGTCTCCGATTTTCTACACTCACATACGAAATACAGCAGCAACGAGCTGCTATTTTACACTGATATTCTGTGAGAGCGTGGTCTATCCCTGGTCGAGCCGACCCATACATGCTACAACCATAATATAGCTGCAGCATGGCTGTACCACATATAAAACTGTACGTAAATTGTACATGTAGGTACTGTAGGTAAATTCTCAAATATCATAAGAGTAAATACATGATGAGACCCTTTTTACTGGAAAAGAGGCATTCCATCTTAGTCCTCACTGGTTACAACGCATCTGCATTTTGATTCGCAAACGAGGATAAATGTAGATGTCTATGGGCCACAGCAGCCATTCACCATCAGGTGGACTGTTCTGACTGCTCGTTTGTCACCCTAACCTATAAAAAAAAAGAATTATCTACTAACATTATAATAAACTTCCCACTATACAAGAGGTCTATTTTCAAGAAAAACCTTGGCTGATGAGAGAGTGAAGCAATAAAATATGTATAATATCGTGTTTGACCTAATTGAAACGCATACAGTTGCCACCTTCTGGTATCAGTTTTTCAATAAAATAATGAAAGCGTGTGGCATGTATGACATAGGTTTGATTCCATTTGAACTTAGGACCCAAAGCTCATAATCTATACAACATGTAACAAAAACCCTGTGGTTCCCGTTAAGTACGTTATCAGGATCAGTATTCAAACCTACAGAAATAACTTTTTTTTAAAACTCGACCATATTTTTTTTAAATTTTAATAAATTTTTTTTTTAATTTTAAATAATTTTGCGGACACTAGCCGATGCTAAAGCTAAGTAAAGCTGGGTTTTTGACAATCCTCTCACTCCCCAGACAATGCAGAGGTAATAAAACCACAATTCACATCATAAAAAAATGCTAATTGCATACCAAAATCAAAAGTTATTATTATGAAACATTGCTTTATAAAGATAACTATTCATAAACAACCTTATTTCAACATTACCTTTCGCTTTTGCATGTTCTTCTAATTTTTCTGCTTCCCTAGCAGCTCTGAATCTGGTGATAAAATTTAAAAGTATATAAAAGTATTCAACATTACATTGCTAAATTATTTCTATTTACTCACATTATTCAAAGTAAGCAGTGATCAAAAAATATGAAGTGCATTTGGCCTATGCCCTTGATTTTTTTTTTATACATAAGGGTGACAAACGTGCACACAGTCCACCTGATGGTAAGTGGTTGCTGCGGCCCATAGACATCTACATCTATCCTCGTTTGCGAATCAAAATGCAGATGCGTTGTCACCCGTGAGGACTAACATGGAATGCCTCATTTCCAAAAAAAGGGCCTCCAGCCACCTGCACTCACCAAGCGAAACGCAGAGGTAAACCTCTACTTCACGCTGGTATTCTGTGAGGTTGTGGTACCACCCCGGTTCGAGCCGGTCCATCCGTGGCTCTACCACTGTTAAAATAATTATATTAAAATAATTTATAATTAAAAATTTTGTACAGCTGACTTCAATATAAGTTATTTAAGAATAACTCAATAACTATTGGTCTGACCTTGATCAAATTTATATGGGACCACACGAGAACTATCAGCTTTCATATAAAAAAAGAATCATCGAAATTGGTTCACCCAGTACAAAGTTATGAGGTAACACACATAAAAAAAACATACAGTCGAATTGAGTACCGTCTTCTTTTTGGAAGTCGGCAGAAAATAGTTAAGGCTGAAGTTGGGACTCATACACAACAAATCGAAGCTTCAGCCCTAGCAATTTTTACTTGATACCAAATCATGACTTGTGAGTCTATGTAACTTGAAATTAAACAAATGGAATGACTATTGAATTGATGAATTCTGAGTGTGATTAAAATTATAATTCTAATTGTAGCTTTTTCACATTTATCTTTGTGTATTGCGTAATGCTCTGTGAATAAAGGATTTATCTAAATTGGCAATTTATTGCACTTCATATTAATTTGAATAATATTTACCTTCTGCCTCTCTGCTGATTCATCTTTGCTCTTGGAGCTACACCATCAATTGCCATAAAAAACAGCTTCTTCGGCTTTATAATTTGAAATAACAAACTGATATAATGAAATACATCTTGGAATATTTTTTCCTCTGTGATTCGAAAGTGTGGATTAGAGTCATCAGGATGTGAACAATTGTGTATTATGCCATTCATGTCCAGATACATGTTGTCGAAGTCAGGTATCTGTAAAATATTGTTTAATCAGGCAAACAAGCTGTATTTTAGATATATGCCATTTATTTGCACAAAAGTCCTGGGATTTGTTTAGATGACCATACGTTATTTTCTATAGTTATAAATCTAAAACCAAATGTAGGAATATGTACCTGATACTGTTTTACCAGCTCGTTAAGGCAAGGATACCTTTCGCTGGTATACCTGAAGAACTTCGGGACACCCATTATAAGAATTGATCTTTAGAGTATTTTATAACAATTATAACCTCAACCTTCTAAGCAACTCGCCTTGCCTTTTAAGTTTTGCTGCATTTAATGTTTTTTATACACTCTTTTTATACACTTACAAGCAATTTTGTGTGTTTATGAATTTGTATAATAAAGAACTTCTATCTTTTAATGTAAAGATAAGATAGAGTTTAATTATATACAACATAGATTACTGGCTGCAGTGTAGCCACCATGCAGAAAAATTTATCACTAGTTATGGTCTGAAATTTCCCCAGATTCTGGAATATTTTTAATTAAAAGAATCCCTTGGGTTTGCTAATATTAGCAACCCTCTTTACCTGTCGGTAAATTACATATATATTATCTAAATTCTTCAAGATTTGATAAATATTACTAAAAGTCATCATATAATTTTTTTGTGATTTTTTTTTCAGAATATCACTATGTATCTCCAAAAATTCACTAAATTGAGTGACAAAATCACTAAAGTGGCAACGCTGATTACTGTTTTTTTTTTGGATTTTATGGTCTGGCATCTAGACCTTTAGGCCAGCTGATTACTGTATACCAGCGAGAGCACAGAATAAATGATAGTACTACGTACAGAAGTTGCACTCCTTTGATGTTGACTGCTTGCCGACGTTTTAGCCTATATAGTTATCATTAATCAAATAAATCGCATATAAATAAAATCTGATCGCTGCGCGGGAGTGTCCCTATTACGTTGCATCTGTATTCATTTCTACGTCACAACGGACTTTCCGTGTAAGGGCTGTTAATAAAGAGTAAAAAATACATTGTGAAATTGTAAGTTACTTAGGTAAAGGATCTATTCTGATTATGATCGACCATATTTCCGCTACTTTATCTTTTATCTTTATTTACTCTTTATTGTACACCAAAAAACAAAACAAAAACGAGTACAGTTAAATCTTAAGTAGAATATGTACCTACAACAGGCGGTATTATCGCTCTGAAAGTGATCTCTTCCAGACAACCTTAGTGTAATGTTAGTTAATGCCCGATTGCCGGTATTACATGACATAATACTTATAATAATCCCAACGACTATATAATAATTTTGAACTAATAATTTATGATTAATCTAATCTGATATGAATAATCTAATCCAATGTAATTAATATTATTTAATATGAATAATTTAATCTAATAATCTAATCTATTATTATGAATAATGTAATCAATGAACTATTAATAATATTTGACATTTGTATGCCCATGAAGCTGATCACAGACTGAACTTTATTTGTGTTTAAATAAGACCTTTTTGTAACCTGTGAATCACAAATAAACTGTTTGATTTGATTTATAAACTAACGTATTGAAAATTTAGCTTGTATATGATTATATTTAAATGTATAGTCACGGTGTGTAGTGCTGTAAAAAACGAAAATGGAAGCGGGCTTTGAATAAAGACAGTCAGATAATCTGCCGTAATGGATATTTTCACGGTTGCGCAGTATTTTTCAGAAAATTATAATTTTTAATCATCAGTAATGCGTAGAATAAAGCTCCAAAGGTAAGTTACTAATAAAAGATTACGAAAAGTATACATCTTATCCATTGATTAATAACTAGGCAGTAATACATAGGTAGGTCTTAACTGAGCGAACCATGAAGTTGCACGTGATTCACAACGACATAAAATGAAAAAAACTTACTTAACTTACTAATGCAGTGAGTATTAATCAACTCGTACTGTTATTTAGGATCTAGTGACACGTAAAGAAATTTTGTTGGTTACGTGGTTCGTCAGTGGTTGTAAACATATGGTCCTATTTTTCTTTGACTTTTGAATCAACTGATTGCGGTATTACGTTGGTAGTTGGTACCTATTCTGTTTTGAAAATGCAATGGTCGCAAACATTTAATGCGTGTAATACTAAACTGATTTTGATGAAATTTTGTATAAAGGTATAACATGATCTAAAGAATTTTATCTTCTCATATCGGACTTTTATTCCCAAGAAGGGTGATATAACAGAAAAAAAAAAAAAACAGAAAATAAAGGATAAGTAAATAACATGACAAGAAAAATATTGAGTAATAAATATGGAGAGAATAAGAAAAATATAACAATATACACTACTGGTAGCTTTGACGTGTCGAATTGTGACGTCACATCGCGATGCGAAGCAAAGCGGTTGTCCTTACCGTAAAACACCACTTTACATTTTTAAAGGTAGAAACAAAATAAGAATACCGTTGAATTCATCATTTTTTATACAATTTTTTGATACCCTTAACAAAATTGGGTGGCGAGACCCATTCTGACTTAATTCTTTTTTCGCTATAAGTACCTATCTAACAAAAAATGAAATAAATTCACCTTTCATTATCCTTCGTAACTTAAATTATATATCTGAATCCTTTTATTTGCTCAGTAAGTATCTGTCCACGCAATAATTATAGTAGGAACGACGTTTTGCCATTATAATTTATGAAATAGATAGGTGATATATAGTCCGTCAAGAAAGTCATGACAACTGACTACATGAAATTATTGTCAAACTGAGTAACTCAGCCACAGAATAATTTTACTCCTAGCGGAGACTGTCAGATCGTAGCTTTGTAGTTGATGTGCTTTAAGATTTTTTGTTATATTTCGAGTTTTTGTGTTTTGGCGGGAACTTGACTGGCGGCGGTTTGCTGCTTCTGTATTATCGTGTAAAAATACTTTGAAGTGGATTTTGATATGTAAAAGTGGTGCGATTTTATGTATTAGGTGTCTACGCATGTGAACTATTAGTGCTAACGGTGAAACAAGTGCTCTGATGGTGATGTCATTCTCAAGATAAGATGTCTGTCTGCTTAGGCGCCTTGAGATACCATCGCCAACTGTCAGCTGTCTGCTGGCTCAAGTTACCGTCAAAATTTCCTAAGGGCTATACAATGTGACGCATCAACATATTGTGAAGCAGTGTACTATGAAGGATAATTATACATTGTAACTTCTGACTCAGAAGAGCTAGAACCCAGAGCTGTTAAGCCAGTTATTAAAAAATACCATTCTGAGTTCTGATAGTCTTGGGCTTAGTCGGTCGCTATTGGGAGCGCTCAATTTAGTTCGTAGTCCTATAGCGAACTAGTTCGCTCATTTAGTTCGTTAGTTCTTTTTTAATTTTTCAGTAGATCTTATTAAAAAAGATGAGTTTATTGAATGTCAGTAAATATAAATTAATTGAATTTACGTTAAAGAAATATTAATCATTTAATTAGTACTACATAATATATAATATATGCATGATACTTATCAAGAACTATTTGATGATATGGAAATTAAAATAAAATATAATAAACGAAGCTAAACATGTTTTTATATTTTTGAAGTGTATTGAATTAATGAAAATAACGCAACTGCAATTTATCGATTACATGTCACTAATTAATATAACATAGTAACACAGTGTAACCTTGATATAACAAACTTCAATATAACGAATTCCTCGGTTTAATGAATTTTTCGAAATCCCCTAGAACTGCCTGTAAGAGCTAATGCAAAATATAACTCTACATTACGAATAGATTTTCAAAAACATCTTTAAGACGAATTTTTTAGTCATTGCAAAATATATATAGAAGGTATTATTTACCTCTATTTAACCAATTCTTTTAACTTGAAATCTTGACATAACAAATCCTATTAATTATTCCCACTTAATTCCACAATAAATCATGTCTTGACAGATTCAGACATGTACACGACAGGCAGATGACTATTTACGTGATGTTGAGGTTAATAAACAAGTTTTGTTCTAAGATATTTTTAAAGTATAGATACGTTATGCTCGCTCTAAAATGGCAATACGAATGTCAGGTAATTGCCTGACTCGCATTCAGTCGGGCACGCTTTCGCGTCGCGGCTATACCTTCGCTACAGCGCGTACATCTTCTAGTCACTCGTGGTAAAAATGCCTTCCTGTGTTTTTAGGTAGTGCACAAATTACACGGAAACTGTTAGAAACAAGAAAAACGTCGAAAAGATTAGATGTTTTGTTCATAATTGGTTTTATTATTTCAACACTAACCGCTAGTGTAAACTTTGACGCTAGTTTGTGTGTTCATTTCCATATCGGTATGTCACGCGCTCGCGCCAATGAGCGCTCTGCAGCAACCAATACGCAACTAATGATGTATATTCATCTTTTTCTAACGATAGGTATGCCGTATAATTTTTGTCTCTTTTTGTTAGCGCAACGTGTCATAATAAATAACTGTACGTAGATATAGTACTACCTGCGCCATTTTAAAATACAATAATGTTGGTGTGTAACCTGTCTATCTTTTTTAATACGTCTTTGGTTTTCTTACCTTGTTAAAACTAATCGTAGTTATACCTAACCTCTATATAACAAACCTCATTATAACTAGTTAGTCGGTATAATAACGAATACTTTTTAATTCCATTCAGTTTCGTTATATTGAGGTTGCACTGTATTCGAGTATTTATAAAAATTAGTAGAAATAGAAAAGTAAAATTTTAATTTTGAATAAACTTACAGTAAAATCGAATTGAGAACTATACGGTATTAATGTACTGTTTACTATCACTTTCATACTCATATTATGAGCCAGCAATATTTGTTCTTTGTTGTGAATCGTGCACTAATAAAACTTTAACTATAGACTATAATTATATACTTTAATAAGAAACTCTGGTAAGAACGGTAAGAGAAAAAATAAATCAGTCGGTTAGCCATGCAGCGCCACTCCATAATAGAGGGGACGCCAAAACAATAAATAATTAAAGAACTAAGAGCGGGATTGACGACGAACTAGTTCGCATAGTTCACCTAAAAGAGCGCCCTTCCAACCTAGGTCATTCGCGAACTACTCAAGACAAGTTATGACACTGACAGATGACAGCTAAGTTATTCGACCGTTCTACTTGCATGCTTTTTAGCATTTTGTATTTGTAATAGAAGAAGAATAATAGTAATTAATTAAAGTTTAGCGTGTACATAATTTAAGTTGTAATTATATACCTGCTAGGAGTAATAGTGCGCTGTTAAATTTTTATGCTTTTTGAACTAAATTACAATTCAATTTGAGTCGTATCTAACGTCGTATACTATATCTTGTATCTTGTTCTATTGTTGTACAATAAAAGATAACATAATAACATAATTATGGAAAGTGACGAATTAGGCAATGATTTGGTAAGGTTAGACAATGGATTTCTAGTAGATGAGGAAACTTACGTTGTTAACTCTGATGATGTTTTAGGTAAGTTTCCAAAACAGTTATATTCATTTTATTCATCCATCCATTACAGCCTATAAGAGTCCACTGCTGAACATAGGCCTTCCGCAAGATTGTCTTATAGGGATTTTACCATAGTTGGCAAAGCCTGGCAGGCAGTTGTATACGTGGTAGAGATATGCTGCAGCTTTATTATTGTGCACAGATGGGTCGACTCGACCACGAAAGGACCAAGCTTTAACAGAATACCAGCGTAAAATAGCAGCTTAATGCTGCTGTGTTTCGTATGGTGAGTGAAGAGAACTGGAGACCCTTTTACTGGAAACAAGGCATTTCCTCTTAGTCCTCAGGGGCGGCAAAACATCTGCATTTTGATTCCTAATTGAGGATAAATGTAGATATATGCCAGAGCATTCACTTACCATCAAGTGGACTGTGTACTCATTTGTCATGCTCAGTGTATAAAAAACGTTGTTTTACTACTTTTATTAACTTATATTTTACTAACTATAGAGGATATATTATTTCTTTGTAAAGAAATTACTATAATAAGGGTATAGTGTTCTAACACTCTTGTGTAAAATTTAAAATTAGACATTTTATTTATTTATTTTACTTCATATAAGATGTATAGGCGGACTTAATGCCTGAGGCATTCTCTACCAGTCAACTACGGGTGATGCAGAGATAAAAATATAAAGTAGTTGTGTGGAATGTGAAAAGATCGAAATGTAAACTAAAGTATATAAATATAAAACTACGAAAAAAACATTTTGCATTTGTGTGAGTTTTTGCAATTCGGAAGTTTTAATACAGTAGTATCCGTTTATTAGACTTCGCCTATATTGACCAACCGCTTATTATCATGTAAGTACACAGCGAAGTTAGGTTTTCATATAAAATTCTTTATAACAAAGTCAGATATAATGATTTTGCTTATAGTGACATGTTGCTTATTGTGACCCATTTTTAGTAAATTGTGTCTGAATCCGATTATAGTCACCGAAATGATTTCTAATACGGCACTGTTCGGGAGGTGTGCATAACTTTTTTGTTTTGAGTCTCAGTGGGTAATTGATAGGTGAAGGTCTCACACATTATTCGTTAGTGATTTGTGTAAAAAATGACATTGCAACGTCATCGTAAAGCGTTTACGACTGAGGAGAAAGGTACAATAATAATATGCAGATTAGATAATTTAAAATTAAAAATTTTGTACAGCCGACTTCAATATAAGTTATTTAAGAATAACTTAAAAACTATTGGTCTGACCTTGATCAAATTCATATGGGACCACACGAGAAGTACCAGCTTTCAAATAAAAAAAGAATCATCGAAATCGGTTCACCCAGAAAAAAGTTCTGAGGTAACACACATAAAAAAAAAAAAAAAGAAAAAAAAAAACATACAGTCGAATTGAGTACCGGCTCCTTTTTGGAAGTCGGCAGAAAATTGAGAATCCAATACATCTCTCGCAAGGGAATTCGGGGTTGGTCATTCAAAAATCTCAATTATTTTCAAAAACAACGACTCTGATTCAGAAATTGTTCAATTTAAATGTTTTGAAATTGAAGAGGATTTAAAATCGCGACAGGAAAATGTCATCAAGCATTAATTCAGTGGTTTAAAATCACGAGAAACAAAAGAATACCCATCAGCAACCCTATGTTACAGGAAAAGGCAAATGTTTTTGCTGCACGTTTTGGTATTCTTGACTTCAATTGTTGTGCGAGCTGTCTAAGTCGTTTTAAAGTTCAACAAAACATTGTAGCGCGAAAAATCGTTGGTGAATCTATGTCTGTTGATCAAAATTCAACATCAAACTGGTTGGCATCTGTGTGGTTGAATCTACGAAGACAATTTTCTAATGATGAAATTTTTAATGCAGATGAAACTGGACTATTTTACAAATTAATGCCGGACAGAACTTAAAAACTTCAAAGATGAGAATTGTAGTGGAGGCAAGTTGTCGAAAGACCGAATAACTGTCATGGTAACAGCAAATATGAGCGGCACAGAGAAAAAGAAATTGCTTGTTATTGGAAAGTCACAAAAACCAAGATGTTTTAGAAGTGTTAAATTGTTACCTGTCGATTATGCAAAAATCGTAAAGCTTGGATGACGTCAGAAATTTTTGAAAAATGGCTTTGAGTTTTAAATCGCGATTTGAAGAAAAAGAAAAATATTATATTTCTGGTTGATAATTGCCCGGCACATCCCAAAGTTACAGATTTAAAGTTTATTAGGTGGAAGGAAAATACGTTATATGCTTTCCTTCCGCCAAATACAACATCAGTCTTACAGCCAATGGATCAAGGAATAATACGGTCACGTAAATGTAATTTTAGAAAGGATCTTGTGCTTAAAATGATTAATTGCCTTGATACTAATGTAAACCACTGTTTTGTAAAAATAATGGTGATGCAATTCTTATGGTTAATGATACTTAGAATAAAATGTCACAAAGTACCATTCACACATGCAACATTCATTGAAAACCACAACGATTTACCTGTTAAAACAGCAGAACATGAATTTGATGAAGAAGATGACATCCCTTTATCTTTGTGGGTACGAAACCTAAATTCAGATTCCTTAGCAGCACTGGGAATGTGGGAAGATTATGTTGACATCAATAGTGCTTTCCTCACATCCGAAGAACCCACAGATTAAAATATCATACAGAACATTAAAGTTAATGAGCAACACGAAAGTGTTTGGGAAGAGGCATTAAAAGCTGCAGAATTGTTATCACGTTTTGTTTATAGCAATATTGAAAATGAATGATAATTTGACACAAATTATAATTTGTCTTCTTTACACAGTAGTATAAGAAACTGTTATTACAGTATAAGGAAGAAATATAAACAAACAAGCATTACTGATTTCTTATGTAAAAAATACATTATAATATAAAATAAACACATACTAACAAAAACAGGAGATTGTTTATTTTCTACAAAATGCTTTTTATGACGTTTTTGTTATTTCCCTTCGATGTCATTGTAAACGGATTCCAATTTACTATATTTTTTCAAAGTATAGGATCAAAAGGTAGACTTAATGCTAAAAGCATTCTCTGGCAGTCAATCTTCAGTCTTGTTATACCAGTAACATGCACCTGAAACCATGTTATTGTTTGCAAATGATTTTAGGCACTTATGTATGTGAAATTTATGCAATGCTTTGTCTACCTTTCATTGTAGGTCTCTCGCTCAGTTTTTCATTACGATATATATTTCAGAACAAGAAGAAAACAACTCTGATTCTAACTGTGGAGGTAAAAATGTCCCTCTAAGAGAACAGGATCGTTTCCTACCCATTGCAAATATAGCCAAAATTATGAAAAGAGCAATTCCTGAAAATGGGAAGGTAATATTTTCACTTTATTTTTCTCTATTTTTATGTGTGAGAAGTCCCATATTTTTTATATTACTGTTAAATCGTCTTGTTTTTATATTTTTTAATAAATGTATAATAGAATATGGTATGTTGTAAAAGTTTAACATTTTAGGTGTTAATTTTGTACTAGATTCGTTTACTTTTGCCTTATTTTTCTAAGAAGGGATTGCATGCAATATAATTAGGTATCAAAATTTATTATTCACCCTACCACAGCCTAATGCTGGGGCCACAGTAACGGCAAACGCCCATAAACGCAACAATTATTGCTTTAATTTTAACGCGATAAAGTGAGTGGCCACACTTTAACGGTCAACATCATTTCAATTTCAATGACGTTGACCGTTCTTACGCCGACTTCAACGCCGTTCGACGGAACGGCTTTAAAGTTGGCGTTTTTTGCCAGCTCCGGACTTTAGACTTTTTATATTTGTTTAAATGCGTTCTATTAGGCTTTCCTTCTTCTTTTTAATTTCTTCGATAGTTGTTTTAAAAGGTATTAATTGCATAATTCGTTGGCAAGCATCATTTTGCGATGTACGATTCTTAAAACTTTTGAGTATCGGATCCCACAAACCTGGCTCTGTTTGCAGAATTTCAAGAAACGTAATAACTTTTTCATTATTCCAATCCATCATAGCCATATGTGCGACCCCGTTGCGCTCACCGTGCACAATGAGACAAACGTAGTTTGGCCGCTTCAACGCATTGTTTCGTGTTTTAATCTCTTTTATGTACCGCCACTCGAGTTATCGCCAATCCAGCCAAACGGCAAACGGTAGGCGTATTACGTATCTTGCAGGAGGCTAACGATAGCGAAATTAGAACAATAATTGCTGATAAATCGCAGATTCGTATTACGTACCAGCGATAACCGAGCCCTATCTAACTAGCGACCACAAGGCAGCGCTGTCCCTAGTTAGCTTGGCAATTATTATTCTAATTTCGCTATCGCTAGCCTTCTGCACGATACGTAATACGCCTACCGCATTGTTAATGCCGTTGTCAAATTAACGCGTTAAGTCGTGGCCACACCTACATTCAACGTCCATCAACGCGATAATTAACGGCATTTCTCGTTAGTGTGGCCGAGCATAAGAACATAGTCAAATATAAAACATAAAAAGTCAGTTGATGTTGTCGGAAAAGCCGACATAAACAATAAATTGCTAGGGTTGTCAGAATGGGAAGTAATTAAAAAAACCCGATTTTATTTCTCGTTAAAACAAATTAAATAACTTAATTAGACAATTAAAGTTCAGAAATAATAATTATACTACACTGCGAAGGAGGTGCAGTTCCCGCGGCGCCGAAACAGTTGCAGAAATAATTTTGGGTCAATATTCCTGTGTAAAAAAAGTAATTTTTGAGTATCAATATCTCGGAAAATAAGCGATATATCGAAAAATTTTATTCTTACTTTTTGGCTTAGAAATCTATGCGAATCCGCTTTCAAATCGTGGCGTCGTAAAAACCGTAGTCGTACCTCCGCCCGCGTCTCGCCCCGCAACGCACCACACGATTGCCCCATCTAGACGCCGTTGTATGAAATGATTTCTTATATTTACGCGAACACTACATAAATAAAACTAATTTTACGGATTTTACTCTTCTCGCACATTACACCCGCACCGTACGCGCCGCCTTTTATAAAATGCGGTAGATATCCGAATATTGAAGGACGCATGCTGATGACGTCATTTAACGCGGCGCGTTCGGCGCGTGCTGACTGATACTCAGTGTTGCCTAATGTTGCCAACTTAGTGGATTTTCCACTATAATTGGTGGTTTGAACTAACGTGATAATTTTTGTATTTTTATATTTTTTAATTAATTCGTAATTTATTAATTAATTATACATAATTTGATTTTTTTGAATCGCTTATCAATATGAATACTTAGTGATAAATTATCTAAATAATGAACAAAAAAAAAAGTTAAGTTTAAATTAAAAAACCCAATTATACCTGATTACATAATTATCAATGAAAATACTTACCTTAAACATACAAGAAGTCTTTCTCTGGTTCAATTGGCCTTCTAATCTTCAGTTTTCTATAGAAATATATGGTTTTAGTATATGTAGCAAGCAATTCTTGAAATTTCTTGTATGTTAAATGCAAATATCTAAAAAATCGTTCACATCATCTAATAATTCTTTAAATAAAGTACATCCCCTTCATATTCTCCATAAGAATATGAAAAAAGCAATTGTTCTCTTGAAAAGAAAAATCCAGAATCATCTTTTTCTTTTCTTCTTGAATTTTGTTTTCTTCTTCCTCTGCCAATAAGCAGCCTATTACTATATTTCTTTTCATAGTGATTTCGAGCGATCAATTTCACTGTACCGTTTCACACCAGTGGTTGGAAAAAAACTACAAAAGTTGTTGGTAATACAAAACTTTGCGTACGGCGCGGACGATGCGTACGTGTAAATTTGCGAGGCCATCAGTAAAACTCGGCACGTACGGCGCGTACGATGCGTAAGTGCGGACAAATGTGCATTCAGCTTTAGTAGTAGAGACTGTGACAGCGCCTTTTGGGTCTAGACTTTTTTTTGGGATTTGGATAGACACATGTCCTTGTTTCACTAATATTTATCCAGATTCTTTGATTTTCTTTTTATCCACTAAAGATATAAACACTGACCGGCACAAAAAACTACTCACTTTGAATTTTAAGTGATTGTCTTAGATTATTTTTGGTATCATGTCTTATTGATAAGTGTTGTTTAAGTTATTCTTTAGCTACGAATATCCGACAAACAAAACTCGTATGCAAAATCGGGACTCATCTGTGAACAGTAGTTGGTTCCACTGCTCCATTATGCCAATTCACATGTTCATGTGCGAATGCAAGTCTGCTGACTCGATACTGCCTGGTAAGCTCTGGGCCATGTGCAGGTCTTCTGGCTATAATATCAGTTTCATTGAGGCGTCTCCTGATAGTCCTTTCACTCACATGCACATCTTCTTCAGCATCAGAACTTCAGCAAGGCCATTCCTGACTTCAACAGCAGTCATGGCCCTATTACGTAGTTTTTTTTATAGAATAAGGGCGACAAGCGAGCACACAGTCCACCTGATGATAAGTGGGTACTGTGGCCCATATACATCTACATTTATCCTCGATTAAGAATCAAAATGCATATGCGTTGTCACCCCTGAGGACTAAGACGGAGTGCCTCGTGTCTAGTAAAAAGGGTCTCCGATTCTCTACATTCACCATACGAAACACAGCAGCATTAAAATGCTATTTTACGCTGGTATTATGTGGCAGCGTGGTTCCACCCTGGTCGAGTCGACCTATTCGTGCTACAACCATAATATAGTTACAGCGTGGCTCTACCACATATAAAACTGTAGGTACCACGTTAAAAAGTAGTATTGCTAGGGTAAGGAGTAGCGTCTTTGTCGACCTGTTCCCGGCCGAAAATACATAGGCTGCACTAAAAGTATCGGGAATGGAATATTTCCACTGTTCCTGTCATATTAAAATCTTTTTAATTGAAAAGTCCTTGGTTTTAAAAATCGAATACCATTTATTTATTTAAAAAAAGATTCTCGGTCTTGTCAAACTTGTTTAGTCGTCGAGAAAATGGAATTGACTCGAGAAAATTTAAGAGCGATGATTTATTATGACTTTCGAAGTGGTTTAACACAAAAACAGTGTGTTGACCGGATGATTTCTGCATTTGGTGATGAAGCCCCATCCAAAACCACAATTTATCGCTGGTTTGCTGAATTTAAACGTGGACGTGTCAAGCTCAGTGATGATCCCCGTCAAGGTTGTCCAAAAATTGCAGTCACCCAAGAAAACGTTGATGCTGTGCGTAAGCTGATTGAGGAAGATCGACATGTGACATACCGCGAAATTCAGGTAACTTTAGACACTGGCATGAGTCAAATACAAATAATCTTGCATGAACAATTAGGTGTAAAAAAGTTGTTTTCCCGATGGATACCGCATTCGCTCTGTGAAGAGCAAAAAGCGGCTCGCGTTACTTGGTACGTCAGAACTCTCGAAAGATTCCACGCAGGATTCTCAAATGCTGTATACAACATCGTATCAGGTGACGAATCCTGGATATACACGTACGAACCCGAAACAAAAAACCAGTCACGAGTTTGGGTGTTCGAAAATGAGTTAAAGCCAACAAAAATTGTTCGTTCACGGAGTGTTGCAAAAAATTGGTGGCCACGTTTGTCTCCAAAACCGGCCATGTTACGACTATTCCTCTTGAGGGACAAAGAACGGTTAATGCAGAATGGTATGCTAGCATTTGTTTGCCACAGGTCGTTTCTGAACTCCGTAAAGAGAACTGCAACCGCCGCATCATCCTCCATCACGACAATGCGAGTTCTCACACCGCACACAGAACAAAAGAGTTTTTAGAGCAAGAAAACATAGAATTATTAGACCATCCGTCGTACAGCCCCGACCTAAGCCCTAATGATTTCTATACTTTCCCTAAAATAAAGAATAAATTGCGTGGACAGAGATTTTCATCACCTGAAGAAGCTGTGGACGCCTACAAAACGGCCATTTTGGAGGCCCCAACTTCCGAATGGAATGGTTGCTTCAATGATTGGTTCCATCGTATGGAAAAATGTGTCAAATTTCGCGGAGAATACTTCGAAAAGCAATAAATACATTTTTAAAAAGTAATGTTGTGTCTCTTCCTTGATTCCCGAAATTTTCAGTGCCGCCCTCGTAAACACAAATATAATTTGAAGATTATTTATTTAAAGAAATCATAGTTAGTCGCATTTTGTACCGGTCAGTTTATATTGTGATTATATGAGACAATTTGGTCCATGGATATAGAATGTTGAATAAAACTATTTTTATGGATTTCAATAGAGAAGGAGGTTGGGTACTACCACCTGCTTGGGGTCCCTTGATATCGGGATGTCAATCACCTCAGGCCCCCGTGACCATGGGTGCTATAAAGCATCCGAACGGTCAGGAATTAAAAATAAGTAAATTAAACGTGATAAAATCCATAAAAATAGTTTTATTTAATGTGTAGTGTTCGCGTAAATATAAGAAATCATTAATATAGAATTTTTTTATAACTTAGCACCAATTTTTTTGAAATTTGTTTAGACTTTATTGAACCTTACATATTAAGTACAGGAACAAAAGGCGGGCTTAATGCTAAATGCATTCTCTGCCAGTCAACCTTAGGGCAGTGATAGAACTACACAGGCGGTTACAAAGAAATAAACAAATATATTGTGTGAATGTGACCTGTACGTGTATACCGTTCTATTAAATTTTTTAAACATTTCTCATTAATTCGTTCATTTCAGCCCATCAAAAGACCACCGCTGAAGATAAGCCTCCCCATAGATACCATACCTCATAGATATTCCACCTCCCCATAGATAGCCACACGGGGGGATTTTTGTACCACATATTTCCACAGTTGTCACTTTAGCAAGTGGATTGGCAATCACAGGTTTTTTTTTTATAGAATAAGGGTGACAAACGAGTACACAGTCCACATGATGGTAAGTGTATTCTGTGGCCCATAGACATCTACATCTATCCTCAATTACGAATTCAAATGCGTTGTCACCCCTGAGGATGGGGATAGAATGCGTTGTATCCAGTAATAAGGGTTTCCAGTACTTCTACATTCACCATACGAAACAGAGGCAATAAGATGCTATTGCTGGTATTCTCTGGCTGAACCGACCCATTCGTGCTGCAGCTATATTGTAGTTGCGGCTATATTATAGTGTTGTTGAAAGTTTCCCAGAAGTAACACAATCACTAACTTATGGGCAAATAATTATATAATATACTAGCTGTGCCCCGCGGTTTCACCCGCGTCATCACATGTCCGAGGTGCGCGACATGACCTAGTTCAAGCATTTTATAACGGCTAGGGTTTAAGCGTCGTTCGCGCGCCCAGCCAAGTATTGAATTATTTTAATTTTACATTACAGGTATAAAGAACAAAGTTTATCTTCATAAAATTGTCTTGATGATGAAGTAACTTTCGTTCGTAAGGATAAATAGGCCACGCCTAATAATAACGCTCATAAATCACTTTTAAATTTTCAATATTTTTTTGTCACAAAATACAAAATTATGGCTTATGTATAAGAAATAGACATATGTATTTACGTATCCCTAACGATAACACCAGCGTACGCGGATAAATCATTTCGGGAGTGCTTTTTCTTCTGACTTGCTTAACAAATATCCATATTTAAGGCTAGTTGAGTAATATAGCTTAATGCTAGATAGCCTATACTATTCCACATGAATCTGGCTATAATGTACAAAAAGAATTTTTCAAATCGGACTGGTAGTTCCAGAGATTAGCGCGTTTAAACAAACAAAAAACAAAAAAACACTTCGGCTTTATTATATTAGTATAGATTTATTATATTAGTATAGAGTATAGATATACTAGCTGTTCCCCGGGATTTCGCCGCGTGTTATTTCGCGTTTTAATTATTTTGCGCGGAACCCTAATTCGTTTTCTATAATAAATGTAGCCTAAGTTACTCCTTGTGACATCAGCTATCTGCCAGTGAAAATCCCGTCAAAATCGGTCCAGCCGTTTCGGAGATTAGCCGGAACAAAGAGACAGACAGACGTACAGCAGACAGACTTTAAAAATTGTATTTTTGTTATTAGTACTGCATTTAGTAAAAAGCTGTAATGTTGACATTACAAACAGACACTTCAATCTGATTTATTTGTATAGATATAAAGATATCAATTTTTTTACAGATAGCAAAGGATGCGAGAGAGTGTGTACAAGAGTGTATATCTGAATTCATATCATTCATAACGAGTGAAGCAAGTGATCGCTGTCAAATGGAAAAGAGAAAAACAATCAATGGAGAAGATGTCCTATTTGCGATGAATGCATTGGGTTTTGATAATTATGTAGACCCACTGAAGCTGTACCTTAAGAAATATAGAGAGATTGTTTTATCACCGGTAAGAGAGTAATAGTAGGTATAAGTTGTATAACGTATCATTGTAATTATGTCGAAAATTATATCTGACTTAAGGATAAAGCCCTGAAATGTAATTTTCAGTCTATTTATGTCTCAATCCTTGGATCATGAATTGAAAACTATGAAATGTTGTCAAAATAGATGCATTCTATCACTTCTAAATAATGTAAAGGTCTAAGTTTATTTTGTATACAAATGAATTGATAGTAGATGTAGGAGCATTATACTTAATAAAAAATCATCATCATCATCATCATTACTGTCCATTACAAGTCCACTGGTGATTATGTGCCTCCCCCAAGGAATGCCACAAAGCTCGGTCCGTCCTGAGTTACCGGCATCCATCAACTTTTGCATCTTTTACCAGGTCATAACTCCATCTAGTGGGGGGCCGCCTTACACTTCGCTTACCGGTACGAGGCTGCCACTCGATAAATTTTCTTCCCCATGGCTTGTCGGTTATTTGAACTACATGATCGGCTCATTGCCACTTCAGCTTACTGATCCGTTGTGCTATGTCGGTTACTGTGGTTTTACTGTGGATATTCTCCTTACGAAGTCTATCGCGCAGAAAAACACCGAGCATAGATAGCTGTTCCATACCTTGCTGAGCGACCTTGAGCTTCCTCATACGGCCTATATAGTGCAACATGTCGGCCATAGGACCGGCATCTCTCACTAGTTGTCCATCTTGTTTTCAAGTTTGAGGGTACATGGACGAAAAGATGTGTGTCCTAATCTCCCGAAAGCTGCCCAGCCGAGTTGAATCCGTGGATTGACTGTTTAGTCAAGGTTGGACTTATCTACTAGACTATTTTTGTCCTAGTTAGACTACGAAGACAATCCAAACGAATTACGAAAAACGAATTAATTATGAATGACGTAACAAATTAATAATAATCAACTTCATTTTTACAGGTGACAATAAATAAGCTGAGTAAAGCCCTTGTTCTCTATGGAAGTAAGTTTCTACAGTTATTATTATTCATAATAATTTTACAAATAAATAAATAGCGTTACTTAACAGTTGTACGTCGTTAGATTTGCATTATTTACTTTTATAAATCGTTACAACACGCCCGAGTTTTGAAGTCTACATCTACGCATACGCGCGCGCTCCTCTGTGTGCGTTTCAAGTCACAACGTTTATACCGATCGAGTGACCCTTACGAATGTGTGCGTGCGTAGTAAAATAGTATTCTTAGATATTTATGAATGACAATCAGTCTAAATAATGCACTACCACGCATTCTGAATTTAAAAGATAAAAGGGACAGAATGTTTAAGATTTTTTTTTAAATAATTTTTTTCACCATTCGCCTATCTTCTCTGCAAATTTGGGCGTATATTGCAAAATAACCCTGTATATTTATATACAGGGTTACAAACTTAAAGAATATATAAGCTATATTATATAAATAAAGATAATAAGCATTTAAAATATAAATAAGCTGATAATGTACGTGCAAATTTAGACGTACCTACACGTCTTAAACCATCTGAATCTGTTAAGATAAAAGTCGAGTTAGGTTCTAAAGCAGTGTTATAAACACTTGATACCCAAGATCCACATCAACTTTGTAGGTAGGTTACCCTAAATAGAAGTAGCCGATATCAAACTTACAGTTTGTTTTTGAAAATCGTTACTCCACACACCAGGGATTTCTCCTGTATCGGAGGCGTTATACACATAAATTGTATATGGACAAACATCCAGATCTGAAACAATTACTTGAAGGATCTGCAACGGATTCGAACCCAGCTAGAACATCTAGCCTCAAGGCCTAATGCTTTTCCACGGCGATACTGAGACGTCATTCAATGATCATTAAAAATGGCTTATTTTGATATAAATGCATTCTTCAAATTACGTGTTCAATTCCGTCAATTTTCTCTTCTATATTGTATTTATTTAAATTATTAATATTATAATATACGGCCTCACATATAATTGTTGATTATCGCTCACTTAAGTCAATAAGTATTAATTATACCTATACCTGTCTCTCTCATAAAGTGACGTCGATTTTTTGTGAGTACGGCCGTTTTAAATGTATAAAATTATACACTTACTAACTACAAAGTGTAACTTGTATAAAAGTTCTTACGTAAGAAATTATATTTCTAGGTGACGGAGCGACATGCGTACCAGCCGAGAATGACAATGAAACACAGACCGAAACAGTGATATACACTTACCCCAAAGTCGTTGGTGATTTTAATATCAATTAATGTGTAACTGTTAGAAACAAGGACGCTATAAACGCAAATAATGTATGAGAAAAGAGTGCATTTTATCTAAAACTATGGATTTTTAGTGTAATTTTATATGCAATTCTAAATTTTTTCAAACATTGTGATACTTTTTTTGTTTGTACTATAGAATACTACAATTGTCCCTATGATAGTTTAAGCAAAAATATTTTCATACCATTTCAACCTAAGGGGAGAGGGGGGGGCATTTCTAATTATATTCATGATAAGTTATATGTAATAAGTAGTGGGAATAAAGATTTCTCTTCTAGATATAATATTGTCTTTTTTCTTACAAAACAAAATCATTATATGTTGTTCGTGGTATAAAGCATATGTCGCAGGTTTATCGTAAAATCAGGCTTTTGATCAAGAACCGTAAGAACTTAATTTTATCATTGACTGTTCGTTTGTCACCCTAATTTTATTTAAAAAAAAGCGCTGCGGCTGTGGCAACACTGTTACAGCGTTATGAGTCAGATGCATTTTCGTTTCTGTACCCTAATGTAGTTATGTATATTTCTTTTGCTTTGTTTGTTGTCTTAATTTCTTTGTACGTTTTATTGTGTGTGACGAATAAATCATTTATTCATGTATGTCAGATATGAAATATCCAGACCGGTGACGAGGAGCGACGTCAAAGGTGGTAACGCGATCTCGCACGCATCTGTTATGAGTAGTAATTGTGGCAAATCGTCTTATATTGTTTATAGGAGAGGCTCATGTCCAGAAGATGACTGGTGGGATAATAAAGAAGACAATTTATAATAATATTTAAAATGAAACCCATTTTTATTAACTAGCTTAACTAGCTAACTAGCGATTCTTTTTTGGGTTATAATCACACGATATAAATAATTTCATATTTTCGTAAAGGGAATAAATATCATTTTGTGTATTGACACTAATAATAATTCTGTTTACGAGCCAAAAAGGCGTTCTGAGTTTTTTAGCCAATTATTTGGTTTTTACTTTAAATAAGACGGTATAAGAACCAAACGGGATAAATACAGTCAAAGCCTACACAAAATTCTATTCTACATTTACTCTCTAAACTTATCTGTAATATAACCAGGCAGTGGTATCAAATACAAGAATTTGTTGAAGATCATTATTCCCAGTGAAAACGCGAAAGATATACCCAAATTGAATTCAGGGTTGAAGTCACCGGCTTGATAAATGTCACCACCAAAATTCTTAGACGTGAAGCGTTCGGTCAGGAATGCCTTGCCGCTTGCGTAGCGACAGTTCGAGTTGGAGTTTGCGTTCATACTGGAGGACGTTTGTATGAGGCTTGTTATAGTAGTGCAGTTCTCGCTGTTGCTGTAAGGAAGAATGTTGAATGTCGGCTGCCTGAACACACTCCTGTGTATAAACACTGACGCGTAACGCGTGTGCGTGGTGTAGGTTAAATAGTACAACCATTCTTCGAAACCTTTGTATGATCTGTGAAAGAGCAATACATTCATGTTATTTACTCACTATTAACGCTGATTATAATTCAGATAGGTACTTGTTTTGCAGCTTAAATCCAATCACATACACACACACACACACACAGTAACTTGGCTACTTTTATTTTACAAAAAGGATTAGGGTTCCGCGCAAAAAAAATGATAACCATAAATAACTCGGGCGAAGTCGTGGGGAACAGCCAGTAATACGAATATAATTAACAAACTGGTGATGTGAAATAGTATTACCAGTGCCGAGGTTATTGGTTCAGCGCTCGCTTCTTCTCTTGCACATAACCTTCTTATGTTGGGTATAGAACAGGCAAATTTATCAAGTAAATAATGTAACTGTTAGAAAGGGTCATTTAATTGTGACATATTAGGCTGCTGTTATCTTCATTATTCTAACAGTAATAAATCAAAGCGCATTAAAACTATCAAATATTTCTTTCTTATGGAGATTTGGGTAAAATGGAATCCTTATTTAATATTAACATTTCTTTAAAATTAACTGCAGTCAGCATCTTTATTCCGACCGATCTATGAAGTGGTTTGAACGGGTAGTCACCGTAACGTAATTTAAATAATATATATGTATTTATCAAAATCATAGATATTTTTCAAATTTTATTTTTCATTGAAATTTTATCAAATTGATCTATCAACAAATACTATTCATTTGAAGTAATATGCAGCCGATTAAAAGTCAAGGGCGTTACAAATTCATTGATTAAAAAAAATATTGATAAATAGATCAAGCTAAGCGAGTATGGTAAAGTAGGGTGCCCGTGATTTGAATGTCGTCATTTTAATCGGTTTTTTAATTTATTAACAGTTAAAAATTACCATAAACAAAAGAGAAATATCTATGCCATTCGCATTTACTTTGTTCACCTATTACACACAATTTTTTTCTTGTCGGTAAAAGTCATCTGTCATCCAGTTTATAAAATTTTTCTTACCTGAGCACTCCACTGGCTAGCATGATGTAAATGCAAGTGATATATATGTTGACGATGGCTGCTATCAAGCCGTTCTTCACGAACATCATTATGGCGATAGCTTGTTGCTCTGCGAAAATGTAGCAGGACCACAGCACCAGCGCGAAATATATGTAGTCTAGTGTTTCGGATATGTCGCCTAGGATCCTTTATATAAAAATAAGGGCAGGTTTATTTTTATAGAATAAAGATGACAAACGAGCACACAATCCACCGATGGTAATTGATTGCTGTGGCCCGTAGATATCTACATCAGTCATCTATAAATAATCAAAATGCAGATGCGTTGTCACCCCTGAAGACAAAGATAGTATGCCTCTCTTCCAGTGAAAAGTGTCTCCGGTTCTCTACACTCACATTACGAAACAACACAGCAACATTAAGCTGCTATTTCACGCTGGTATTCTGCGAGAGCGTGATCCGTCGAGTCGGACCACAAAAAAAAATCAAAAACAAAAGCGCAAAGGCAATAACTAAACAGTAGGGATAACATTGCGCATTCTTGCAACGCAACATTGGCAAGAGCCTTTACTGGACACTGTTGTCTTAAAAAGCACATGTCCATCCTGGGACTAAGCAACTCAAGTATGTGGCGGTTTTGTTCCTTAACGGAAGAAACGCCTCTGCACATCCTAACCGATTACGGGCCCTTAATGCGCAAATGCAGCACTCATCTGGGAAACTTTGTATTCCGCCCAGAAGAAGTGAAATTGCTCACAGTTAAGCAACTCCTATTTATTGAGGACGTAGGGCTTAGCGGTAAACTATAGCAGCGATTACAATAGATCTTTTAGGTCACAGTGATACTGGTCTCAACCTCAAAACACCGTGAGGAAACCTGCCTGTCTGTGAAATAAGAAAAGACTTTTCGAAGACATGTGAAGTTCGCCAACAAGCATTGGGGCTGCGCGGCGGACACTTCCTTGCCCTAAAACCCTCTCAGAAATGAGGCCTGTGCCCAGCAGTGGGACGTATATAGGCTGTAACTTTGTTTAAACTTTAATAGAAAATCTATATCGTAATCATAACACAGAACTTTTATAAAACCTATTATAAAAAGTTGTGGATATAAATAGGAAATGTCATGTATAGGAAAACATGATGACAATGAAATAAATATCTAGGAAACATATACTTACGGATAAATTATGGCAGCCGAAATGAAAGTAGTGATAAAAGAGAACGGCAAAGAGACGAGATTCCAGGAAAGCAGCAGACTAGCACCACTATAAAGGCCTTCTTGTGCCTCTTGATAATATCGAGTTCTGTAGGGACCGTCTAAAACATCGTTTTATGTATTAATTGTCTTTAAATTTGGCTGAATATAATAATTACAGTAAAGAACTGATTTTGTGAAATTTAGAACGCAGAAATGTTTTTTTATATGTATATAATTTTATATTTGATAGCGAGAGAAATAGACTTAAAGTTGACAAAAAAATTACTTTGCGTACATTCGCTCGATAAAATAAAATGATGTGTCTTACCTAGTTTGAAGAGCACCTCCCGCCCTCCCTCAATTGCGTGCACTATCCCTGTCACCACTAATCCCAGCACCACTACTCCCAACGCCACTACACTAGGAAAGACACACCACTGACGACAATACGACACGTGTTTCGCCTCTACACGAGGCAGCCTCAGGTGATATTAATTATCAGAAATAGACTTGTTTTATTGTCCCCTGATTGAGTTCACAAGTATAGCACTATACATTATTTGTTATATACCTAATTTTAAAATATAAATCCGTACAATATAACATAAAGAATAGTTACACTATTGGATAACCTGTAAAAATAGTTGTAAGAGTTGAAATAAATAAATAAATATAGTAGTTGGTCCGGTAAACGTTGTATTGCCCTTTTCGGTAGGTACCGTGATAAGAGTCACTTCGGTGTTTTTGTAAAATTTATTACAATCTCGGCTAAGGTGCCATCTATCGGGTCCAGATTGTGTGACTTTATTTTTTGGTACAAAACCAACATAAATTATGTTGATAACACATGTTGACAACATATGATATACGAAACCAACATAAATTATGTTGGTTTCGTATATCAAGTGACATATTCACTAGTGACTATTACTTGATCCATATATAGAAATTGTTAAAAAATAAAGTAATTTACTTACACAGACAGATTGTGTTCATTATGCTTATAAAGTAAGTTCCGACCATTGCGTTGAAAATTAATCCACTCTTCGTTATGAAAGCCCTTTGGAAGTCCTGGAAACGTATCATTAGTGGATTATTTGGTTGAGCGATGGTTCAATATTAAACAATGGAAACATTATATAGGTACCTGAGCTTCATTGTAGAATACCCACAAGATGAGAAAATATATTGGCAATGAAAAAAGTCTCATTGACATTTGTTTTAATCCATTTTTCTTCAGATTAAAAATGGACACTAGAATTCTCCTGAAATGTATGGTATTTTGTATTTTAATGTGTAATATTATTGTTTTATTTTAAAAGAGTAGACCTTTGAACTGTTGTGTCTATTTTTATATTAATGTGA